AAAGACGTGGGTAGAAAATGCTATCGTGGGTCTCATGTTTTTTGGACTCACCAAATCAACAACTGATAGCCGTTCACTTGTGTGGGGAAAACTGTATATATTATAAGTTTAGCTTCTATAATTACATAGAGTTGCAATTTTATTTTTTATTTTTTTTTGGTAGTTTGCGGAAAAAAAAATCTACTGTGTGATTGAGCCATGATAGTGTGGGGTATACACCATTTGAGGAGTTAGGAAAAATTAAGAAAAAACCCTTTCCATAGTAAATTTAAGGTTTAAATTAAAATTGGTAATGAAGTCAAAACAATTATAAATGTTCTTAATAAAAAAACTAAAAAAAAAGTCCAAAGGTTTTGGAAATAGTTGTCAATCTGGGAAGGAAAGAGAAGAAATACCTTAAAACTAGTGGTGTGTGGTGGTGAAGAAGTTGTGATATATTAAGACGCGTTCTGGACTGGAACCCAAAAAGTATTGGAGGCAATAAAAACCTTCCAGTTAAAACTGGTCACATGCCAACCCTCGCATTCAGAAGAAAAGGACAAACTCTTTTGCTTTGGGTTGAAATAGACGTGAACCATACTGTTTTGGCTGCTTAAGACAAGCACTGGCCCCCCTTGTTCGTACACATAAAGATCCATCGATGCATGGAGGAGGAGGCAGCAGCTGCTAATCAAAGTATTAATCTTACAAAACAAGGCACCTGCATGGCTAAGTGGAACTTTGCTTAGTACGTACTTTGAATATAATTAACTAAATTATATTGATAACTTGAAGCCTCTTCTCCGGCAGTTGGGCTCAAATTTTCTGCCGAATACTGTTCGATTTTTTCAACCCCCTTCACCTGGTAGATATGGACAAAACAGAACCATATTGATATAGATATAAGAAATAACAATTCAGAATATGCATATATATATATATGTATTATGTATATATACTGTTACCGTTATATACATAGATTCTGGGCTTTGCCTTTGAATCTCAAGGATAGAGCTCCCTTGACTAAGCTAAGCCTGAATTGGACAAGTGGTTGGACATGGAAACTAAGCTTGGAGATGGAGATGGAGCTGTTATCTGTGTATATACATACACATACGCAAAGTAAATGTTTTGTGTTCTTATAGATGACCAAGTCCTGTGTCCTGATCTGCCTTATATATACATGTGTGTGTGTGTGTGTGTAACTGAGTCCAGCTTGGAAGGCTTTCATTCTCACCCATAGAACATGCTTGGCTTGGAATTTTCAGTAATATTTAATTGCAAGTTGAAGGTAATTTTTGTTTCTGTTTTAATTAATTGTGTTTATATATAGATTGAGATGTTCCATTATTTTCTGCAGTGAGTGTTCTTTCTGCTAACAATGCTTCTGATACCACTTATTTCTCACAGCAGCAACTTTTTCTTATAGGAGTTTGTGTAGCAATTACTGGCAGTGGAAATAATTTATTGTGGCAGCTTTAACATTTGATATTGTGTTTTCTTGCAACTCAGGTGGTCGAAAATCGCAAAACATCTGCCAGGACGGACCGATAACGAAATCAAGAACTATTGGAGGACTAGAATTCAAAAGCACATTAAGCAAGCAGAGAATAATATTACACCTGGACAAAACTTCGAGGTGAATGATCAAGCAAGCACAAGTCAGGTGTCGATCTCCAGCGCTGCTGTGGACACAATGGAAATTACCCACGCCGCACCGGCTAATTACCCACCAAATATGGACGCTTATCCTTCCTCTTTACCTGCTGATCACTCCCATGAAAACTACTGGAGCATTGAGGATCTCTGGTCTATGCAGTTACTAAATGGAGAGTAATTAAGCACCCCAAATCATATATTATGCTCCAAATTCTTATTTGGATCATTAATTATTAGGTTTGTCTATATAATATATATATATGTTTTTTATATATATAATATAAACATATATCTTGGTTTATACTTGATTTTAGTTTGCACTAGGATCGTAAGCTTTGCAGTTTCCGTCCCTATATATACACTAAAAGAGAGTATTTGGCATAACTATATATATATATATATATATATATATGTACATTGTTTGGATGGCTTAATTTAATATGTTTCCTACAATGAGGTCTCGGATTTGTCTTAATTGAAGCACTAATTAGTCGAGGCTTTCGTATTGAGTTAATCTAATATCTTTCCCAAAATGAGGTCTCGAATTTGTCTTAATTGAAGCACTAATTAGTCGAGGCTTTTATATGGAGTTCAATATATGATGGGGACTGAAGAAAAAGATTAAGATAGAGACCTGTAATTTTAGTGTTTTATGAATAATAAATAAGGCATAATATTATTTAATTGAGTTAACACATCTTTTATTTAGGATGTGAAGAGCACATGAAAATTTGAAGATATGATGGATATGAAGAAGAAGAATGAAGATACGCGCACACACACACATACAAAACTGAACCACTGGGAAATCGACACGTAGAAAGCTTATTGCTATTCTTGTTAAGATTCCATATCGGCTTTTCCAAAGCTGTGCATGGGCATGCAAAACTGATGTTGGACGTGAGCCTAACTTGCAACCACTGCAATCAAGTTTTCACATGCTCTCTTTATGATCAATTCCTTACATAATTTTTTTTTTCGGCACAAAATAAATTCCTCATAAATTTATGGTATCTACTTCTCCAACGTGCTACCACATGGCAACACTCATCGCTCAATAGAATTGTTGCTTTCTTTATTGTTTTGTTAGTTTTGCGTGTGCAAAAAATTCATATGTCTTGTAGTTTAGATTATCGCTTGTATTCAAAAAAGAATTCGAAGAGTTTCAATTAAGTTGGTAAGTTGATATTAACAACTTTAAACTCTTTAGATATTTTGTGGGTCGAGAGAAACAGACAAAAACAAAGTTAGGTCGACTCGCCCTGGATGACACAGGAATTTACAGCGAACCTTAAACTTTAGCATTGAACCCTTATTCAAAGAAATGGCTCATAAAAGAAGCTCGAGGGCCCATCTCTTTGGACTTTGCATTGCCAAATATGGCAAATATAATCGAGGACAGATCCTTTGTTGTTGCCCGAGGTCATACGAAAAGGAACTTCATCTCTCAGCCACTCGTTTTTTTTAAGTCACATGTTTTTTGTGCGCAATTTGAATTGATTGCAGAGCACAAACGATAACTATCACGTGGAAGATGAGGAAAAATCACATGTTGGGTCGGCCATGAATGTGGAAAAATTAACATGTGAACATGTTGCCAGCAAAAATATCCCCAGGCCCATTGAATTAAGCAAGGCTACTTGTTTTTTTTCACTAATGGGCCTTATCTAATCTAATTAAACTATTCAAATTGTTTCATTTGGTTCCGGGTCTCGAATCTCGATCGATCTGCAAAGGGATCATGGTTCTAAAATGAGTGTATTCATTTAGTAGATTTGGATATTAGTGAGCCGGAAAAATTCCGTTTTATTGATTCATTCTTTCTATTTATCTCATAATGTCACTTTTCAGAACACGAGAAAGAGAAAAAAACGAACAATGAAACGAATGTATGGGAAATATTATTTTACAAATTTATAAATAAACCCAATCTTAGACATGTATTTATAAAAAAACTCAAGCACTATTTAAACATAGAAATACATCTAAAATTAACTCCAAAACCATAAACATTCAGCAATAGACTATTATATTCTTGATGAAAGTTATTAGATTATTAAATTAACTCTTCAAGTTGTGCTTCAATAAATTATTTTAATTCACAGTCTGATAACATTATATGTCAGGAACCCGGTAAAGAAAAGACCATTCGATACCAACTATTACTAGAGAGTAAAATAAAACTGATCTCCATGCTTGGATCTGACGGCCCATTAAATATAACAGAGGTGGGCTCTGGCTTGCCCATGCATGATCCCAAGTCTGGGTTTGGAGTTGAGAACAAGGACATGATATAAGGCCCAACACTAAAATATGACAATTTCTTAGTAAGTTTCAATGTAGTTGGATTGGCCCATGATTGACCTTAAAATTTTGGTCAAACCACACTTTTGACCTTATATGAGTTATCTGCCTTAAAAAAATAGTGGTTAATCATGAATATTTTAAATTTGTTCTTGAATATAAGTGATAATATAAATTATAAAAAAATGAAGATTTCTCACACATACTATGGCTGGTTCAAATATGAGACTTGATCTACAAGTCAAGATCGTTTTTAACTATACTAGACCCCATTAAATATAAACGATAATCTAAACTACAAGAATACATCATTTATCTATGATTTAAACACTTCACCCCACAAAAAAATAAAAAATAAAAAAAATATATGATTTAAGCACTCTCAAATTAATGAGCCAAATATTTTACTTTTTCAAAGAAATATAAGACATATTATATCCATTGTACCTCTCAAAATGCAAGAACCAAAAAAAATATATTGGGATTAGATAGGATAAGTTCAAGAAATAAAACGTGTGGCAGAGACACAACGCAAGGCTCATCCATGATTCAGTTACACGAGGTGTTATGGAGCCACTTGCACCAATCCTCCTCCTGACATAGCTTGATCTTCCTTCATCCTTCCTTCCATGCTCGTCGTCATAATTCCCAGTAAGAACAAATGTTATGTTATCCATCACAACATGGCGCGATTAGCTCATAACACGTGGCAGTAAATGACTCGCTGGGCCGACCCTAAAGAACAAAAGAATGGTCCACACACGATCACAGAGAGGGTCCCATCCCACAAATGAACCTCATCAACGGTATATGGCATACAATCCAATCCAGAAAACAAACAACGGCTACAAGGGTATTATGGTAAAACCGTGCATCTCATGATCTGTCTGACATCACACTCGCGAGTCACATTCACATTTGGATTGAAGATTAATGAAAGTGTTATTCATCTTTCTTGGGAGAGCCTTCTTCAAAGTAAGCTCTCCCTAGAATCAATCTCTTCAAATTACACACACCACCCAAAGGAAGAGGGGAGAGAGAGAGAGAGAGAGAGAGAGATGGGAAGGGCATTTCTGTATGTGATTCTCGGAGGAGGGGTGGCTGCTGGCTATGCAGCTCTTGAATTCACGAAGAGAGGCATCTCTCATGGTGAACTCTGCATAATTTCTGAAGAACCAGTGAGTATTTTCTCCCTTTCTTCTCAATTTGTTTTTTATCTATTCATGGTATTCATGTCTTTGATGGGTATATATATGCTCTTCACAATTGGGTTATTGCTCTTTCGAACATTTAATTCTGTATTCGAAGGAAAAAAAACAGAAACAGAAACATTAATTCTTATATTTTTCACATTCCATTCCATGAGATATCAATTAAGTTTATGGAAGAGAAGTCAAGGGCTTAGAATTGTATTGGAGAATTGTTGATATTCTAAAGAACAGTATTGGCGCTTGTATTAATCTGTGTTCTAAATATTATTTTTATAGGTGCTATCAGCTTTTTGGATTTACAATGTGGACTTTCCCACCTATGAACACACTTACATACATGATATATACTTATATAGTTCTAAATCATTGCATATTCTTTGGGTAGTTGTTCAAACCAGAGTGAAATTTTTCACCTAAGTTAAAAGTGGCTTAAGGGAAGAGGGGAGATGATATGCATGTTAGGAAGATTTTGTCCAAAACACCTCTTTCTAATATAAAAAAAACCCAGTGAGGTGTTTCCTTTAAACTTTAGATATATTTGACTGATGAACTGGATCTGCAACAATAATTAAACATTGAACCGCCTTATTAAGTGACATACTCTTGAACTGGTCCTTTCAGTTGCCCCTTGCTAAATGAAATTTGTGTTATATATCAAACCTTGTATTGTGAGAAGAATTTATATCAAGTAGATAACCTGTTCCCTGCGTCTCTGTTTAACATGTAAAGTTCTTTATTTTTTTTCTTTCTTGAATGAATTTGTAATATAAGTGATAAAGTTTGTTCAAATAAATTCCTTGATTTGGGAATATCCTTTTCAGGTGCCGCCTTATGAGAGACCTGCTTTAAGCAAAGGCTTTCTACTTCCTGAAGGTACAGAGTCTCTTTCTCAGCAATAATAATATCTTCATTGTATATTGCTCTGAACTATTTTTCTTTCCCACATTTTTATTTATACCGCTCAAAATTGAATGATCTTTTACTGTGATGTGCAGCGCCTGCACGCCTTCCATCATTTCACACTTGTGTTGGTGCTAATGAGGAAAGGTTAACGCCTAAATGGTATAAGGAGCATGGTAACTATCTATGACTTTTTTGCTTCCTTAATTTTTTTTCTTTGTGTTAATGGGAATTGTAGGATGTGGTATTTCATCAAGAGAATATGCATGATGCTTATGTTGTTGTTTGTTCTTTCCATAATTAACTTTTGTGGTGTCTACACATTTGGTTTGACACTTGGTTCTCTATAGATAAAATCAAAATACACAACCAGATATATGAATAATAAAGTTGAATAACGTACCCTTCACTTTCCTTGTGTATAATCATTTTTGTTCTTGTTCCTCTATCTCTCTCTCTCTCACTCATTGGGGAATTTGGGCCTTTTATTTATAGGGATTGAATTAGTTCTTGGAAGTCGAGTTAAGTCTGTTGATGTGAGACGCAAGACACTGTTGACAGGATCTGGAGAGACCATAAGTTACAAAGTTCTCATCATTGCAACAGGTGCTCGGGTATTGAAACTGATCTCATAATTGTCTTCTACCTTTTCTTGCTGCATATGTTCTGTTAAAGCTAAAAGTAGTAGAATGTGAAATGCAATTATAATATACGCAATTAGAATGTCAAATACTGATTAAAAATGAGGATATTGTATTAGACCTTTAATGCTAATAAACTTTTCTACATCTTTGTTAATGTGGTTGCATTTGACATTATTTTCAGAAAATGCGAGCTTATCATTCTAAGGGTTATTTCCCAAGGATAGCATTTTATGAAAAATTCGCTTTCTTGCCTTAATGGATTGATGTGTGTGTGCGCATGTGGTGAAAGTAGGCACTGAAGCTGGAAGAATTTGGAGTGAAAGGATCAGATTCTGAAAATGTGTGCTATTTACGAGATTTGGCTGATGCAAATAGACTTGTCAACTTGATGGAATCTTGCTCTGGTGGGAATGCTGTTGTCATTGGTGGTGGCTACATTGGAATGGAGTGTGCTGCATCATTAGTGATCAATAGGATGAGTGTAACAATGGTTTTCCCAGAAGAACATTGCAGTATGTACTTTTATTCCGATACTGTATCTTCTTTGTTCATCGAGCTTTCTCAAATGCACCTTTTCTATTTGTGGTGAAGGAGTAGTTGTAAGCAAATATATCAACTTTTTTCTTTTAATTTGAATTTTGCAGTGGCCCGATTGTTCACACCCAAGATCGCAAGTTTTTATGAAGAATTTTACAAGTCCAAAGGAGTAAAGTTCGTCAAAGGAACCATTTTGTCCTCGTTTGATATTGACTCGAATGGGAAGGTAAATGCGAAAATGCTTCTAATTTGAGTTATTATTGACTTCAAATGTCCTCACTTGAGTGATTATACTCACATGCGTGTTGGGTAAATTTTCTTTGAATCCAATCTTCTAATTGATTTGCTAAATTTTTGCTGGTAAACTCTTGCGCAGGTCACAGCTGTTAATCTTAGAGATGGAAGTAGTCTTCCTGCAGACACGGTTGTGGTGGGTATAGGAATCCGTCCCAACACAAGCCTATTTGAAGGTCAACTTACACTGGAGAAAGGTGGGATCAAAGTGAATGGGAAGATGCAGTCGAGCAATAGCTCAGTCTATGCAGTGGGAGATGTTGCCACATTCCCTGTCAAAGTATTTGGCGAGTCCCGAAGGCTTGAACACGTCGACTCAGCCAGAAAATCCGCAAGACATGCTGTTGGTGCAATAATGGAACAAAACCAAGCGGGCGAATTCGACTATCTACCATTCTTTTACTCCAGAGTCTTCACCCTGTCATGGCAGTTTTATGGGGACAATGCAGGAGATGTGGTCCATTTTGGAGATTTCTCAGGAGGCACATTCGGAGCTTATTGGGTAAGAAACGGCCATCTTGTTGGTTCTTTCCTTGAAGGTGGTACCAAGGAAGAGTATGAAGCTATAGCCAAGGCCACGAGGCTGAAGCCAGCAGTTGAGGACTTGGCCGAGTTGGAAAGGCAAGGCTTGGGTTTTGCTGTGACTGTTAGTGAGAAACCGCCACCGTCACCAGCTCGTGATGTTATTGGTTCTGGCATAGTTCTGGAGAGACCAATATATGCATTGCATGCAACCGCTGGTGTTGTTCTGGCTGCATCAGTAGCTGCGTTTGCATTCTGGTACGGAAGGAAGCGCAGAAGGTGGTGAGCAGCTGTTTGTTTGGGTTGATGTATAATGTATTATACCCCCATGTTGTGTGGCATTGATAGGTGTAGGAGATTTACGTACTTCAAATATTTGGTCGTATTTATTGAAGCAAAACTGTAGTTGAAAATAATTAATTAATACAAAAATTATATACATCCTTATACGAAAAATTGTTTCCCTCCCTTCCTGGTCATCTATTTTGATCAACTAAAATAAAAACGGAAAAGACCATAAAAGAGTTACAAAAAGAGTTTGTCCATGTGCAACTCTTTCGTCTACTAGTCCTTGTCTGACCAAATTGTTAGTGAATGGTGATACAAGGAAATACAAATTTTACATGTACCAACTACCATTTAGTCTAGTGGTAATTATTTTCACTTGGTTCAAGAACAAGGGCGGACCTACGTAGGGGCTCAACTGGACTAATTATTGAGTCCGCCATTGTTCAAGAATGTTTGATTTACATGAATGCGATGCAATGCAATATATATCTACGATTGATACTTAATTTTTACTAACTCCATGGAACTATGTTGTGGACTCAGTATACCGTTGTAAAAATTAAAAATATCTTTGTAGATATCCATTCTATCATTTGTATTTTCTTCTTCCTTTTATTAAAAAATAAAAAAAAACAGAAAAAACTACGCAGGTAGCTGTTCAAACGAAGAAGAAGAGGAAAATGATGAGTGGAAACCTGTTTTGCTTGTTACTTATTCAAAATTATAAAGAAAAGTCCCCAAGCGGGCATTTGGTCTAGTGGTATGATTCTCGCTTTGGGTGCGAGAGGTCCCGAGTTCGATTCTCGGAATGCCCCGAGCCTGCGACCTTTATTTTTTTCCTTTTTCCTTTTTATGCCCCCGTTCAAACGACAACGTATTTAGTTTTTTTTATCAAGTCACAAGGGTAAATCCGTCAACTAAAGAAAAAACCCCAGCTACATACCCCGATGGACGCTAGTTTTAGAATTCCCCCTTATCCTATCTTCTTCTACTCACTCTTCTTTCTATTTCTCCCTCTCAGACCCAAAACTCAAATCCACACCACAACAATGGCTGCCTCTCTCTCTACACTCACATTGGGCACCCCATCTTATCTCAACACACCCGCGACTTCCTCTTTTCCTCCGCACACCCCAAAACCCACCCTCCAATTCCCCTTCAACCCCCAAAACCCTAGCCTCACCCACCGTGCCACGCACCTCCGTCCCCTCGCGGCCGTGGCAGCCCCCGAGAAGATTGAGAAGCTCGGCGCCGACATCTCCAGCCTCACCCTCGAGGAGGCTCGCATCCTCGTCGACTTCCTCCAAGACAAGCTCGGCGTCTCAGCCGCAGCTCTGGCTCCAGCCGCCGCGGTGGCCGCGGCGCCAGGAGCCGCCGAGGGACCGGCCGTGGTGGAGGAGAAGACGGAGTTCGACGTGGTCATCGAGGAGGTGCCGAGTAACGCTAGAATTGCGGTGATTAAGGCTGTTAGGGCGTTGACGAGCTTGGCGCTGAAGGAGGCCAAGGAGCTGATTGAGGGCTTGCCTAAGAAATTCAGAGAAGGGATTTCCAAGGACGAAGCCGATGAGGCGAAGAAGCAGCTGGAAGAGGCTGGGGCTAAGGTTGCCATTGTGTAATTTGTCTAATCGGTTTGGGGTTTTTTTTTCAGTAAATGAGCTTCTGCTTTTTGTGTACTGTTTGCACTTGTAGATGTTAGTGATATGAGATTGTTCTCTTTCTTGCTTCTTCTTCAAGTTCAATTTCAATGCAATTGGAGTTGTAATTTTAAGGTGAAGAATTTGATTAATATGCTCTTTTAGTATGGTTTATCATGCTCTCTAGTTTTGCTTGGTGGTAGAATTGAATTGAATGTGTATGCAGAATGTTTGCTACATCTGTATGTAATATGGATTATGTTTGTGCTCAGGAAGGAAGGTAACCATTTCTTGTGTACAAAAACATTAATGTGGCTTTTGTTCAGAATAAGGCCAGTTAATCACGACAGTGAGTTGGTCCCTCGCACTCAAGTTCAAATCCTCTCATTATATCCTTGCACTCAAGTTTAAATCCTCTCATTATATTAATTCCCGTTTCGTGGAATTTGGTGGTCCACGTTATTCATAATCCCTTCCATTCTTTCATTTTCAATTTGCATTTGGCATTGGAAACCAACCAAGGTGAGGGTGGGGAAATGGGAAAAAGAAAAATTGGTAAAATGTTAGGCAATGGCCCAAGTCTAAATGTCTAGCCTCTTTTCCGCGCTAATAAAACAGCTAGCTAGCTTAGGCTTAGATATACTGACAGGACATGAGGTGTTTAATTGATGGCTTGTAATTATTCCAACTTCGATCTTCCCTCCCATGGATTGGCTGGAAAAACCTGTGCGTGGATATTAAGCCAATCAACAAACAACCTAAGAAATAATTATGCAAAAGCTTCTGCCATGCATAAAAAGCAAAAACTAGAATAGAGAAACTCTCATGCTAGGGGATCACACTTTTTGCTATTTCCAATCAATAATGAAATGACACGAAGAATAATTTTTTCAACGAAGGCCATCCCCCGGTGCTATCCCATATTATAGGTAAGTGTTTTTCTGTTCGGGAGGGTATCATAAAAAGCAAGCAAACCGCATATGCATGAGATAAATAAAAGAGACGACGACGCCGTTTCGCAAACCCTCGCTGCGATCGCCCAATCAGCGTCGCCTTTATTATGGGCTCTGTTCAACGAAGGCTAGAAGGGACACGTGGTGAATCATCCTAACGTAGTACAACTCTTGAGCCGTTTGATGTCCCCAATGCCGCCACATCGAAACTGCAACTTTGAATCGCTACAGAAGTAAACCATACATAGCCCTAAATCCCCGCGAGTGTGCTTCCTTAATGTACTCTCGCGGGTAAGTATATTTCAAACCCAAATGTCAGCTTGCCGGGTACAAAACGTGGAGATGGCCGCTCTGCTAGAAAGGGACAACAAAAACAAAATAGCCGCTTCTTCTCGCTGTCTTCTCTGCTACTCAGCTGTCAGCTCCCCACCACCGCCTCATATACCAATTTCTCGCCACTTTACCACGATATTTTCCCTTTCACAAATTTCAGTTCTCTCTCTCCTCTATTTTCTCTCTCTCACGCACACGGCGTTTTCAAAATTTGATTTTTAGTTATCTCTCTGTGTGGAATTTGATTCCATTCCTTTCCATATTTTTTTTTAATCTTTCTCTGGGAATCGCTTCCTGAGCTTCAAGCTTTTGGTTTCTTCAGGTATATATATATTTTTTTATTTTTTCATTTCGTTTTTTACTATTTATACGACTATTTTATTCCATGTATGCATTATTCTCGTCTCCTAGTGCACATTTAGTATTATATTAATCCCATTTTCGAGCTCTTTCTTCACGAAACCAAAACCCTAGAATGTGCTGATTTACATACTTGCTTTTGTTTTTGCTTCTGGGGTTTGTATGCAATTCGTTTCAGCTGTAATATCAAAGTCTGAGCTTGATTTTCTCGAGAGCAGATTATCCTCGAAATGGGAGCGGCCCCAACACGATCTACAGCCGTAGAGGGGGGTTCAGCTTCTGCTCTTGAACCACCTAAAGGTCCAGATGCAGAGGAGAATACGATCGTCGAAGCTATCAACGGCTCGGGCGGAACCCAGCCCGGTCCAGGGGGGGCCGGTCGAGGGAGCTCTGTTGGTGATGTGGGTAGCAGTAGGGTAGGTGAAGTGGTCAAGACTCAGGTGGTTGAGCCCAAAAGTTCGACTGAGAGAAGTTTTGGGGACCTGAATGTTGGTCTCTCGGATACTGAGGAGGGTGGGCTTGTAGAGTCGAGTTTGCTGAAACTGAGAGGGGGTGAGGGTAGTGTTGAAAAGTTCGAGTCTTTTTCGAGTAAGGAGAAAAAGGCGGTGACGGATGCTACTATGGCTATGGCTGGTGTGAACGGAGGGGTTGAAGAAAATGGGAGTTCTTTGGATGAATTTGAAGAAGACCAAGATGGGAAACATGAGATCATTGAGGGTAAGACTGGTGTGAACGGAGGAAGGGCTGAAGAGAATGATAGTTTTTTGGATGAGATTGAGGAAGACCCAGATGGGAAACCTGAGATCACTGAGGACATGGGTGACGAGGGACATGAGTTTTCTGTGGGAGATTTTGTGTGGGGTAAGATTAAGAGCCATCCATGGTGGCCTGCCCAGATTTGTGATCCTTCTGATGCGTCGGAGTATGCAGTGAAATTGAAATATAAGGACAGACTCCTTGTTGCTTATTTTGGGGACGGCACATTTGCTTGGTGCCATCCGTCGCAATTAAAACCCTTTGAGGAAAATTTTCAGGAGATTTCGAAGCAGAGTAGTTCCAAGGCTTTTGTTAATGCCGTGCAGCAGGCTGTGGATGAGATTGGAAGACTTGTGAAGTTGAAGATGAGTTGTGGCTGCGTAAAGAAAGAGTTTTTGAGTGATATTAGTCAACCCTTGGCATTGAATGCTGGAATTAAGGAAGGAGTTTTTGTGCCTGAAGGTAAAGTTGGGAAGTTTTGGGTCATCTATCTGAATCAGCAAACCTTCTTGCTGAGTTGAAGCATGCTTCCCAAGTTACATCCGTGAGTAGTGTGCTTGAGCTCACTGTGTTAAAGAGTTGTCTGTCTGCATTTTATTTTTCAAAAGGGGGGTATCAATTGCCTGTATTCTATGAAGCCCAGCCAGTTCCTGGTCTTGAGGATGATGAGAAGGCGGTGGAAGTGCCTGTCCAAGGGCCATTTGAAGACTGGCTTTCTTCTCCCGGAGGTGCAAAGACTGATCAAACTGATCAAACATTTTCGCGAAGTTCACCCAAAATTTTAGAGGATAGGCAATATCAAAGAAGGAAGCAGAAAAGCATTGCTGATCTTATGGGAGGGGAAGATGATATTCAGGCGAAAACTAAGGATGGTGGGATTATGGCTAATGAGGGAGCAGTATCAGAGAAACCAGAGCAGAAGAAGCGGAAAGGCAGTGAGAGTCATGATGAGAGTAATTTGGTTTCTGATGTAGTAAAGAGAAAGCTCAGACTCTCAAAGTCACCCACAAGCACTCTTACCAAAAAAAATCTGAGTGTTGAAAATGATTGTAGTGGCAGCAAGGAAGAAAGTAAGAAGGGTCGGTTATCAAGGAGACGGAAGAAGGATGAGAGTTTTGGCATGGATAGTGATGATGGTAAGATGAAAGAAGAAACTGGCGACAGCCCTCTTTCAAGAGAAGGGGAATTGCGCAGTGGTGGTTTACAAAGTGATATGAAAGACCAAATTGACAACCGCCCCTTGTCGAGGGAAAGGAAAAAGAGCAAGTACTTGTCCCCTCCTTTCACAAATCTTAACATGGTGAAAAGGATGCGAGACATAGAAATAGAATCTGAAGTTTCTAATGAAACTCAGTCAGGGGAGCGGGCTACTTCTAACCTTATTGGGTCCCCTCATATGTTGAATTGCTGCACGGAGAAATTAAAGAAGAAACACACTACAGAACTCAGTCCTAAAGCACCAGCAGAAGATGAGGAGAAGAGCATTGATCCAATGAAAGCTAATGCATCAGCGAGTCTAGTGCTATCTGAACTCCGCTCTGCAGCTCTTAATCCATCATATCCAATCAAAAGGAAATCCTTTGAGATTTTTAGGGACTTTATGGCCACATTCAGAGACTCAATTTATCGCAATGGCTCCAACTACGAACTTTACAAGAACCGCCAACCTCATAGGAAGAGAAAGAATATAATATCTGAGCCTGGGTCACTGGGGAAAGACCGAAGTCAAACCGCAGACAATCTACCTGACAGTGAATCTGGGCACAAGAAAATCAAGAAGAGCTCTGATAAGCCTATAGGAAAGCATGCTGCTGGAACACCAGATTTGAAGACAAGGCGGAAGAAGAGGGACGAGAAAGCTTCACCTGCATCCCTTTTTGTGACATTTGGCCCTGGTTCCTCTCTGCCCACGAAAGCTGATCTTATCAAGATATATAGTAAATTTGGAGAGCTGAATGAAATGGAAACTGAGATGTTCTACAACAATTTCTGCGCTCGGGTTTCCTTCTTAAGGATCTCTGATGCGGAAGAAGCCTTCAACCATTCGCAAAATGACAGTCCCTTTGGAGCTTCCAATGTCAACTTCCGGCTCCACAATCTCTCGGCTGCTTCAAAGGTTCGTGAACTGAGTGAAATATCCAATTCTCCTCCAGCTAAGTCCAGGGGTAAGACCAAAAGTCAGCCAGTAGGAACATACTCACAGCCCCCTGTTGATGGTGAGGCGTCACAACTCGACTTCATTAGACATAAACTTGAGAAGTTGACCTCAATGCTGGACAATTCGGATGGGAAAGTGTCAGCTGTAACGAAATCCAAGTTGGAGAGTGAGATAAAAGAGTTATTGGAGACGGTAAGCACAATGGTTGAATCTTCATCTTAGATCGGTTCACTGTTTGTATAATGGACCTTTTTGTTTCTACACACAATCCCAGTATGTCATATAAGCTAGTGATCCATATGTAGGTTTAGGGATAATATTTCTACTTTCTTTTTGGATGCTTGTGGATGAAGTTATGTAGTAGTTTATCTAGCCTGTGTAACTAGTTTCTTCAACTTATCAATATAGAGATCAGCAGGAGCTTTTGGTGAGAAGCAACTCTCAGTGTTGATCTCAGCCACCAGTTTCAGTTGGATGTAAATTTCACTTCTTTTTGTTTCAACTCCCACACCAAACAATACACGAGCTTTTGGTGAGAAGCAGCACCTCTCTCGCTATTGAATTCTCCTCGGTCGGTTCACAATTCTTTAAAACGTCTGGAAATAATTTGCTTTAGGACCATCAGTCGGTCTGACCTAAATACTAGTTATCAGAAATATGCCTGTAGCCAAACTTTCAAAAGTGGGCCATAAAGTGCCTTTGACAAAAGAATGCCTTTATACTCATGCCAATCAATCATGATTCAAAAAAGTGCGGCGACGAGCTCGCCTGTGACATGGGTTGGTTTTCCCCACAACTCAGAACATAAGATCTCCAATTCAAAAAAGCAACGAGCATGGCAAAGACATCATCATATTAAGCCAATATTATATGATAAACAAGAAAGCTCCTAATATTATATGATAAACAAGAAAGCTCCTAAAATGAACTCCCAAACTAATAGTAATACAACACAAAATATCCAAGTTCCTTCGTACATTTCACCGTAATTCTTCGTCTGCGCATAATTGCAAACAGAAGCAATGCATCTAATTTGTTCCCAGTTGGTGTTTAGGTACAAGGGTCTGATGTAGAAAGTGGCTGGACAGAATTAAAGAATTCAAGCATACACATTCCAGGAAAACTCAGTCATCAACAGGATCCTGAGGTGATTCCTCTGCGCTGCGCTTGATTGTGATCACAGGGCACTCAGCATGCTTCACGCAAAATTCACTCACTGTCCCAACAAAAACCCTGCAGAGCAAATAAAACATGGAAACTTTCTTAGTTAAGTGGATAGGCTTCAATAATATGATAGGTATATTAGCCAACTCTGCTTCAGGGCTATCAGAATACATATATGAAAATTGCTAAACATGTCAATTGCAAAAGATGTTAGAAAATGATGTCTGCAATGTAATAATACTAATAACTGTGGTGGAGATCAGGCATATGTCTATAAAAGGCAAGCACTTAAAAGCATACCTCTGGAAAGGACCAAGACCCCGGCAGCCCACAACCAGAAAGTCTGGATGCACACGCTTCACCTCATGACAGATTACTTCCTTGGGATCCCCTTTTTTGATCCATGCTTCACAACCAACCTACAAGCATTCCAATATATAGATTTAAACTTCCGAATACTAAGTTGTATGTTTCAGATGCGATTATTTAATAATGCTGCGTCAGTACCCCAATTGCATGACATCTTTCAACAAAGAACTCCAGCAGATGAAGCCCTCTGGCGCGGTCTCTATTCCTCAGATTTTTGAAATCCTCAGGTGATGCATAGACACTATCCATGTCATCAAAACCTATTATCGAAAGAGGGCACAACATATTATTACAAGTATGGTGGGGAACAATGGTTCAAAGTTGAAACAAGTGGCAGGATCACATCGTAATAAGAAGGAAAAAGGATAAGAAAGTTTCTGAGCAATGGAAAATGAAGTGTTAAGCATGCTCAAACACAAGAATATGCAAAAGCTCAACTAGATACAATATAAATAGACTATATGCATATTCATTCACATTTTTCATATAGCAATGAACTCAAATCAATTCAGGGTCATAATTTCTCTATGATATGATCATGGTCGATACTTGAGGACCACAATAACAACAGTTATGATGATGATACTTGGGTCACATAACTCATTTTAGAATGAAAAGAAACTACATGATTTAAAATGAAGTCGCCATAACAAGCCAACTTTGAGAAACAATCATATAACCAAAGGGAAATTGTACAAAAAGTGGTCAGATCTTGTAACCGATCAAACTCAATATTGAACTCAAACTACAAAAACTCACCACTTAAACGAACTAGCAAATTTACTATAAGCTTAAAAAGTTATCAAGCACCTTCATACTCAATGCCTCCCGTTTGGCACCAAAACTTACTAACGATTTCTTAATTACGATGAAGATTATATCAAAGCAATGATCATCACCGACTAATTTCAATTTACAAAACGAAATGACATCAACTTACTGATCGCAAAGCCAATTTTCCACTCACACATAATCTGCGATTCTTTTAATATTTTCCATTAGAAAACTATAGGTTCGGTTTTGATTTCCCTATCCTTTCAATTTTTGCTTCCATTTCCTCCATTTTCTTTGCAATCAAGCATATCACAAACATAAGTATTGAATGGGAACAAAAAAAGAAAAACAGAAGGAGAGAGAGGACCGTCTTCGTCAGGGACTTGGGCATGAAGGAAGAGGAGCTTGAAGCCAGAGGTGTTGGAGCGGACGATCTTCTGCAGAGTCCACTCGAAGGCCTTTCTGCTGCTTATGGAGGCGTGCGGGTACCCCTTGATCGTCGACTCGTTCACTGCCAGCATTATCCGAGTTGGGTCACCCTCCATCTTCTTCGCTCACTGAGTCACTCGCTCGCTCGCTTCCAACTCTCTCTCTCTCTCTCTCTCTCTCTCTCTCTCTCACTCTCTGGTGACTATGTCGGTACGCAAGCTGAAAGACTGGTTTATTGTTTCCCCGTTTTGTATTTAATTTGCAAGCCATAAACCCGAGTGCGCGCACCACGCATCAGAGCGTATGCTAGTGGATATTGACAAAAGGATGCTAACATGCGCGCTTCTGTTACTGCCAGTCTGCCACCCGGCAATGTATAAACCAGGTGTCATTTGCCATGGTTTGACAAAAAATTGGCGGGCGTGAAGTGTCTTTTTAGTCTCAATGAGTCACCACCACCAGTCCGATCCTGATTAATTGCCAAATTGCCATCGAATTTATTTATGAAAAAATTGCCTCCACTCTTTCTTTCTTTTTTTTCTCCTAAAAATAGAAGAGATATTTAGATTTAGTCATACAGTCTCGATCTCTTGGACTAAAAGAGTGCAAGAGTGAGTGAATCGTTGGATGTTAATCCAACGGTGAGTGACCACAAATCTCTTGGACCCCTGTAATCCAAGAGATCGAGATAGTTTAGTCATATATCCATTCTGAGCATTAATAATATAGATAAACCCTACACTATTTAATTTCTATATAAATAAAACCCAAAAAATTACAGCTGGTCCTATTGAATTTAATTTTGATTATTAAATTACTTTAATTCCCTATTGAGTGTTTTGAGCTTTTTTAGAAGGTTTTGGGGTTGGGTTTGTTTTAAAAAAATCAATGGTAGTTTTGTAATTTAAAAGAACATAAAAACCTTTTTGTTATGTTGTAAATGAGTTTTGAGTGTGTTTCTAAAGTCCATTTTATATATGGTTTTTTTATTATATATAATTTGGACTCTTATATTGAGTATAATAGTGAATCTCTCAAAAAAATACACAACCATTTTTATTTTTATTTTTATTAGTCGTTCAATCAAGGTACTTAAAATGTCAAAAAAAAAAAATCATCAGTATTTGTGACACAAGGAGAAACGCGTGTCCCTTAATAAATAATTGATTGTCCTATTTTTATTATTGTTATAAATCATTATATTACGTGATAATTTTTTTTGGTAACAAAATATACCTACAACAACAAACCTACATAATAAATAATTAAACAAATGTTCAATTATGAATTATATTTTTTTATAAATGAATATTATATAAATCAAACATATAAGTGAGGTGGACTTAGACTTTAGGACATGAAGCTACTCGAAAATAACAATAAAGCTTGTCTTAAAGTGGAATACATTATTCTTATTTGGGAAACAAGTGTAGAGGGTATTACACTTTGTTTCCGAGTTGATATAGAAAGCTCTTCTTCTTCGTTTAAGAATGGGTTTTTAATTAGTCAATTAGAACTTAATTCAAAATGCATATATGATCTTAGTCAAGTTGGCTAGGCGAATGTGCTATCCACTATGTACCCGAGTTCGAATCCGCTCCAGTAAACTCAATTAGATTAAAGTAGAATATTGTTTGTATAAAATAAAATAAAAAAACTTAATTCAAAATATTTGCCTTGCATTGGGCCTTTGGGCATGGTTCAACTCCAAATTGGGCTTCTTCTTCTCTCTTTTTTTTCCAATAATCAAATTGGGTTTTTATTTTATTTTCTTAGGAAATGGGCTTCTTCATTGTTTGCAATAATCGGAAGTCATTTTATAATGAGGGCCTTATGTATGGCCCTTAGGTGAGACCCTATCTTTTAGCCGTTAGATTTTTTGCAATAATCGAATGGTAATTTGTGCAATAAAAATCAAATAAGCTGACTGTGAGATTCTTGAGAATCCGAACTCAACTTCAAATTGATCGGATTCATAATTTCTCACTGATTAAGACTCAACAACCTACATTCTTTCCAAACAGTGAAAAGAAGAAGAAGAAAAGAAGAACAAGGGCCTATTGCGAGTGCGAGTTTTCTCTTGGCAGCAGGCAACCATATTTCCTCTATGAGTCTCTGCAATAAAATCCCACCATTTAAAGACAAATATGATAACGATACTTTAACAGCAAGAAAATGAAAATACAAATTGGAAAATTGGAACAGAGCTTTCTTTTTTAAATTCAAATTTTATGGAATTTCCAAATATAAAATTATCTCTACTCCATAAATGTTACATTATGAATATATGAAGGAAACCAGTGCAGAAAAAACACTAGTGATACACCTATATATCTCCCGAGTGTACAAAATAAAACCAACAGAGGTATACAATAAATTATCTTCCCTAATTGGCCTTACCCAGAGATTACATACCACTGAAAGACACCCTACCAAAACCCAGATGACCAATCTGGTACAACTCTAACCAAACCCTCTCTGCCTCCAGCCTGGCACTCACACACTCCATTTGGTCTGATGAAATTTCTGGCGTTCTTTCCTCTTCTTTTCTCTCCACCTCACACTGATGATGATGATCATCATCGTCATCGTCAATGCTGCTGCATTTTCTCTTGCTTTTCCGCTTTTGCCCCTTGGATTTCCCCAGTCCCAAGCACTTCCTGCCCACCATCCAGGGCACTTTAACGAAGGCAAGAGTGAGAAGATTCAGCAAAGCGCAGGGGCAGCAGCAGAGTGCCACGCAGTCGGCTATCAAAGCGCCGCTGCATGACTTGCAATACTTGCCAGAGCACTCTATCCGGTCCCCCGTGTCATCCACGGCGTACCGGCTCTTCCTTGGGGTTGTGGGTCTTGCCGCTGAGGATGTGTCGCCCTGATGATCGGATGACGTCCCGCGTTTACGTGACGACTGAGGTGGGTTAATCTCGTCCATTTGGATTATCTGACCTGCAAAAGAAAGATGAGAAGACTTTAAACTCCGATGAATTTCTATGCCGGTGCTGGCTTTGGAATGAGGAGCATATATCTTGATACCAAGTTTATATTAGGGAGGGCTTTCCAACATATACCACGTAAGGGAAGAAGATATATGGAAGATATTGTTTCATGCATTGTTATCTTGGTAATTACACAAGGGTAAAAGTGTCCATGTAAATATTTTGAAGGGAAGAGTGATATAGAGATTCACGCGCAGCCAACTCGATTGAGCCCACTTCGATAGGCTATTGGAAATCAGAAGGAAAAAAAGATGAAAACACTTGTCTTGACAGTATAAGTTATAATCAAGGATCTTTCTTCAAATAATACTTGTAGTTTCGTTTTTAAAGTGTTAAGTAAATTTAAGTTTGACTTGTATGGTTGTAAGATTCCTTGAATATCTTCCCCTTCATCCTCAAGATTTCTCCGATATGACCGAAATTTAAGAAGAATAAGTAAAAATGACACACCAAATCAATATATGTGTTAAATTCCTAATTGAATCACATTCAAACCAAATAAGTCCTAACTAAGCTATCTATCTACTAACCCTAATATGTCCTTAGATTTGAGTACTGAGAATATCTACAGATCTAGCGTTCGAGAAAATAATTGAATCCAAAAAAATTTCACAATCTTACCTACATTTTGTTCATTAAAGGAAGGTTTAATACTATTCAACTTTTTTTCTTTGGGACTAAGCGATTTCCATCTGACTGTCTCGAATGTTTTCAAACTCTATTAATTAGGGGCGCGTGGGTAAGCATTTTAGATAACTCTAGGGTGTCACCTAAAGCCCTTGTTTTCTTGGAATTTTTGTGTACCAAACATCCATGCTGTGACAGAGATTACATATAAAACTTACCTACAAAGTAATGGATGAACAAAAATGTTTTTTTTTTCCCACTGGTTTTGGCAGAAAAAACCAAAAAGGGCTTGAATGACAGATATACCCTATTACCATGGTTTTTCATGTGAAGTGACAGGCAATGCGAATGAGGCAGCTGTTCACTACTTCACCAGCGAGCCAGGGCAAAGTTGGTAAAAGGGAGTGGTGTTAAAGATGCGAGAGAGAGAGAGAGAGAGAGAGAGAGAGAGAGAGAGAGAGAGAGATACTGCAGAGCAGTAACTCTGTTTTTCCTTGAATGAAAAAGGTGAGGTTGAAAATGGAAATGAGAGTGAGACGAGACACGGCAGGCAGAGGCCAAGTTTATGAATATGTTTCCCTCAATGTGTTTTCGTGAAACGAACGATCACTTCATGTCCCATGCCCAATTTAGCTCTGAAACAATTCCTGCTCTGCCCTATCATGCCCACAAGCCCTTTAGTATTGGGCCCATTGTCCTCTTAAGTGCGTGAAACACTTACATGAAACGGGAATAGTATTATTTTGCTATTCTCGATCAATCATAGTATGACATGCGTGATAACTTTTTCACATGGTAAATTGTGATTGACTAGGGATAACAAAACAGTAATATCCCCGTTTCATACAAGTTTTTCTGCTAAGTACTCCAAACTTAATTTCCTAGGCCCATCAAAGTGTAACTATACCTACGAACCCATCAAGTTATCGAATTTTATCTCAAAAGTCTTGGTACAAATTAGAACGATGGATAGCTCAACTTCATCAACCTTTTTATGAACAATTAAATTTTGAACAATATCCACCGATTAATCACATTCGACATTCTCTAAATCTCATTATAAATCATCTGAGCCATATCTCACCTTTAAACAAGATCATCTCATGTGCAACTTGACCTCGAATCTAATTCCTTTGAGGAGAGCTTCAACCTAGTTTGTATCTCTTAGGGGTCTATAAAGCTACCCCATTCCTACCGTTTATTTCATGACTTCATCTTCACCAATGAATTGAATTTCTCAAAGAATATAACTTTCATCTTTTCACACAATTATTCAATTTATTGTTTCACTATCAATTGCATGTTAATCATAATCATAACCAGTGATGCTTAAAAAAGCATGTAAATGGGCATTCTTTACTTTCCAAAATAGAGTTGTTAACTTAAGTACTTGGCTTTTGTTTAAAAAAAAAATTTGATACCTCTAGGCATACGCCGAAAGCCATGTGCAAAAGGAAAATGGAGGTCGGTCTCTTTATCCAAAAAAAGACAACTAATGAAAATTGAAATTTTTGTCCGAATGGAATTTGATTGGAAATGATACCTTAAAAGCGTGACAGAGGAAGAAAAAAAAAAAGTGGGATGGTATCAATTTCCCTATATGCCGAAAGGTATACTTGATTTTAATAATGCACTGTCAAAATCAAGGTGATGATCAAACGAGACCCAATTGAAGACATAAAAAAAAGAACTTCGAAACACAGTCGGGGAGAAAAAAAGAGCATGGAAGTTCACATGGGGCATAAAATATGCACCCAACTTTTAAATGGCTCGTGATGTAATGAAAATAGAACTTTTTTTTATTATTGAGAGGGACAATAATATATTAAACTCACACACACTACATTAATGTTAGGACTCGAACCTATAACTTTGCATACGAGTAACAATTACTCTAAACCACGACAATAATAAGTACTTTGTAAATAGCGTTAATTTTGAGGTGAAGTATAAAGTAATGCGATATTTTTTAAAATAATGGCACAACTGGTGGTGAGTGTTTTGACTAATACTTTTTTGAGAATATAAATTCCATCATGTTGGGCAAATGCCATGTCTTGGAAGCAGAAAGAATCATTTCATCAAACAAACAATAATCAAGATTGGCAGAGAAGAGATTCTATTGTAATGCGAAAATCAAGAGATGGGATTTGTGGATTTGTGGATTTGAGTTGTTGAATAAGAGAAAAAGAGGAAGGTATTAATTAATTAAACATGGAAAAGAGGAAAGTCATTGATTCAATTTTGGAAAAAACAAACTATCAAAATCCGGTTAGATTTAGAATTTGAAGGAAGAAGCATGTATTATTATTAATTTAGCTTTTTCTGAAAGTGAAAGTTGAAAGTTGAAAGAAACAAGACTTTCTTTCTTCTCATCTCCTCAAGGCTCAAAGCAGATGGGCTCACATTACAACAAAAAGGTTAGACATTAGTGGGACCGATCCACGGTGGAAGAATCAGCCAATCAGCAATTAGGTCATTAGAGAGAGTGAATCAGGCAATCTGACTAGGACTAGGAGCAGATAATGCGCAAAGGAAAAGACTGAAGAGAAAACAGAGTGTAACAGAGGTGGGCTAGAGCAAGAGCTGGCTTGCACATTTCAATTGCATGAAAATGACATTTGAATATGCCGAAATGCACATTATTAATTACTTGAAATAGCATAAGCAACATTAGTTAATGCAGCAGGTTGATTGATATGGAAAATAAAATAATAACAACTGACCTGGACTGGAGAAGCAAGCAGATCAAAGCTTCTTCACTTTCACTGCAACTGAGTCCAGGAGATATGGAAGGAAGATTCTTGTCTTGATGGTGATGGTGATGGATTAGAGCTCATCTCATGGGTTGGGTTGGGTTGGGTTGATTGTCTTGATAGTGATATCAGAAAGAAAGCTCTGTGACTGTATATGTGTAGTAATGGAAGCACAGCAAGCTTGACCGATCTGATCTCAAATGCCCAGATTATATATAAACTTTTCTTTGTCTAACATTTCTGCAACTGCAACCAGAATCACACACACTCTCTCTCTCTCTCTCTCTCTGCTTTTATTAATCTATTGTTTACTGACTTACACAAATTTGTTAATGAAAGCAAAAGATTTTCCCTATAAAAAACTCTGGAAGACAGAATAAACAAATTAAAGAAAAGTACTACTACCATCCTCAGTCATAAGTTAACAGAGAGAGAGAGAGAGAGAGATGGATGGGGGGCATATCATAGGCATTTGGTTTCATGAGTACCGATGACAGCGAATATAGGGAATTGTTCCTCATCTACCGAGCTCTTTTTTCTACTCCCCTGCTGCTGCTGCTCTACCTCTCCTCCTCCTCTAATTTTTTACCTGTCTGTCAATTTATATGAGTAAATTTTATTAATTAGTGTAAGAAATGCACAATGCAACCCCTAATTCAAGTTTGAACCTCATAAATTAAAGAGGAATATTTGACCAATGAGCGGCAGCACAATGCGACCACCAGTGTGCGTCATATCTCATTTGGTTCTTCTCTCAAGTCAAGTTTGAATCATCTCCTGTCAGCTCTCTGTCACGCGAATCTTTCTCACCCACCACACACACACACATATATACATTACTTACTTCAACTTCAATACCTCTATTCTCTTCTACTTCAACTTAATCTTTAATCATGACCACCACAAATGCATGTCCCTGTGTGGAGAGTATGCATCTCTCTCTCTCTCTGCTCATCTGCTCATGCATCTGCATCTCTCTCTAAAGAAACAAAAGCTGACGGGTAACCTGGCCTCAATTATAAAATTTAGTGGTTGCCAAAAACCTGCGTATACAAAACATTCACTATGGCCATCATTGGTATTTCGTCTCAATTCTCCAAGGGTCTACTGGTGTACCACTATCACCAGCCCACAACCAAACAAAAAAAACACATAAAAACGAGCATAACCAGACATAAAACACTGTGGCTTTTTACGTTTTCTAGTCGCGCCCTTTTTAGTTGGTTTAGGTTTAGCTAAGGAGGTATAGGCCCATAAACAATGGGCTCATTTTGCATATCCAACTTCGTAATTTAGGGTTGGGTTCAAATGGGATGTTAAACCCTAAAGGCCCATAAACAAATGCTTATAAATTATCGCAAGCACCCTTTTCTTGCCTCATACTGAAAAACCCTAGTCTTCTTGACTTTCGTTCGGGAGACCAGTTCTCTCCTCTCCTTAGCTTGACTGCTTGCAGCCGCTTCTGTTTCTGCTTCCTCGTCTTCTTCTCTATCTTCTTCTTTGTTATTCTGAATTTGATTTCGTTTATTTGAAAAGACTTGTGGGTTATATGTTAATCTGGCAACGATGAAGAGTGCTTAAATTTCTGACACCTCTTGTATGAGAAGGGCCTGTAAAAGGGCTCTTCCTTGAGCACAGTTAGCAACTCTCTGAGCCTCACCCTTTTTCTTTCTTTCTTTCTTTCTTTCTTTCTTTACTTTTGTTTTTGCAGTCACCCAGATAATTTGTTATTAATACTTTGTTTCATATTTCTTTTATTTCTCTGAAAGATTCATTTTTGATTGAGAATGTTGCCCTTGTCTATTTGCCCAACAGTTTTTTGATCTGCAAAGATCGTTTTGTTTTTAAACCTTTTGTTTTTCTCTGAATCACTGAACAATCTATACGTTTTCGATCCTAGTTTTTCCATTTGGAAGTAATTGGCTTTTGCAATCAATATTTTTGTTTGTAGAATGAAAACCCAACTTAGGTTATTCTTGAAACAACTTGATTTGATCTTCTCCATTAAGATTTACTAATTGCAATACATATGGTTGTGAATTGATGTAGGATGCTGAGATAATCTCTCTGGTTTAAGACGAAAATACGAAACAAACACGGATACATACATTCATTTCTAAAGTTTCCAAAACTTTCCATTTTGCATTGCTCAACCTAAACCTCAAATCATATCGAACCTCAACCTAAAACTTTCCATTTTGCTGGCTTTGGTTATAACAATATCTTAGTGATCCTGACAAAAGATTTGTAAGCTTTCTATTGGACAATTCATATCGAACTTGGACATTGACGGACCCGTTGCCCATAATCTTGTTCTTCGACATGCTTGTCTCCTGAGCCAACTTCTCTGCCACTTCCTCTGTTTCAATGACTTGATCAAAGCAAATGTACCTCCCAAATGCTGCCTTGTTCATTTCCTCAAACACGCACACATGAGCGTCTGCCAATCTCATCATATCTACTGTGGCTAGCACCCCACTCTGGTACATGTCTTGGGATCCTGTATTCATATATATACACAGTAAAAAATGGAAACTAGAATTTGTGGTTGTGTATGCATTTTGGAAAGCAAAAGGGTGTTTGATGAATGATGATGGCCACCTTTGAGATATGCAATTGTTGCTGTTGGGTTTCTTGTAGAGAATTCAGGACCAGTGATGAGAGCTGGGCAGATGGTTGCCAACTTAATCCCCTTCTCCTCAGATATTTTCCACGCAGCCTTCTCTGCCCTCAGCTTGCCCAAGGCATACCAGAGCTGCCATTTTTTTCCCAAATGAAGTTAAAATACAAATAATTTGTCAGCAGAAAAAAAAAGGTGTAATTTGGATTAAAATAATACCTTTTTGTCTATGCAAAGTGACTCACTGCTCCAGCAGTCATGGTTAATTACAGGGGATGGGTTATCCTGGTTGCTGTCATTCCATACGCAGGCTAAAAGTGAAGAAGTCAGCACACATTTTCTCACAGAAGCTGTCAATGAACATGCCTTCATCACATTCTCACTGGCCTTCACTTCTATCTCAGCCATGGCTTTCTAATCACATGATTCAAAAAATGTTAACAAATAATCTCAGCCATGGATCTAACAAATAATAATGATTGCAGTATTATATGTATAATTTAAGTCAAAGTTAGTGATTGGGGTGAAATTTTTCAACTTGTGTTTGAGTGTGCCTTACGAATTCCAATTACTTGGAAGTATAATTGGTTTTGTTTGAAAGGTTTGGAAATTGGTAAAACGTATACATCTCTAGATTGACACTAAATTAAATTTGATAGAACTCGCTCACAGTGTAACCAGAGAGCCCAGCAGGGTCAGTGAATGCAGATGTGTGGAAGACGCCACGACAGCCATGGAATGCTTGAGACAAGCTTTCAACATCTGCTAGATTTGCCATAACTGCTGATACCTTGTTATTATTGGTCCTTGTCCTCGTCTCCCCCAACTTTTCTACATCTTCTGCAGAGACCACATGGTATATATATAATATATAATAATAATAATACAAATTTGTTTGCTTGCAATCATACCAAAAGCAGATAGATACATGTAAAAACATAATTACAAGAATAGTTAAAAGCTAAATTAATAGGACTGCAATCAAACAAAAAAAACAAAAATGAAGAAGACAGCGGAAACTTGATCGAAATCCGAAATGATGCTAAATTGTAAAAATCCAAGTTTTGACCAACTTGTTTCAAGTGTTGAAGAAACAAAAGCAACCCAAAACTGCAGTTTGTTAATTACCTGGGTTATCAACGAGGATGCGGACAGAGTAGCCACGGAGGAGGAGGCGGTTGACGAGGGCGAGGCCTAAGAAGGAAACGCCGCTAGTTACGCAAACCAATTTGTCTTCTCCTTCTTCGTCGTCGGTCAAGTCGTTGGTTTTAGATGGAAAACGCAGGTCGTTGGGTTCATGTTTTGTGCGGTGGAGGGCTGCGGCGGAGGCCACCAGCATACGACAGAATTCCTGTAACTCAATGTTGTCCCTCTCTTCTAAACCCACAATTCCCATTTTGGATTTGATCTAAGGCTAATAATATCAGTTGGCCGTTAATTATCTGCCTTCCCCTGTTTCTTCTCTTCTTTTCTTCTTTTCTTCTTTCTTCTTTTCTCAGGAACAGAGACAGACAGTGACCACGCTGCAAAACTCACAGGACAATATATTTCAGAGACAGCGTGTTATTATTATGTAGCTAATATTCTATAATCTCTAGTCATGCAAAGCTCGCTCTAATCTCATACCTCATAAAAAACTGCCTACAGCCTAACAGTCTAGAGCTAAGCTAACAGGCTTGCCAACTTGCCTTGGCTTAGCTAGCTAGTTAGCCTTACTTTTACTCTTTAGCATTTGCAAATTTCAAAAAATCAAATTAAGAACAGTACTGCTATTTTCATCCCATGTCTTATTCTTTCACTCACTTTATTTTTAAAATTTTAAAAATAAATTTACTCATTTGTAAAATGATTTCTAAGGACTTAAGGAAAAAACCTTAACTCACGTAACCCATATATTTTACCGTTTGACAAAAATAAAAGAAAACATACTCAATTGCTCACGAATCTTCTATTTCTCTTATGACTCCTCAATTGCTCTTAGTAAGATAAAAAAATAAGATTAAACAATTTCAAGCATTAATTAATATTGCTTGCAAAATGGTGTCAAGTTTATGAATAATTACATCATTGCCAAGCTAGTTAACTAGGCTCATATTAGCCAACGGTGTCTCAAATAGTTCCATAACAAACTTAAGTCGCAAAATTCTCTTTACTGAATCACCAATTCTACTCATAGGAATAACTTTATTTTTTGCCAGGAAGCTTAAACCGTCAATGAATTTTGTATAGTTGTATATAGAACCATGAGCAGTAACATGCATAAAATAGATGTTGACAAATAACTAACATCATAAAGTTTATTCAATTCAAGAATAAAGAAGGGGAAAAAAAACCAGCCAATATTGATTATCATGTCAATGTCATTCCTACATTGAATAGGAGTAGTTGGAGCGAGGTGATCCTGTAAATTCTGAAAAAAATTTGTATCAATTAATAATTAGATGATATTTTAGGAATAATTGTGAGTGGAAAGATAGAATTGTATTTTTTCAAATTTACATGATGGTTGAGAAGATAATATGGATGGATGAAAATAGCAACACTCATTAAGAAAATGTTATTCAGTCTCTCATTATTCAGCTTTCTTTTTGTTTAACAAATACAAAAAAATCATTCTCAATTTCAATTATAACAGCAATTATGAGGATATGTAAATCAACAAGCAATTTCCTTACCTGTTCGATTTCTAATGAATCAAGATAACTGTTCGTTCAAGCAGGTCCGATTATGACTATTTCTAATCCTAAATGGAATGTTTTTCTACCAATTAGACTCTCCCTTCACCATTGGTATTGCTTATAATTAATATTACATTTATAACCCATCAATGTGATAGGTCCCATTTGTTTCGCTTTGTGATGATAAATACTAAATTTGGAGTGGGGTGAATAATAGCGGGCTCCTTTAAATTTAAAAAAAAGAAAAAGAAGGATACATTCAGTAAACTAGCCACTCTGCATGCGCTTCCGCGCATGCGAGAGGTCTTTTTTAAAAGAATTTAATTTTTTTATAGAATTAAAAAGATAATGGGTAGTTGTATTTCGTAAAAATAGGATTCATTATCTGATTTAATTTTAATTTTAATTTTTTTTTAAGTATGAATTTACCATATTATCCTCATTTAATTAATAATTTCAATTCTTAATGTTTGCATTAACTAAGGGTATTTTCTTGTATTTTGAATGTTTCACCATTCTCTGCCTTTTGCTTTATATATAGATAATGTGATGCGAGGCTTTTTTAAAGTAAAACAAGTATTGTCAAAAATGAGAAAATTGATATGGCTTGGCTTGGCTGGGCTTAGGTTTGAAGAAGCACGGGTTTGTGGCGTCAAGAAAGAATGGAAGCGGGTGGCCCTGAGCACCTCACGTGTTGAATGACAAGTGAGCACGAGATACCATCTACACGCCACCACCACCGCCACACACGCTAGACGAGAGTTAGTTGCGCCATTCATGTATTAATTTAAGATCTAACACGTCAGCTGATGTGACAATTATATCATTAATATAATTAAACTTTTTGGACTTGTACAGGTGAAGTCCAAGTGTGGCCCACCACATTCTCATTAAACTTTTTGGGCTACCTTAGATGGGCTTGATAAACTTAGGCCCGAAACAAACGGAAAATAAATCAACTGACACTGAAAAGAGAAGAAAACAAGGGAAATTTACAGCAGTCTGATCGAGTCTGCTGGTGTGAAGTCGTCTTGACGGCGTAGAGAATCTCAGAGAGAGTTATGGGCAGCTTCCCTGTCCCCCACAAGAAGCTCTCCTTGGAAATTAAGGTATTTTATTTTTTGCTCATTCATGTTTTGTGGGGGTTTGTGTTGTGATTTTGAGCATAACCTGTTTGCTTCATTGTTTTCTCCAATTTTGTTTCTGCTACTCTGCGATTTCCGCGTTACTGAAGCTCGTTTGGGTTTTCTAATTTGACTTTGAATCTCTCTCACCCAAGAATTGCCATGTTTTCTGCTTGGCAGGGGAACAAAACAGATGTAGTCATCTGCAGTTACGATGATCATTTCCTTGTGAGTTTTGTTTTTGTTTTTTATGTATGGGATTGGGGGTGGTGGTGGGTGCATGGAAAGACTGCAATCTTTTTTGTGTCAACTTCTAATATTTTAAACACTTGCTCAGGTCATTGCAACTCAAATAGGAGCTATGGGCACCATCCTGCAAGCCAGGTATTCTGCGTATTTATTAGTTTCGTTTCTGTGTCCGAAGCTTTTGTTATTACTACTGTTGTTGTTTACAATGATTTGTACTTTGCCCTTTTGATACCTGAAAATTGCTATTTGCCTATTGGCAATGAATGGTGTAGTGCCCCGTCGAGGAGCTTATGTGGTGTATATTATTTTCATCTTCAGGAAGGAGGAAGGGATGGCAATCCATCCAACATTCAACGTGTCTGTAATCTTCGGCAAGCGAGATGAGGTAAGATTGCCGGTGCACTATAGCCTGTTAGCTTTATATATTCCTTGCTGACTGCCTTTCGTGCAGCCAATGCTAGTGTCCTGTGCTCGTCAACTTATTGAACACATCAGGTATATCTCCATTTATAGGAGTTTCTTTTTCCTTATTCAATACCAGTTACTGATCCTGTAAAAAAAAATTTGGTGAATATTGTGAAGCAAGGTTCGCTTGTGAATGTTCTATTTCTAATATGTGTATTGAACTGCCTGTTTCTTTCGGAAAATACTAGCTGAACATGTAATGTTCTAACTTCTAACACAGCGGGTTGTGTTTGCAGTAACTCAGGCTCCTCCAGGCCATTAATGCTTTCTCTTGGTCTTAAAGACCATTCAGTGGTACGAACCAACCCCTAAGTCTATAGATGCTTTTTGGCCAATATATTTGTTGTAATTCCAATTATGTCATGCAGGAGACATTGAAAGGCATTGTTTCTGCTGTGATCGGGAATCGTCTCTGGTAGTAGTGTGAAGTTGTGCTCCGGATTCGCTTCTCCTGTGACGAATGAAGTTTGCTATCAAAACCCTTAATTACTTTCCAGCAAGATTCAATCCAACCCTCACCGCATGTAATCAGTAGTAGGGTGTCATCATGTTATAATTTCATTGCTTGACGAGTTGCACACATCTTACCTTGGAGACAATTCAGGGAATTGAAGAACTGATTGATGAAACAGATTATTTAAGCTCAATTGTAGTTTCTGTTCTCTTGGCACATTCTGATAACTTTTGGTGAAGGCTGTTGATATGAATTAACACTTGACAAATAGGGTTGATGGTTCAGAAGAACCAGTGAATTTGAAGGATATGTGATTCGATTGAATTAGAATCTGTTTTGTTGTTTTATAATCCAAATTGAATTTGATTTGAAACTTGGTTCATTTTTTGATCCTACTAAAAATCAGATTTTACTCTGTTTTGAGAGTTGTTTGGTCGACAAGTTGCATGTGCAGCCCTTGAAGCTGACACAACGGGTAGAAGGCACGACTATGAAGAGAATTTGTTTTGGTCGAACAGAAAAAGAGAGAATTGAACTAATATGAATTATAATTACAATATCAGTTCAATAAATTACACGTTACACAACGGGATTCAAGGAATAGCATTCTCAAAATTTGAACGTCTGCACTAACACGCATTCACACATATGGTACACTACGAGTACATCAAAAGAAAGAAGAGGAAGAAAATTGCTCCTATTGCAGACTCCACATACCATCAAAGCACCAATGAAATCATCAAGCAGTGGCCACAACACCGCCGTCACACTTCATCTTCTTTCGGCAACATTTTCTATTTTTCCGCCGAAGCAATTGTATGGTTGACAATGGTAGACTGCAGACATGACATTGCCATTATCCTTCACTTCCGTTTCTAATATTTTCGTCTTTGTTGGTCATAACTTTCAATTGTCTTTCTAACTGCAAAAGTACGAGAAGACATCTTCTGATCACTTACAAGAAACGTTCTGATTACAGATAACCCAAAAATATATTTCTTTTCTCCCTAGATTATAAAAACTCCAACAAAAGCCATTCAGATAAATACACAAACCTGGGCATTTTTCAACTTCTGTCTTTGCAATTGTTCAACGAGATTCTCGACACTGACATTACAGATGGAGTATAAGTAGAACGTTGATAAGAAGATCCAAAATTACATCACCAAAAAAAACTTAACTACTCATATACCTCTGTTGCAGATGAATCACCAGAGACTGTAATTCTCTCTCCCTCCCAGAGGCCGGAGGCATCTGCGTCAAATATGACATGTGGCATTGTCAAAATCTAGTTCAAGCTTAAAGTCCATAAGAGCAAATTACTTTCAAGAATTGGATGTAACACAAACTACCACTAGAATGGGGAGAAAACTATTGTAGCTTATTAGCATTTTCAATTAATAACGACTCATCAAGCAACAATATTATAAAGTCATTTCATGTACAACCAATATGATTTCGAAAAATGGCATATATGTTAAAGGTAACTAAACCCAACCTTTACCTGCAAAAGATCACTGCTGCTTGCATCAGTGGACTCCCCTTGTGTTCCTGTGTGAAGCTGAATGTATCAAACCCAACAAAAATTTGCAGACGGCCAAAAATGTGAGATGAAAAGCTTGGGAAATTACCAGAGGTCTGTTCCACATATTTGATCAATTTAACAATTTCTTCCTGCCAAATGAGGAAAACAGAAAATTGAGACATAATATCTCCTCTACAAAATTGGGTAAGAATAGAAACTGGCACATACCCTTTGCAAGCTGTTTTGCTGCAGAATGCATTGTAATGATGGGAGAACAGTGGCAGCTGCAAGGTTTGTGGTTGCTGGACTAGTTGAACCTCCACAAGCAGGACCAAAAAAGCAGTTCGAAGGACCCTGGAAAATAGATTAGAATGGCAATGGTTATAAGGCCATTGCCTAAAAGATATAAGTTGCACCCCTACTGTTTTATGAAGTGAAACATCATAAATAGACAAATTTAATGCAGCTAGCTATTGAGCATATACTAAACTAGGAGGAGAATTAAGAGTTGGATTCAAAATTCACAATGTAGACATAAAACCCCAATGGGTGCTGAGCAAAAATCTGATGAAAAACCGAAACCAGTAGATGGGTCAAACAAAATGCAATTGCATTCTTGAGAGCCAAACTTCTGATGAATAGCAGAGAACATTCTAAAGTATATATGTTGGAAACCCACAATTCAATCAATTTTGCAAACCAATTTCCAATAACCAGACCCCATAAAGATAAAAATTTACAAGTGGTAGCTACAGCATAAGCAAACTGGTAAAAGAGAATAAAAATTCTTCAAGATATCAGATTAATGGTTCTGCCCTTGTGTTAACCACAAGCTGAGCACATAGCGATGATAAATTCTTTATTCATATGTACCTTGGGACTGAGGTCCGCTGAAGTGACCTTGAAGCGCCCCTTACGTTGGACAACTGCTCCTTCAGACATATCCTCAGCTGCATAAATAAATGCAATACCATAATAGCTTTAAATAAGGACAAATAGGTGATGGCATCAGAAATTAGACATAGGTAATAAATGAGAAGCACAGAACCACAGAAGACAAACCAGAAGCAGGGTTATTGGCATGACCCTTCTGGCGATACAACAATGGACCACTAAAGTTCCGCTCAGGTTGATGTTTTAATTGTAGATGATCCCTTCAAAATATCATGTATGCAGTTATATAAAACAAGAAGTAACTACATATGGAATTCAAGGAGCTTTCATTTCATTCAGTCAGAGATAGCATGAGCATGCAAACAATGTTTGATACATTGAAGGGGAGAGGCAAAGCTCACTTTCTTCTGGTTGAAAAAAGGGAAAGAACAATAGAGCATTCTACCGATGAGGTTATTCTAGAGAACCTAGCATAATAAACAAACCAAAAAACTTTATCCTGAAGAAAGCTTACCTCTCCCCATCACCAATAACCTTTTTAGGAGAAAGCACACCATCCGGTAGTACTGAACCACTCAAAAATTTTTTAGGCTCAGGAATGACATGACGTGGTAAATAACTACTTTGACCTGAAGTCTCACCCTCGGTTCTTCCATTTTCTTGAACAATGGTTCTAGGACTAGTCGCACTCCCATCATCCTCACAAACATCAAAACAGCCTCTGCTTCAGAAAACATAATTAATTACATAAATAATATATATTTTTAAATGAAATGAATTTTTAAATGTTCAAACAGCCAAGCAAACATAAAAACAACTTTTACATTCAAAACATTGAGTTTCTAAAAAAGGGAGCAATTACAGCCCCAAGGAAAATGAAAATGCTAAATAAATTTACTCCAAATAAACACAAAGTATCTCAATAAATTTTGGGAAATCCCATATTACATAAAATGCAATAACTTGCAGCAAGGATCTTAATATATTGTATAATAATTTCAGACTGCAATACAAAATCTGTTGCAAAATGATAAATCTTAGACAACTATTTCCCCTGCCCACAAAATCAGTTTTTGTGTTATCAGTGGAAAATATGACTAAAAAGGGAAAGCAGTCATACTTAAGTGCTTGAAGAGGTTTAATAGGAAATGAAGCAAGTGAGCTGTCCAAATCATGAAGATCGTTGAAACCATCCTAAAAAAGGCAGATGCCAAACACAAAAGAATAATTAGAACTTCATAAATCGAATATCTGAGAGACAAGGGAGATTAAAATAAATCAATACAGATATCATTTTTCACAGTAGTTCCCATACCTCCTGATCAGGTGCAGCATTTGGTTGGTTTTCCATTTCAATAGCTGCCCCCTCAGCTGGAAAATTAACATCTTCATCCTTCTCACTTTGCTTCTTACTTGATGCATTGGGCATGCCATCTTCCTGAATCTGCGGGCAACACTGTGTCAGAAATAATATAAAATAACAATATAAAAAACAATAATGATAAATGAATATTCCATTGACGAATAAAACAATTTTCTGAAGAAATTAAGAATAACGAAGTATACATAGGCTAGAAATTCACATGACTTACAAGGGCAGCTTGATTTTTTAAATCCTCAAGGTTGAAATTCCAGGCACTGATTCCTCGGATATACTCTTGCTGCAAGTGAGTACAATTATATCAGGATAGTGTTGATATTTGGCTACCCAAACTCCAGGAATAATGATCTTAGATATTGAGGAAGATGGTTTGATTACACATTATAATGCATGCACACAGAGAAAAATTTGACTATGATGAAGAATACAAACTTAACCGAAGGCCCTATTATGTTCCATTCGTTTGCAGTATTAGACATAAGCTTCCTGTTCATAAAATATAAATGTTATGGCCCTTAAAGAGGGCGATGGACTCATATCTGTGACTTTCTGAGTAACTAAATAATATGTACTCATTTAGACCTTTTAAACACTAAAGTGCTAAAGACTAGAATGTGGAGGGAAAACTTGAAATGCCGAAGCCTAAAAGACCAATCTAGACTACAAGAAAACACCTAACCAAATTTATATAATTTGTACACAACGCTCACCTGCGATAAGTGTTCTTTATCCCCATACAGAGCCTTATTCTGCACAAGGAGATCAGCTTCTTTTGCCTAAAACATAACAAGTAAAAAATGAAGCTGAAATTATGCCACACATCACAACTAAATAATCAAGCAGAGAAGAGAGTCTGAGAGTAGCACAAGACCTTCAGCATCCTAAAACGATCACCTAGTGGAGAAAGGCCATCAAGAATAGTACGAGCCAGATAATCAACTGGTCGTGCATGTTTGAAAAAATGGTGCTTCAAAAGCTTCTCTGAAGTTGGACGTTTCTTTGGATCCTTCACTAAGCAAGCAGCTACCATCTCTTTGAAAGACTGGAAAATGTAGCACTTCATGAATCAAATTTGAAAATGGAAGATGTGAGTTTCAACTGGCCAACACAAACCTTTGAAAATCTCTTGTCTCTTTCATAGTCAAGGCCTGGGGGTGCATTTTGCAAAGTCATCAGCAAAACCTGCAATAAGGGTGGAAAAGTGAAGAGAAAAGTTGTACATTCTCATTATAAGCACCACTGAAACACTTCTAGCAGGAAGATTTCATTAAATATCAAAAAATCAAGATATTTACTTTCATGGGTGGATACTTGGAAAATGGGGCATGGCCATGAGCAAGCTCAAGTGCTGTTATTCCAAATGACCAGATGTCTGCTCTGTTCATGGAGAAAAAGGTAAAACACAACATAAGAAACTTCAAGTCTTCAACCAAAATACATTGCAGTAGAGAAACAAATGAAAAAGAGAACAAAGAAAGTCAGAGATCGGCTAAGCAACCCACTCACTTGAAGTCATAGCCATGCAATTGCTGCATAACTTCAGGAGCCATCCTGAGGAAAAAGATAAAAATATAGTATTTTAACATATGTAGAACTTCAATTGCCTTAAGTGAATCAACAGTGGCAAAAGGATCTTTAACATTAGAGCATCATATGTAAGTCTGAAGGAAAAGATTGAGAAAATACCAGCATGGAGTTCCAACAAAAGTATTTCTGGTACGCTGTCTATCTCCAGTATCAAACATGCATGCTGACACTCCAAAGTCACCTAACTTGACTGCACCATTAGAGTCAATTAAAATATTCCCAGCCTGAAAATGGAAGTTAGGAACATGAATAAGAAAACAAGTGCGTGTCTCGATTATTAAAAAAAACTTAGTGCAGACCATCCTTCAACATAAAAAGACATAAATAACAGCATGCTAAGAAATATAAAGCAAACTGAACGCAAGCTTGTCCAATACAGAGGACACACACATGTAGGCCTATGCACACCTGTAAGAGGTTTTGTACAAAGATTTAACAATATATCACAAAGCATACAATTAATCTCTTCAAAAGCAAACAAATAAATTTCTCATGTACTAACAGGAACCCTTTGTTCCAAGGATACAAATTTCATTCTTTCTCTAGAAAAGTCAACGTCACATTATTACATAATGAAGACAATCAACAACTAAATATCCCTGAAGTACACGAATATACAAAAAAATTGATGGTAAGATGATAGGATCAACAAGCTGAGTATGATACCTTCACGTCTCTATGGATGTGGCCATGAGCATGTAGATATACAAGAGCTTTTAGAACCTCATGCAATAAAGTCGCAATAACAGGCTCTTCAAAACCTTCAGGATATGCAGATTTCATTATATGCAGGCAGGATCCCCCAGCCATATATGGCATCACGACCCAAAGGCTGTGGCCAGCAGTGAACGAACAATGTGCTCGTAATAAATTTTGGTGATTAATCAAAGTCATCGTATGTACCTCCCTCCGGATACCATCCTGCATAATTTGACAAGAAAGATACAATTTTAGATGGTACTTCAAATTTATACTTAAATCATCCCATCAACAGCTTCAAGACAACAAATCAGTTAATTATACAGAAAATGTTCTTGGAGGGCATTTGAATACGTATGATGACCTTAAAAGTGTTGTAATCAGAAACTAATTTTTTTCTCAGATAAATCCTGTTATAAATGCCTCACGGTTGTACCCAAACTTTAAGAGCACATTCAACATGAAAATAATGAAGTATAACTCTCCTATAAAATACCGAAGTCATCCATGATGTGATGGGATTCCTTCTCAAAATCTCATGCAATACATGCATAGATTTCAATTAGTCCAAATATGTTAAGACATATAACCCAAGTGAACAAGACAAGCCAAATATTAGCACCAGTTAGATGCCAACCAGGTGCATTAAAAAATAAACTCGACAGATAAATTGTGAATTACAAAAGAGAGTAGTCCACATACCAGGTCATTATTGCATTTTTCCAGATCAAGAACCTTGATAGCAACTATCTCATTAAGTGGTATACAGAGTGCCCTGTACACAGAAGCACTAACACCTTCACCAACTTCTTCATATAACTTATAATCTTTTGCATCCAGAGGAAATCTTTTGTCTGATACGTACTCCATGCTTTCTTCTTATATCACACTGTTGAAACCCTCTTTACTTCTGGATATCCCAAAGAACATGAATAAAGTGTACCCAAAGGAAATAAGCATCAAATTAATACAGGGATTCCAATTTGATAGCATTTTCCCTTGGTTCAACACAAAATTGCATGTTCATCCAGTAACTCCATTCAGATAATTCTTTCACCAAATGCTTCCATTTATGGCCTAATTAATTTCAGGAACCCTAAAACAGCACTAGCTAGTTATACAATAGGCGATAATATAATTACATACACTGACAAGAATTCTGTATAGAACTTGCTATCATTCAATTGAGCAGGAATCCATAAGACAAAAGAAAGGTATCAATCTGAAGCACTTTTAGAAGGAATTAGCACTGAGAGCACAAAGCCATATCTAGTAACGTCATCAACAGTGCAGACTAACGCTGCCCGACTTTGAACTGCCCACTATTCTCACAAGACCAACTTGAGCGTTTATCATATAAGGTGCACGCTGATGGCAATGATTGATGTCTTAGTAAAAAATAAGAAACAATTTCTACAAAATAAAAGAGGAACAAGTTAGCCATATTAACAGAAGAAAGAAAGCCAGAAATGACTACTTCAGCGATCCAGATTATTATTTTGGCAGAAATAAGGAAAATTATCAAACATGAGGACATGACATTACTCATATAAATCATAACAAATAAAATTCCAATAAACATAACTTAACCCACCAATGGGTGTAGTGAACACCAAACACAGTCCAAAAATTAATCTTAGCTCAGTAATGGGTGACCGCACTTGCTTTCTGGATCTTAAAGGGCCGATTGTATTGGAAAGTACAAATCTACTTAAAATTGTGTCCAGAAAAAAAACCATCTTACAAGAGCTCTTGTTTGATCAGTTTCTGAACAATTCTCACTTCCTTACAGTCATGCTTCTATGCAACAATTTACTCATTGGAGAAGTAGAAAATAAACCTTCCTTGCAACAATTCATCACAACTTGGATTTTTAAGACAGAAGAGGGCGGGGGCGGGGGATTAAAATTGCGATGCTACAATCTACCATTCTAAATTTCCACATTTTTACAATCAAATTAGCAACACTACACATTCAAATTTAAAACTTGCCACCTCAAAACCATAAGAAATCATCAAACTGAATTCCAGTTACCCATTTGTCAGCTCCACCAAACCAGAGCATTAGATTTTAATATAAACATGAAGAAATGAAATGAATTAAGCAAAACAACAGAAAAAATAACAACACTTTTTAATTGCTGCTAAACAAAGTCATGAACTTGACGAAAAAAAATCCGCTAAATTCAATTGCTTTAAGTGGGCGGGCGGATGATGAACCTGAAGAATTATCAGCGGGAGTACCGAGTACGTACGGACGTAGGGTTTCGCCAGCAAAGTGGAACTCGTTGTGTATCGTCGTGAAAGTGGACGAACCAGAAGGTCCAGAACTGAATCTGAGTTGTTCTGACAAAGATTCAGACAAAATGAGAACCCCTGCCCCTCCCCCACAAAACGACGTCGATTCAGCTCAAATTGCTCGTCGATTGAAGTCCCCCGATTGTCTCTCTTATTCTATCTCTTTCTCTCTCTCCTCCCCCTCTCTATATCCAACTGTCGCTCAGGCTTAGGTCCTCAGATCGAATCTCTCTCCATTTTTTTTTTCTTTTTTCTATAAATAATTTCTGTTTTTAAACGGAATTAAAATAAATAAATAAATACAACAGGTAAAAGGAAAGCCCCTTTTTCTGCCTTCAATTTTGTGGGGAAAATCAAAATCAAATATTATTGCAGACAAAATATATTTTCACAGGGGGAGAGGCCAGGCCAGGCCAACCGTGATTGCAAAACGAGGTGGGCCCCGCATCGAGATTTAGTCAAATAGTCAATGTATCGGAGGGAATTGCAAGTATCGGGTATTTATCGTGATCGCAGCCCCTGATAGAGAGCCCTAAAGTTGGGTCACGGGAGAGACAGTGCGTGATTCGCTGGCTTTATAACAGAAGGCTCTGATGAGGCCCCTCCGCTATGGTGCCTTATTCAACCCAATTGACGATATTGGGCTTGGGCCAAATTGTTCTTAACACACCCGATTTCAATGGGTTGGGCCTTGACTACAGTCGAAATCACTTTCCTAACCAAAATAGTTAAGATGGGCTTGATGCGGCATTTTGACCAAGCCTTTATACGAGGAAGCTTTTGGGTGCAACTGAGAGAGCAAAACATCGTCACATGATATTATTAATGCACAACGTAACATGTAATAATCTAACGAATTTGGCTACATCACGAAACGGTATTTCAGCAGAGCACAATAATTTTGGCCCAAAACGAGCACACATGTATTTTTTGACACGTGTATGAGATGTGTATCTTAACAATGATTAAAGATGTATAATAATTGAGGACGTGGGATTGAATTGGCACCTTTTAATTAGGTGGGCCAATGACTTTGTACACAAGACAAGAGTGGCGGCAATGCATGGATGTATGGGGGAGAGAGAGTGAGATGAGATGGGTGCATGTGCATGTGCATGGATCGTGGATTATAATCTATCTAGATTGCAGTCTACGAAGGTGAAGGTGGAGATGGTGGGCCGACGGCAACAATGACATGAAATGGAGCCCAAGTTGCACGTGGCACAGTGTTGGAATCCGGCTTTAAAATTTATACGTCCTAAAGGCTTTGAGGGTCCCACCATGCCACTCTCTTGTCTTGTCGGCCGGACGAGAACCCACTCGGGTCTACCCGCTGTCACTCGAGCCACCTGTCTCAAGGTGAGATTTCCATTTTCCCACCATGAGCCATGGCCCCCAACCAAGTCTTCAAGCCTTTAAAGGAGGGAACCGATAAGACTTGAGACTTAAGTTAAACTTAACAACCTTTTTTTATTGGTTAATTGTTTTATTAGTCCCTAAACTTAGATTTAATTTGTATTTGAGTCCCTCAAGTTCCAAAATCGTTCTCGTGGCCTTTAACTTCACTTTCGTTATGACAAATAGTCCTGCGTCAATTTTGTTAACTTTTTTGCTAAATGCAGGAGCAAAATGGTATTTTTATATTAAAAAAAAAAATTATATCTTTAAAATAACCACACACAAAAATCAGATAGAAAACAAAAAATAATAATAATTTCAAGTTTGGTGGAGTAGAAATCGGGAAAGAGGGGGAGAGAGAGAGAGAGAGAATTCAATTTTAATTTTTTATTCATATTTTAATCAATTTAATACAAAAATACCATTTTGTCTTTGCATTTAACAGAAAAGTTAACAAAATTGACGTCATGACCATTTGTTATAACGAAACTGAAGTTGAAGGACTATAAGAACGATTTTGAAAATTAAGGGACTTAAATGAAAATCCGGTATAAGTTCATGAACTAATAAAACGATTAACTCTTCTATCTAATTATATATTAGAGCTTGACACATTCTCAGCTAATTCATATATTCAATTCATCATCTGTTGAAATCACTGAGCACATATGAAATCCGAGTGTATAAGTGAATATTATTAACCAGTTGAGCGACGAGCATCTGAACAATAAGGGAAGTTTAATTTCTTAAAATTGATTATTTAAGCATAAGTTTTTGTTGTTCCACGCATATATAATTAAGCTGCAAGCTCGTAGACAAATAGATGACTAGGCAGATCCCTCACCTTTATTTAATTTTAAATTTTGGACCAGAAGTTGAGATTGAGAACATCATGGAAGGACACGAGGAAAACCGTGTCAAGTCAAGCTTTAAATTTTGTGTAGTTGTGCAGGTGAGACCGTGAAACCATGGAACAAAACAAAATGTGCTCAAATAATTGTTTCAAGAGAAAACGACGTCGTCCAAGGCGCGCTTTCCTTTTTCGTCTTTTTTCTTCTTTGTCCGTTTTGTCAGCATAAAATTCTTTTGTAATTTTTTTATTATTTCCCAAAGTGAAATAATTAAAGAGCAAAAGAAAAAAGGAGGATAAGGAATTGTTTTGTTTGCTTTTGCGAAGGGGAAGGGGTCAAAGGAAGAAGGACCCAGCGGCTCAATCAGCCACGTGTGCGGCAAAGATTGAGAACGATCTTCATCTGCCTCACGTCATCTTTCATCGTCTACAGACTCGAGACTCGAGTCTCACTCATTCACTAATATTGCAGTGTGTGTACGGCCATGATCACCTGCTTTGCCTCCTATTTTACCTATGTATATATATAAAATATATAGATCTCTTTCCTCTCCATGTCCCCAGCTTTTGCTTACTAAAGCGGCAAAGCTAACTACTACTCATACAAAGCTCACTTTTTTATTTTACTCTCTCTACATTTTAGCTGAAACCAAACAAGCAACCACAAGAAAGAGATCTCTGCAGCCTGGAAATGGAAGTAAGGAATTCTCTGAAACACAACTTCTTCTAGGGTTTCCTAAAATTCCCGTCCTAGTTCTAGCTCTGTAGCACTTGCAATCTTTGTTTTAAGTTAAAATCATCAGCCTTTCTTTACTTTAGCCTTTTTTTTCTTCTTTTTTTTCTTTTTATAAATAAAATTATTAGTAGTCTGTGGGATCAAAATGGAGCTTTAAGATATATACTTTGTCCACCGACTTTGTGTATCTGGCTACGCAAGGCATTCAAGGTTCTTATGTGTCGCTCAAGTTATGATCTTTTAGCTCCTCCAATGGTTTTGTCAAATTTTGGTAGATTGTGTTAATGATCTGCTACTCCATTGGCCTAGACTGGTAGAGAATTTGTTTTGATTGGTCAATGTGTTTGCTTAACTCCGGGTATATTGACTACGGGATGGTGGAAATTTTGTGTTTTGGGAAGTAGGTGTGACTTGTTTGATTGGTTGGTGATTTTCCCGGAAAGTGAAAGGGGAATGTGGATGGAAATTTGAGTGAGGGGAGAATTTAGTGACTGAGTTTGAGGGTGCAACCTTGCAAAAATGACAGAAGGGCGGAAGACAAGGAGAGGGATACATTTTAGCAAACTCTATTCGTTTTCATGTATTCGATCTCCTTTCCATGATAGTCATTCCCAAATTGGGGAAAGAGGGTTCTCAAGGGTTGTGCATTGTAATGACCCTGATAATCCTGAGGCACTTCAGTTGAGATACAGGGGAAATTATGTTTCAACTACCAAGTACACGGCAGCTAATTTTATTCCCAAGTCTTTGTTTGAGCAGTTTAGGAGGGTTGCAAATATATACTTTCTTGTTGTAGCTTGTGTTTCATTTAGTCCATTGGCGCCTTTTAAAGCTGTTAGTGTTCTGGCACCCTTGTTAGTGGTGATTGGAGCTACTATGGCTAAGGAAGCTGTTGAAGATTGGAGGCGAAGAAAACAGGTAATTATCTACATGTCAATGCATTGCACCATTGATTTTACAAGCGATAGCTTAAGCTTATTTAGTCATTTTTGAATAACTCTGTAAAGAATTTGGAGTATAATTGTATTAGAATTATGGTCCTCAATTGTAACTCTCTCCTGCTGGGGTGGGCAAGGGGGGCCAGCAGTTTGAAAGAGTAAAAGTTAATCAGACAATCAACATATATTTTTGTTAATGTTTTGCAGGGAAGGTTACAACTTACATTATGTAGTCATATTTGTTGCAAACGGTCTTTTGAGCATTTGTACCGATGGACATCCTTTTAGTATGTATTGATGCTTACTGTCTATAGCCAAAATGGGTGCAGCATAATTGGAAAGAGCAACATTATTAGGATACCTTCAAATTAATGTTTTGATGTTTATTTATTTGTTTGTCCTAATTAAGTTGGCTATATCTTGAAATGGTTTCAGGATATTGAGGCAAACAATCGAAAGGTTAGAGTTTATGGTAGGAATTATACTTTCTATGAGACCAGATGGAAGAAACTCCGAGTTGGTGATCTTGTGAAGGTGCACAAGGATGAGTACTTTCCTGCTGATCTGCTTTTGCTTTCATCAAGCTATGGCGATGGGATTTGCTATGTTGAAACTATGAACCTTGATGGAGAAACTAATTTAAAATTGAAGCATGCATTGGAGGTGACATCCCATCTTCAGGATGAAAATTCCTTGGAAAAATTTAAAGCATTGATCAAGTGTGAGGACCCGAATGAAAATCTGTATTCATTTGTTGGGACTTTGTACTATGATGGCAAACCTTACCCACTTTCCTTACAACAGATGCTCTTAAGAGACTCTAAGCTGAAAAACACTGAATATGTCTTTGGTGTTGTTGTGTTTACTGGTCATGACACGAAAGTGATGCAGAATGCTACAGATCCTCCTTCAAAGAGAAGTAAAATTGAGAGGAAAATGGATAAGATAATCTACATTCTTTTCAGTACTCTGGTTGTGATAGCCTTTGTCGGATCTGTCTTTTTCGGAATTGACACTAAACGAGATATCAGTGGTGGAAAGTATAGAAGGTGGTATCTTCGTCCAGATCATACCACTGTTTTTTATGACCCCAAAAGACCAGCACTTGCTGCTTTTTTCCATTTCTTGACTGCCCTTATGTTGTATGGATATCTGATACCAATATCTCTGTACGTATCAATAGAGATCGTGAAGGTACTACAGAGTGTTTTCATTAACCAAGATCAGGATATGTATTATGAGGAAACAGATAGGCCAGCTCATGCACGCACGTCTAATCTGAATGAGGAACTTGGCCAGGTTGATATGATACTTTCTGACAAAACAGGTACATTGACATGTAACTCCATGGAGTTTATTAAATGCTCGATTGCAGGCACTGCTTATGGCCATGGTATGACAGAAGTGGAGAGGGCACTGGCAAACAGAAGGGATGGACTGCCTAAAACTGGTGACATATCATCTGATGTACTCGGGGATACTAGTGATGTTGTTGCCTCTGGAAAGTCAGTTAAGGGTTTTAACTTTAGAGACGAACGCATCATGAATGGCCAGTGGGTCAATGAACCTCATTCAGACACAATACAGAAATTCCTTCGGGTTTTAGCGATGTGTCATACAGCCATTCCAGTTGTCGATAAAAAATCAGGAGAAATAACCTATGAAGCTGAATCGCCAGATGAAGCAGCTTTTGTCATAGCTGCCAGGGAGCTTGGCTTTGAGTTTTTCGAAAGGACTCAAACAAGCATATCATTGCATGAGTTGGATTTTGAAACTGGGAAAAAGGTTGACAGGTTAGCTCCATCTATACTGTGACCTGTTTATTTTTACATTCAGGCTCCTTGTAGTCTTTAAGCGGCTGGAAGGCCATAACAATTACAGCATGCGTATATATGTGCCAGCTCATACATACAAGTAACTAATTACTTATTTTAGTTACTTACTACAACCTATGCTTTGTACAATATATATGTGCGAGCTCATACATACATACATAATGTGACTAAGTTTCTATATCCCAGGGAATACGAGCTTCTTCATGTCTTAGAGTTCAGTAGTTCGCGGAAAAGAATGTCAGTAATTGTAAGGAGTCCAGAAAATAAATATTTGCTCCTTTGCAAGGGTGCAGACAGGTTAGACTCTTGAATTCTCATGCTTACAGTTCACCGTTTGAAGTTGCCAGTAGGATCTGTTGAATCCATGATTTTCATTTATCTGCATATGTCCAGTGTAATTTTTGAAAGGCTTGCAAAAGCTGGGCGGCAGTTTGAGGATCAGACCAAGGAGCACATTCATAAATATGCTGAAGCAGGCTTACGAACTTTGGTGATTGCATACCGCGAGCTCGGTGAAGAAGAATTTAAAATATGGGAAAAGGAGTTTCTGAAGGCCAAATCTTCTGTCACTGAAGGTCGAGATTTATTGGTGGATGGGGTTGCTGATAAGATTGAAACAGATTTAATTCTACTTGGTGTTACAGCTGTTGAAGACAAACTGCAAAAGGGGGTGAATATTAAATTTTGATAGCATTTGTGATAAGTCTTTTCACTGGGATTAGTTTATGCCCAATAATTGTTATTGTGTCCTCCCTGAATTTAGAGCCCTGTACAATTCAATACTGATGTGAATTGGAAGTTCATATCAGAATAACAAAACTATAGCTTACTTTTATATTCATAAAGGATTGTTTGCGTTCCTAGATTAATAATTCCATACTGATACTGTTCTCTGGGACGCAGGTTCCTGAATGTATCAACAAGCTTGCCCAGGCTGGGATAAAGATATGGGTATTGACTGGGGATAAGATGGAAACTGCAGTTAACATAGGGTATGTCAGCAGTTTTAATGATAGATTATATTTTTCTGCAAATTACATATTATAGTTATTATAAATTTTTTGTTACTAATAGTTTTTGTAAATTTTACAGGTATGCTTGCAGTTTACTTAGACAAGATATGAAACAGATTGTCATCAGTCTTGATTTGCCAGATATAAATGCCTTGTCAAAACAAGGGGATAAAGAGGCAGTTGAGAAGGTACAGAATCCTAAAGCAAAAAACCATGACATTCTCTTTTTCCGTTATTTTTCTTTTTCCCTCAGGTAATTTCTCAAACCTTGATTGTTATAAGGCTTCTCTTGAAAGCATAAGGAAGCAAATTGGAGAAGGTGTTTTGCAAATTAATCAAGCTAAAGAAAGTTCTAGCTCAGCTAAGTCATTTGGCTTGATAATTGATGGAAAGTCCTTGGAATTTTCACTCAAGAAGGATGTGGAAAAATCGTTTTTTGAGCTTGCAATTAATTGTGCTTCTGTTATATGTTGCCGTTCTACACCCAAACAGAAAGCTCTTGTATGTATCTCGCTCATGAGCATGTCAATCCAAATTATCCAAGTTTTTTCATATGGCCATCTGCTGGCATCAAATAATCTGATAGAACTATTATATATGTGCAGGTTACGAGATTGGTAAAACTTGGAACAGGTAAAATAACACTTTCTGTTGGTGATGGTGCAAATGACGTTGGCATGCTTCAAGAAGCTGATATTGGAGTTGGCATTAGTGGTGTTGAAGGGATGCAGGTGACTCTATTTTTAATCTGATTTGTACACCTTTGCATGATTTCCAATAATAATAATCAACATAGCATGCCTTCATTCCGAATTCCTCTGGGGCTGCACAAATGTGGCATTTCACATACATATTTGTTCAATTCTTCAACATCTTCAGTGCATGCTTGTTCTAGTATTCTATTTTCTTTTAATATATTCACATGTTTATATTGCTTGTACAAGATTTATATGCCCAGACTTCTGTCAAAGTAGTTAAAGCTAGTGTCCATGTTGTATGTCTGTTTCCCAGTGGTTAGTAATATATATTTGATCTGCTGCTGGTGGAGAAATTAATTTTTCGGCATCCTATGAAAGCCATGAGAATAGAGAATATATTTGTCTATCACACTATTTACCAATAGTTGTTTATTGTGATTTTTGGTCTGACAGCTCTCAGACATGTAAATTAAAAAAAATTATATGTTACACCCAGCTTCTGATTCCTTTTGATTCCTAAACACAGGCGGTAATGGCCAGTGATTTTTCCATAGCTCAATTCCGTTTTTTGGAGCGGCTCTTGCTTGTACATGGGCACTGGTGCTACAGGCGCATATCAATGATGGTAAAACATGTTTCTTATAATTGTCACCGAAAAGCAAAATTAAAAAGAAATAAATAAAAATGCTCTTCCCTCGGTAAGTTGGGGAACCAGTTGAGGAACCAAAGCCACCCTTTCAAAGTAGACAATCATTGTTTCTTTTTAATCTTCTGGCTTTCAGTTTCCTTCTTATTAACATGATTATTGCCAATATAATTGCGTTGTAATATGTAATATGGCTTAGGCAACAAAGAATCAACAAATTTATGCATGCCCTGTTGATAGGTGCCATTCTATTCTTTTTGGCTAATGCAGATATGCTACTTCTTCTACAAGAACATTACATTTGGGTTTACTCTGTTTTGGTTTGAGGCCCATGCTTCTTTCTCTGGTCAACCTGCTTACAATGATTGGTACATGTCATTCTACAATGTCTTCTTCACATCACTTCCTGTGATTGCTCTAGGTGTTTTTGATCAGGATGTTTCTGCACGACTATGCCTCAAGGTATACAATTTTTCTCTTTTGAAGAACTTAATATACTAATAAGGAAAAATGAATGGGTATTCAGTGGGTAAAAGATACTGAACAAGCTATAGCTCTAAGGTGACAGTTGATTGCAAAATCATGATATATTCTCCATGTTACTGCTATATAGCTTGGCCTTTGGTAATTAGGGTATTCCATTTTAAGAGTTCTGTTAGCAATTATCAGCTCCAGTAACATGTGCTTCGTATCTGTTAGCAATTATAGTCCTTGAAGCTTTCTGGAGCTACGAGAGTTATTTATTGTTCATTCTTGTTCTGCTGACAGTATCCCTCCTTGTATCTGGAGGGAGTGGAGAACCTCCTCTTCAGCTGGACCCGCATACTGGGTTGGATGGTTAATGGCGTTTTGAGCTCCATAATTATCTTCTTCTTCACCACCAATTCCATGGTTGGCCAGGCTCTCCGTAGAGATGGTAAAGTAGTTGACTATGAAGTCCTAGGGGTCACAATGTACACTTGCGTAGTGTGGGTTGTAAACTGCCAAATGGCACTCTCCATCAACTACTTCACTTGGATCCAGCACTTCTTCATCTGGGGAAGTATCGTCTTCTGGTATATATTCTTGGTGATATACGGTTCCGTATCACCGAATGTTTCCACAACAGCGCACAAAGTTCTTGTGGAAGCCTGTGCTCCCAGTCCTCTGTATTGGCTAGTGACCCTCCTCGTTGTCATTTGCACTTTGCTACCGTATTTCTCATACCGGGCTTTCCAGACACGGTTTAAACCAATGCGTCATGATGTAATACAACAGAAACGATTAGAAGGTTCAAACCATGATGAGACTTCTGGCGAGTTGTCTCTGAGACTGAGCAGCAAACTAGAGCACCTGAAGCGGAGATTGAGGGCTAGAGAATTGTGAATGGCCGAACCGTAGTAGTAGGGTAATGAACTTATGTGATCAGATGAGGGGATAGTTGGTGGTTTGTTTGTGTATATGTTTGACAGTTTGGGAGAGGCATTTGAAGTGTAAGTTGGGGGCAATGGCCAAATGAGTATTGTAGTGGACAGGATATGTATTTGTATACCACTCACCTTCCTTGTAGGTTTAGCCATGTAAAGCTGATGATATTATCAAATTATAAGAAAACAAAAAGAAGATCCAGTTTGATATTCCCATGCCATGTCCCAATTTTTAATCTTGCAAGTTGCACCCATTAAAGTGAAGTTAAACCAGCAATTGCTTGATGCGGCCTATGGTTTTTGCACACTAAAGTAACAATTAAACCATGATTAAAATGATGCAGAGATTAAAAATTAAAAAGATTGATAGAGGGTGATTACTGCAAATCTAATCCCACTAATTTTGCAGATCAACATTACAATCAAGATATAAGATATCAAATGGAGCTGGAAGGTCCACCAAGAACATATAACTAATTGCATTAACCACAGGAAAGTTAACCCACGTGGTGGATTATTAGTTTATAATTAACACTAATACCTCCACAAAGCAAAGCTATTAAGAGACATGCATTAGCGTGCAGTACGGATGCGTTTTATTTGAAAGGCTCAAGGCCAGTGGCCTGGCTTCCATTGTTTATTGTGTGAAACACAAATTGCTAGTCTGGCTGGCATGAGGAGAAGGTCAATTTGCTGCCAGTGCTTCCGCTTTTCAAGTGAGCACTTTCTTCAGCACAATCTTTTTTCCAAGATACTTTTGGCAAATGGTTTGTTGTGCTTGTAGCCGGAAGATATATTCACTTTTATGTTTTTCACGTTATGTAACGGATTTCATAATAATCTATTAATCTATAGAGTGCTTCATTTTCCTTAATTAAAAAGACTGAGGAGACCTTAACATTCAAGACCAATGGCTGGCTTCTGCCCGAGTTCAAGAGTTTTTTTAATGTTTTATTACGCAGTCCTTGGAATATAATTAAGTTGGACTTCGGAACTTTCGTTCTTCTAATTTTGGGTTTAGGTATATTGTCACTTACTAATGAAACGAGAAGTTGAGTAATAGTACTACATATATCATATTACTGATCATATCTCTCGTGTATGAAATACATCTTCTCGCATTTAAACAGTAATTAAACAAGACTTGCAAATTAATAATGTGGGGCATATCTGGCCACGTGCCTTTTCTACTAACAATGGCAAAGTCTAATTATTATTGAAATATATTTGTGTATCAACCGCTCCTACACCACAACGCATGTGATGACATTGATATGAAGTATGTGCATACGTATGTATAATGTATGCTTAGACATGAGAATCAGTAAACTCTATACGCATGAAGTCAGCAATTAGGCGACACATTGAATTTAAATTGATAGTAACATAACGTCAAAAGTCCACACTAGTAGTCGGCTTTTTATTCATACGACGTAACTTTGGCATGGCTTCATGTGGCTTCTGGTGTTTCAAAGAGGATTTTTTTTCCCCCTCGATTTAGGCCAAATTGCATATATAATAATAATAATAATAATTGCATATTGAAATTGATATTGCTTCCAAAACAAGGTTATCTAGCTATCCTATTCTGTTCCAATCCCCATTATTAATTTCCATGTCACTTTTATCAACGGCTCTGCTGGTTTTCTGGTGCACGATTTTCCTTCTAGAAGTCTACGGCCCCACGGGGTTGGCATGGGGTTAGTTCTAGAACCACCACATTTCAGTGATCTGTTTGAATACCGCCTTGTTTTGTTCTTTTTGTCTATCAAACCAAAGAAACTAGGGCAAATTTATCTTATCCCTTCCATTCTAGTAATGACATGTTTACTAATTCGTAATTAAATTAGAATGAATTGAATTGAATTATGTTATTAGTCTTATTTTATTTTTCTTTATTAAATACAGAACCCGTCAAGTCTTTGTAGCTTGTTACCACTTAATTGGTGTATTAGTAATTCTCTTCTCAATATTAAAAGGATTTTAAGTTCGAATCCTCTATCACACGCTCGTAAAAAATTATATTTATAGCTCGCACAATATGTAATATCATAATTAGACAAGTTTAAAAATAAACTCAAAAATTATATTGCGACAAACAAAAGATAAGAGTGTAAGTTTTAACATAAAGAGGCGTTTCAAAATTAAAGAAAATTGAGAAAGGCACTTTTAGTGACCATTTTACAATGTTAACAACCTAATAACTTTTCTTTATTTTTGGATAAATAGTGATAGAAGTTTATTAGATCATCAAACGGCCATCACAATTGCAATATAGGAGATAGGCAAAACTTTCTCGAGTGATCTGAGCCAACTAAAAACCTAAAACAATCTGGAAAAAATCACTCGCAAAGAAATAACTTTTCTAAAATTGATAAAATTGAGAAGAAGAAAAAAATCAGATTACTTATATTAACTTGCCTATTTTGCTTTGTTTGTTTTCCCAATCCAAATAAGCATCCAACTCTAACAAGGAATTATTGATTTATTTCCCTTTGTCATTTTGTGTGGCAAGATATTGCCCTTTTTGGTGCATCTTGTCTTTTTATCCAGACACGCGGACACGTTCGTGGGGTAACGACGTCAAACGTGTGAAATTAAAGAGCGACAAGAAGGAATAAGGAAAGTTTACCAACACGCTCACGCACGTAACACCTTAGAAACAAGAAAGAAACACACTTATGTATGAGAAGCCCAAAGACTCCACCGTTAATAATATCACAACTTTATTTAATCCCTAATTACTTATTGATTTAATTACCACCTTCCTCTGCTCCTGCCCCGCGTTATATATCTAATCTCTCTCTCTCTCTCTCTCTCTCTCTCTCTCTCTCTCTCTCTCTATATATATATAAGCATAGAGGGAAAACTAACTTACTCACAACCCTTCTATTTCTCCCCCACAACCAAAAAAAACAAAAACATAACACACCAAAAAAAAATGCAAGACGACGATTTCGAACAGGGACTGGTCTGTCCCAGCTTCAACAGCTACTCCTCCGACAAACTTGCAGACGTCGCAGCCAAAGTCTGCCGAGAGTTCGACAACCTCAATTTGCTCGAAAAATCCAATAACTCCGCTGAACAGAAAGAACACGATGGTCATAGAAACGACGACGTCGACGACGACTTCGAGTTCGTCTCGTTTCAAAGTTCCGGAAGCCAGGTATTCATTGACCACAACCAGATCGGTCCCGTTTTCCCCGTATTCAACCGCGACCTTCTGCTTGACAAAAGTCAACGAGATCTCGCGGCCGCCCCTAATAATAAGGAGGTTGCGGAGGAGGAGGAGGGGGATGAAGACGATGCTGCTGCTCTGCCGTCATCGTCGTCCTCCGACGTGGACGAACTGGACTCGGTCCCACAGGGGACGTACTGCGTTTGGATGCCCAAATCAGCGGTGGCACAAGACGCTCGCGGGAAGTGCAAGATTAAGAGCAAGTCGACCGGAACGTCGTCGTCTAGGCGGTGGAGCATAAAGGATTTGCTGCGGCGGAGCAACAGCGAAAGCGGTAGCAAGGACTCGTTTGTGTTCTTGACCCCTTTGTCATCGAGCTCCAAAAAGACAGCAGAAGAAGAACCCAAGGAAATTAAGAAGAGCTCCGGGTCCGGGTCCGCCTCAGGGTCAGGGCCTGGATCGGGAGGCGGGCCGAACAAGCCCAAAGGGTCGAAGGCGGTGTCGATGGCTCACGAGGCGTTCTACGTGAGGAACAAGACGGTGGCCAAGGACGGGTATAACAAGAGACGGTCTTATCTTCCGTACAGGCAAGACCTCGTTGGGTTATTTGCTAGCGTCAACGCCATGAGTAGGACCTTCCCTGCTCTCTGATTAGAAGGTGCAGGTTCCTAATCATAGTTTTGTCCTCACTATAAGCTCAATTATAGTTTTGTTTTTTTCTCCAAGCATATCTAAGTTATAGATTTAGACGACTTATGCTTATTTTGGACCTAATTTACTTCCCGTACTTGTACAGGTCAGTGTATTGAAAAGTTTGAGTAAGTTAATTGTTAGTTCAGATCAATTATGGGTTGTATTTCATTTTGGCATGAATTTAGTCTTTTTGGGCTTGCAATTCTTTTTGTTTGACAAGTGATACTGTAAACTATAATAGACTACGAGAATAAGAATCAAACTTGAACGCGAAGACGGATTTGCATTAAGGTTATTATAAATTTGTTAGGAAATCTTCTCTTCTTCTCAAAGCTCATGTATATCTACAATATTTTTTGTTACTGTTCACATATATGATACTTGAGTTATGATATTGGTAGAATTATCAACCCCAAACCCAAAATATAGCCATTCATGTATAAGATTTGGGCACATCAACGGTTGGTAATTATTTGTGCATGTAACTTTTCAAGTTCCGATCCAAACCCAAACTCCGACTCAGATTAGCCACACCTTGATTAGGTGTAATCATCAACACGACTGACAAGCAACATTTTGACTGGGTGTTGCTATCGACTTGACAAATTCCGACTATAAACTATGAATTTTCCGCTGCACACAGACCCAGATGATTAATTTCGATGTGAATTTGGCTCTACGTGTGGCCCACTATATGGTGGTCCCACATGAGGGGACGTGTTGAAGAATATAAAATTCCACATCGGAAACTTGATTAAAGAAACTACAACTCATAATAAGTGGTTCCACTCCTAATAACAATGAGACTTTTTGAGATAAAACTTTACACCTATTAAGCTTTGTAGATTGTTAAGTTGTAAACAATATTGGTATTGCTAATAATGAGCCGTTGATCCGTCTTTCTGAAATTTGACATTAAGATTGCTTTAATAAGAAAATAATGAAAAAGTGAAAGGAAATCCGTCATATGGTCAAATTGGCTTTTGAAGTACATATTTGGGTGTAAATGTAAACAGTTACAGTTGATATATCTGTAAAAAGTCAACCAGAAAAAGCGAACAAAAATCTTACGCAATGCCTGACAGAGTCAGTAACTACTCAATACATATGTTGTCTCATATAAAAGACTTGATTTTCAATGTTTATGAATTGCCGCAAATTTGGATGGTAGCTTTTGGTATTATGGCTCGATTGTGACGCAAACGCGCGTGGTGCTATAAAAACGACATATGGAGTGGAGCCACGAGAGAAGTCGTTTGTGTTGAAAATTACAAAAGCAAAAGAAAATAAGAAAAAGGTAATTAGCAAAAGCAGAGAGGTATTTGCGCGTAATTACGTCGTTTGTGTTCACATCCACACCAGCACCATCGAATAATAAATTATATTACTATTAGGGTTTCAATCTTAATCCGAGAGACAGTGAAATGAGAATGCGATGAGTGGATGAGGTTCGAGTTTTGTTGGCTCTTGCTTAAAATTGAAGGGACCGCCAACTACAATTAAATTGATGGTGAGTCCAGTGCTGGCTGTCATCGGGTCCCAGACTTTTCTCTCTTTTGTTGGCCGTCTCTCTTTTACCCGAGTTTGAATTATTTTCCGTAAATTAGATTAATTTATAATAATTTAGATTTATCGGTTGTATTCAAAATATATTATATGGTTGTCGGTCCAAAAATAAAACTTGTCCCTGTTGAAAAATCAGAATATTTTTCTAGCTTGAATTCTATTATTTGTAAGAATAAGAAAAGAGAACATTTGTCCAACTGAACTGATTACGCCGCTGCTGCACTCATGTTGGAAAATCCAAAAAAGTAAAAGCAGGAATCTTCACCAATCCTGAAACTTTTGTGGACAAAATGGGAACACTAAGCAAGCAAGTTTACCTAATTTTCTGAGTGCAAATCTGCCAGCTGCTAAGCTCTGAGAGCCCCATTTTGCTTCATTCACACAAAATAATTGCTCAAAATAATCAAAGATTAAATGATAATTAGTGTCTGGGTAGCTGATTGGCTCCAGAACAAAGTGGGTGTCTCCATCCTTTGAATTTTCAGACCAGCTTCAGTGTGTGAAAAGACTGTCTCATCTAACCACCCTCAACTCTCTGCCGGAGTTTACTGGTTGGCAGTCCTCTCAAATTTCAATCGGGGGTTTTTGCATTAATTGGCTACCATAGAATACCAAAGGTGGCGTCCCTCTGTGTTTATTAACATTAATGGAAAATTGATGGTCTACCAAATTAAGTATAGTGAAATTTGCCACTAGAGTCTAGCCCAATAAAAAATATGAACTTGATTTGTAGATTAGTAGTTTCGAATTCCAACTCCCATGACTCATCAATAGTGGTCTCGAGTTAGACTATCATTTGTTTAGTTCCTCTATGTTTGATTAGTCCGCTTTGTACAAATCTCATTTGGTTATTGGGTCATTGGTCTCATCTCAAGCTGAGCTAGCCATGTCCTGATTGACAGTTTCAAAATATGCCTTGAATGTGAATTCTGAGAAAAATACCTTCACCTACCTCACCTCACCTTGATCTTGTTGACATACAATAAAAGAAGAAAAAAACCAATGTGAAAATGTGAAAAAAAAACGTAATTAGGAGTGTGTATCAAGTTAACTTCATTTGTGGAACATGCCTAGAAACGCACATTATATTATTAACTAACTTCTAAAATATTATTAATTTTGTGATCCGAGAGGTGAGGATCATGCTTCGCAATACAACGGCTTGGAAATTGTGCACCATTATATATAACATATACTATAGGGCTTCGAAAAGCCTTTCTTCTTGTTGATCAATTCAATTCTAACGTATTATATATAATTGGTCTTTTCTATAAAGAAATGTTTTTATGGGTTGAGTGTAAAAAAACCTTTTGATGACATCCCAAGTGACATTTCAAGGAACTCAATTTGCTATTAATGTGATTAAATTATCTAGGAAGATTGTTTGTATAAGAGAATTCATGAACTAATTAAATATGTCTATTGTATCGTAAGAGATATATAAATTGTATCAGGCGCTAGTGAATATCATCCCTCTTATAATATCTTATATCATGACAGATTAAACATTCTCGTACTTTTTAGTCTCATCACTTTGTCAAAATGGTGATGTAGAGATGAATTACCAAACATTGATTAATCCAAAATGCTCATAAGGAAAGGGGTTATTTGCTGTCACAATTGGGCAATTGTTCCATCCCACATTTTTAGATGTTTTGCGGTCCGCTCACTAATCTAGTCACTCAAGTCTGCAACTTTACCAAAATGCCAAAGCTGGTTGGTTGGATACATTGAAAGGTCAAGGTTCTTCTAAAATAGTCTGATAAGTTCATCAACGGTCAGAAATGCATCGTAAAATATCCGGCGGGAAAACATATTCCCATGCTTCTCGTGACTATTCGTGATTGATCAACGCTCGTTCATCATCAATTCAAAATTACGATATTGTCCTTACACAAATCAACGTCATCTTCTGTACGGGCCATGAGTGGTGCAAACTTTTTTATACTCATCCGACGTGGCATTGCAGATATCCGGAAACGCCAAACAAACAAAACGCGCTGGAAAGCTCGTTGAATTCAGCTGAAGCTTCCAGCACATGATCTGAAGCTCCATTTCACACTTTGCAACAGAAAAAAAACTGTCTGGAATTCCTCAAGAACATGGTCACTCTGCAACTGCCCAGTAGCAGAGCTCTCGATCCTTCATCTCCGCGGTTGCTCCACGGCTGCTCCTCCTCCTTTTGGGGCGGACGCGTGTCTTTCATCAATGGCCGTTCAACGATGAGTCGTCCAGAGAAGCTTCGCTCCAATGGCGGAACCGTTAGGATTCTCGCGATGTCCAACAGTTCGTCATCATTCAAGATGAACTTGAACGAGTACATGGTCACTCTCGACAAACCGCTCGGAATTCGATTCGCGCTCTCCGTCGACGGCAAAATCTTTGTCCACTCCCTCAAGAAAGGGGTATTTCCGTCCTTTATCTCTCTTCTTTCAACAAAAGTTCAGACCTTTTGGTCTGGCTGATTCTGTTTCTCTGTTTTGATTGGTTTATTTGTTTTCTTGAATTCAATTTTTCAGGGCAATGCGGAGAAGTCGAGGATAGTAATGGTGGGTGACACACTGAAAAAGGCTGGTGATTCGTCCGGAGGGAGGCTTCTTGAGGCAAAGGACTTTGGTGATACACAGTATGCTATTAACATTTTGCATTTCATAATTTCATTGAATGAATTTTGGATTAAATGCCCCAATTAGCCTTTGAAAATTTTCAATTTTGTTAATGATTTCGCTGCGAAAGATTGTCAGTTCATTTTTGTTTTTGTTTTTGTTTTTATTTTTTTCAGTCTTTGGTTTCTTCAGGAAGATGCTCATGGAGAAAGCAGGATCTTTTAGCCTGGTTCTTGAGAGACCACTCTCACCTTTTCCAATTCAGCAGCTGCTTCTTTTGAATGATCTTGATAATCTTTTCAATAGAGGTCGAGTTCCTTTTGCCACTTGGAACAAGACTGTGTTGGCTTCAAGTTTACAATCAGCTACCGAAAACAGTGGGAATTCTGGCTTTGTTACGTTCTCCTCAAAGTTCCTAAAGTCACAAGGATGGAATTTGTTGAATGGCCAAAATAATCGTGTTCAATCACAAATGCAGAAGAATACTCTTGCCCAACCCATGAGCAAACTTGTTTGTATATTTTCTGAGGAGGAATCGGAACATGGAGAATGGGCTCATGGAAATTTCCCACTTGAGGAATATATTAAGGCACTGGATCGCTCTAAAGGCGAGCTATACTATAACCACTCTATTGGCATGCGCTACAGTAAGGTGTGATATGCGTCAAATTCTTTGACTATATACTTGTACTGAATAAATTTTTGTTCTTTCGATAGCATAGTTTGTATGAGTTGGAATTTTCGTTGACTTTCTCATTCATTATGTTTTTCATTTGTTAGATTACAGAGCAAATATATGTTGGATCATGTATACAAACAGAAGATGATGTGGAGACATTGTCCAATGTCGCGGTGAGTGCTGTTACGCCATGTATTTTTATGCAAAAGAACTTTTTTTTCATTGTTGTGTCATTGGAAATTTGTAGTCTACATACGCATTGTGATATTGTATCAACTTCCTTTCCATGTCTCTCTTTAACTTCTATGGAAATTCTTCATACAGGGAGTCACTGCTATACTGAATTTCCAAAGTGGAACTGAGACAGAAAATTGGGGAATAAATTCCATCTCAATAAATGAGTCGTGCCAAAAATTCAACATTCTGATGATCAACTATCCAATAAGGTAAAAAAATAAAAGGTTCTGTACAATCTTCTATTTATTGATGATATAAATTTGCTAAATCTTCTTTTGAAGTCACTTCAAATCATGGAGGTTTTGTGCATGTGCTTGCTTCTTGTAGTTTCAACAATCGTTTTATCAAATACTAATCAGGAATAATGTTAGCACTTTTGATGAATTATTAAATTTCAGCATCTGACTAGTTTCTGGACATTTAGCTTAAATGCATTAGAAGTGTCATGTACTTTCAACCAAAGAAGGAATTAAAATTAATTTAGGATGATATTCCTCATAATGTAATGCGAATTTCAGAAACGGAAAGGAATTTCTGAATGCGTCAAAGGGTAATTCTTTAGTTGCTTATTACTCACTTGCTAGACCTCATTAAATGTTTGAACAATTTTTTTTTTTGTCAGGGAGGGAGATTCTTTTGATTTAAGGAAGAAACTACCATTTTGTGTGGGCTTATTATTACGCTTATTGAAAAAGAATCATCGTGTTTTTGTGACTTGTACGACTGGTTTTAATCGGTCTCCTGCTTGCGTAATAGCATACCTGCACTGGATGACTGATACTTCCCTTCACGCAGCTTATAATTTTGTAACTGGGTTGCATTTATGCAGCCCTGACAGGTTATTTTCGTTAACCCTCCTCATTTTTTGAGTTCTATACAGAATGAAAAGAATAAAATTCCCTCACCTGTGACTAACTAATCAAAAGAAAGAAGTCACTTATTGTGATTAGGGGCACTTTGTAATTGCTAAATGGTGAACGGTATTCTTGAAATTTTTATGCAGACCGGCAATTGCTTGGGCAACATGGGATCTTATAGCCATGGTGGAAAATGGCGTGCATGAAGGACCTCCAACACATGCTGTGACATTTGTATGGAATGGGCAAGAGGTAGTTGACAATTTCAGTTTCAATTCAAGTATATAATGTATACTTTAGCAGTGGCGATGGTCATTGTATAAATCTGAAGGGACAATGAGAGAAATTTCTTTCGCAATGCCTTACTTGGCCTAAGACTAGTTCTGTAAATAGTTTTTAAGCATGTAGTCTTTAAAGCATATTGTACCTTCTATATTTGAGCAGTAATGGAACTACTTTGTGTCTGTTGGTGCTTCGTCTGTGTCTCTATTTACAGGGGGAGGATGTAACCTTGGTTGGAGATTTCACTGCAAATTGGAAAGAACCAATTAGGGCTAATCACAAAGGTGGATCACGATGGGAAGCAGAAGTTAGACTTTCACAAGGAAAGTAAGTAAAAAAGCATTGTATTACTTATTTTGTTATTGTCACAGGGATCAAAATACGAGACCTGATGCCCTTGGTTAACTCCAGTGCTTGAAAAACTTGTAAAGCTAATGCATTGTGACTTCTATTTTTCTTAATTAACTTCATTACTTAAACCTCAGAAACACATTAATATGCATGTGTAGAGTTAGAGTTTTATACGCATGAGTTTTTTGTTTAATTTTTTCAAGTTTTCTTAGACTAGCTAATCATGGAAGTATCACATGATGAGTTTATCTAAATTTCATTTTAAATGGTATTATGCTCATGACCTGCAGGTATTACTACAAGTTCATTGTTAATGGGCAATGGCGGCATTCGACATCCTCCCCTTCTGAAAGGGATCAAAGTGGAAATGTCAACAATATAATCATCATCGGCGATACTGCCAGTGTGAGACCTAGTGTTCAGCAACAGATAAAGGTCAGTCACTGCACTTATGCGTTTCTGTTTCGTCAATTGTTTTCATTTTGATATAAATTTAAACAAGTATTAGTACATTAACTCTCTGGACTTTTTTCTCTTCCAAGAAGCCGAAATTGGACTTGTCCAGTGCGTATGGTTTCCTTCCCCAAATTATATGATACATGATGTGCTATTCGGGAAAGACTGATCTTTCTCCTTTTATATATCCTATGATGTCTGTGATCACTTCACTTGTGGGGGGTTGTATCTCCAATTCTCACGGCTGTTTTGACTTTTTTGATAGGATGTGAATGTTGTGAAGGTGATTGAGAGGCCACTGACAGAAAATGAGCGGTTCATGCTGGCAAAAGCTGCTCGTTGTGTTTCATTCTCTATATGCCCAATTAGACTAGCTCCAAAATAGATGGCTGGTGATTTCCATCATACAGTCGTCGTCTTACATTTTTCTTTTTCTTTTCTGAGGCTGGTAGTTTAGAACATATCATGGAATTAGTTTCCAAATTAAAAGACGTTTTCATAATTGTAACTTGATTCGATTCTTGAGGTGGTTCTGTATAATATTCATAAATTGAGTTGGTATTTGCACTTGCACAACATCTAAAGAGTTGGTAAGTATATCTTAGGTTATTTTCTTACGATGGGCCCTTTTGGAGGGTTTTGCACCAGTAGTAGTAGAACTAAGAAGAACAGTATCAAACCAGAGAAGCGATAGACAGAACAGAGAGATTGATTGTGCCACTCCACACCACAATCCGGACGATGGATGAAATAAAAGCCAAAATGAATAGTGCTCTAATTTCATGCCTGCCTTAATAAGATTGCATAGAAGTTTTTGCTGCGTGCATACACGTTTGTGAATGAGAATGTCATTTATACCATGTATTTGTGTCATTTTGCACTTATTTATATATGTATATATATATATATATATATAATATTTAGGCTTAATTATGAACATGCCCTCTATGCTTTCCAACTTATCTCAGATTACCACATGTGTTTGCAAACGGCTCAAAGTACCCCCCAATATTTAAAAAACCGTCTCACGTTACCCTTTCCATCAGTTTTTTTGAAGTTCCGTTACGAACGTTACTGTTCATCCCCCCCAAAATTCCAGAACAGCAACCCATTCCCTTTGTTACTGTTCATCCGACCAGTTTTTGGGCTGCCATCTCCTCCTCCGGCCACCCCAAACGACGACGTGGGTATCAAAAGAACCAGCATGTTGTCCTCTACCACCCTCACATCTCATCCGTTACCAACCGCCGTTTGGATCGCCGAAAAAAGTAAGAAATTGTCCGATTTTTACCCAAAATCTCCATCGCTCGTTTGGACAATTCCAAGCACCATTTGCTTCGATCCAGGTATGGTTTTTCAACCTCTCGAGCTATTCTTGCTGCTAGTTGTGTTGGTTATGAGAAATTTATGAGTTTTGGAGGGTAAATAAGCGATGAACAGTAACAAAGGGGATGAGCTGCTGTTCTAGAATTTTGGGGGGGATGAACAGTAACGTTCGTAACGGAACTTCAAAAAAACTGACGGAAAAGGTAACGTGAGACGGTTTTTTAAACGTTGGGGGGTACTTTGAGCCGTTTGCAAGCACAAGTGGTAATCTGAGATAAGTTGCAAAGCACATGGGGCATGTACATAATTAAGCCTAATATTTATAGGGGTAGTGTTAGTGTAGCTGAGCCCATATATCGAGATTAAGGCTTTGTTGAGTTGTAGCATTTCTCTTCGCTGGAAAATCAATTTGTTAGTAAGTATTTGTAGTCCAACACAAATCATATAATTTGTAGTTCATGGGTAAATTGAATGGATATACGCCTGGAGTAGATCATTGGAGTCTTGCTATTAAAGATGGGAAGTGCTCTGCTTTCACTGCTTGAAATTGAAACATGGCCACTCGCCTTGATATTTTAAATAGTATAGCCGAACGGCTGTACTCGTTGAATATATTCGAATATTTTAATAGTATCGCAGCGCGGCTATTCTCGTTCAATATATTCGAAAATTTTTAATCGTCTAGCCGCACGACTATACTCTTAATATATATATATATATATATATTTATATGAATATTTTAATAGTCTAGCCGTTAGGCTATACTTTATTTTTATTCAATATATTCGAATATTTAAATAGTATAGCCGCGCGGCTATACGCTTTAAATATATTTGAATATGTTAATAGTATAGCCGAACGGCTATACGGGTTGAATATATTCGAATATTTTAATAGTATAGCCGCGCGCTATAAAGCCGTCCGGCTATACGCTTTAAATATATTTGATTATCTAAAAATATATTTAAATCCAAATTTTCTTGAGATCTTGTTTAGAATATTTTAAGTAGTATAGCCGCGCGCTATAAAGCCGTCCGGCTATACGCTTTAAATATATTTGATTATCTAAAAATATATTTAAATCCAAATTTTCTTGAGATCTTGTTTTAGCTGATGCTATGGGAAATCTCTTCGGTGTCTCATATTCTTTTCTTCAACTTTTGAATTTTGGTTCTTGTTGTTTATTAAATCCATTTCCCACGAAGGTTATAGTTAATTGGATGTCAGATTTTCATGCATCCAGAGGTCAATTGCTTTATACATAAAAACGCATGCTTCTTCAAATGCAAAGACACAAGATTTATGGGCTGCCCTTGAGGAGTTTTCTGGGAACAAGCTAATGAATTCATGGACACAGCAAAAGGGTTACCCGGTTATTTCTATCAAAGTCAAAGATCAGAATTCATGGACACAGCAAAAGGGTTTCCTTTTGTTTGCCTCCTTCAAAATTTTGTTTGACTATCAAATGCATATAGAAGCTCTTAAATCGTTTGTATAGGTTTTATTCAATGGTACTCGGAATGATCTTATAAGTCAATTAATAAATGGCAGGCACAATTCTACTCGAGTGGTTCCCAAGGCGATGGTCAATGGATTGTGCCGATAACATTATGCTGTGGCTCATATGATGTAAGCAAGAATTTCCTACTACGAAAGAAGTCTGAAACTATTGACATAAAGGAATTTCTGGGTTGCTCCATAGCAGAGACTGGATGTAGAGGCGCAAGCAATAAAATCAACGCATTATGTAGTTGGATAAAAGTCAATGTGGATCAGACTGATTTTTACAGCTGCATTTCCAAGTGCAGTTACACTTAGAAATGCTATAGAAAAGAAACACTTGTCTGCGGCTGACACATTTGGTAATCATATTTTTATGCACACTTGCTTTGTCTCTTTGATAGTGAAAATGATAGTATTTAGTTCTCATAATTTTTTTTTCCTTTGACAGGAATTTTGGATGATTCATTTTTCCTTTCTATGGCTTGCCAGCAGTCTTTTGCATCATTGCTTCTTGTTGGGTGCTTACAGAGAGGAACTTGACTGTACAGTGCTGCCAAATTTGATTACCATAATGATCACCTCTGCTCTGTGTTTATGTTACTGTATTTACGGCCTTAGTTTGATTCTGGTCTTCACTTTTCACAGATAAGTTATAAGCTGGCAAAAATTGCAGGTGATGCTGTGCCCGAGCAACTCAACTTTGGAGAGGTAGACTTCATGTAATGGGTGGTAGCAAGGAGAATCGATATACACCTGGAGTAGATCATTGGAGTCTTGCTGTTAAAGATAGGAAGCGCTTTGCTTTCACTGCTGAATGCACTTGAAATTTAAATATACACGTGGAGTAGATCATTAGACTTCGATTATTTTAATATATCCGATTATTCTAATAGTATAGCTGCGGGCTATACCCTTGAAATATATTAGAATATTTTAATATTATAGCCGGCGGCTATACTCTTGAAATATATTCGAATATTTTAATAGAATCGGTGAACGGCTATACTATTTAAATAATATTTTAATATTTTCAACATATCTTACCGTTGTGTGGTGATTTCAATAATAATACGACCGTTGTCTGGTAGTTTAGAATATATCATGCAATAAAAGACATTTTCATAAAGGGGAAATTGTAAGTTGATTCGATTCTTGAGGTGGTTTGTGTATAATATTCATAAATTGAGTTGGTATTTGCACTTGCACACCAGGTTATTATCTTACGATGAATACTGGTTTCATTTCATGCTGAGACATCAGAGGTTTCCAAATGGAAGAGGAGAGAGAGAGGAGCATAATCCAAGAGAATCCTGTGAAGTGGGGACCAGCATGGCAGCATGTAATCTTAATTTGTACACAAAAGAGAAATTACAGCTAAATTGTAAATATGTCGCACTCGCATGTATGTAATATGATACCAAAAATGTCGACATAATGTTTGTTAGAAAAAAAAATGTCGACATATAGAAAGACTGAAATTCATATAATGTTTGTTACTGAACACATCTTGCTCTCTCTCTCTCTCTCTCCCTCTCTCTCTCCCTCTCCCTCTTTGGTGTTGTTACAATTGCGCCCAAACCTACATTGTCCTTTTTTTTTTTTTTTTTTTAACCTTTTGACGGTTGCCAATCAGCTATTGATGATGCGTTCTGTCCGGCCACTTTATGCTGCTGAGGTGCACACGAGCAGGGAAGCGTTTTGCTTTCGCTACTTTCAATCCCACCTTCCTAAATTAATTCGGTTCGATTCCTAGTAATTTTTCGGTGTGACTTCGAAATTTATTGTCCAACTCTATGAGGCCTATCGATCCAACAACAACTGGGATTTGATGGCACTCTTCGTGCTGAAAGAGGAGGACCCAGAAGATAATTTATTTGGCACGACTTGTGATTTACATGATATGCATCGTGAAGCAGCAAAATGGAAGAAAATAAATGGGTACAGTACAGGCATGAACTCATTTACATGCCTTGTTTCTACTTCCTACATGAAATTCTTTTTGCAATTTCCACTTTATTTAACTGTGTAATTTTGGGATGGGCAGTCATGTTGCAAATTCTATTGTGGGCTTTAGTTGGGCAGCCCAAAACGAATTGCAAGCCCACAAAGGTGAGAGAGTGAAAGCAAAAAAGAAAAGAAAAAAAGGTAGACCTAGTAATGTTGTTCACGATTCGCTACAAAATCGGAAGTAAAGGGTGGAAATAGAAAGTATGCTACGAGTCCAAAAGAAGGTACAGGAGATGCCGACAAAATCCGTAGAATATAAGACATATATATTATACCCCAGAGACAGAGGCAGAGGCAGAGGCAGAAAACAGATAGAAGAGTGAGAAATAATCCACTTTCGACCAACAAAAAAAAGAAGTAGCCAGAATGCACAGGAACCATAAGTTTGAAGTTTTAAGGATAGGACCTTATCTCTGTAATCTGTCACCCATTATGTCCGTCGCATGTCAGCCATTAATTCCATGTCACCCTACGATAGACAACCCTAGCACCAGAACCATGTCTTCTTCTTTTTCTTTTTCTTTTTTATTTATTTTTAAAAAACTCACATTTAGCTTGTGGTAGTAATATATTCATAGATTAGGATGTAATAAAGTAGTCAACTTTATCCACATTGAATATATGGAGAGTGTAGATATGCGTGTAGCTATTATGGCTTTGGAAATTCAGACAGAATCTTAATATATTTTTAATTTCAGAAAAAGAAAACATCATGGCCATGGTCTGGCTAGGCTATATATCTAGGCTCTAAAAGTCCCTGAATATTGCCAGCCACCAACTTCTACAATGAATCAAAATGCAGTAGATTGTTGAGTAGGCAAATGTGAGTTACTTAATTTACTTCCTTTATGAACATACTTGAACTTGTCTATATGCGTATGTGTATATATATAGACTCACTGAGTAATTGAGGAAGGGAAGGATATCGGGATGGACGTGAAGGAAGTTAAGATTCCGTCTTAATTGGCAATGTAGGGAGTAGTCCAACTCCGCATTTGCAAGATTTTTTAACTTTCTAATGTGGGACATTTTCACCACATTCTCACAAAATGGTGGAGTGTTTCATGAATGAAATTGTACGTCTTATAGTCTTGTTCAAACTATTAGCTAGGAAGGAGATTAGGAATGAAATGATAATGTATCTAACTCACTATCGCATTAGTATATAAAATGAGATGTATCTAACTTATATATACTGCATTATTACATATTAGATCGTATTTGATTACTCACTCTCGCTTTCACACTCACACTCAGAGAACAATCAACAACGTATATAGGAAGGAATCGGATGGGAGGATCAAGTGGTGTGGACACTATAAGGTTGAAGATATAAGGTAAAAACACCAACGGCATTGTGGCACGTGTCCGAACAAACAACCAAATGCATGGAAGCAGCAATTTACAATGAAGGGAGGAAGAAAATAGTTGGTGTTTGTTATTATTAACTTGTGTGGTGTGGTGGCGACAGGGCAGAGGATGGAGAGAGAATAGAGAGATATGCATGGGTTCATCTCCAACGTCCAAACCTCATCCTTGAAGATTAGAAGCTCTCGTTTACCTGGCTTTCGCCATCACAATTTCAATGCAGAGCTAGCTAGCTAGGCCTCTTGGGTGAATACATCATATTCATATAGACGAGGAGGTGGTGGGTTGGTGAATTCTATAAAGGCAGGAAGTTCCAGTGTTCGTTACCCACCATGTCTTCAGCTTCGCTAGTTAAGAGCTTCAACCTCACCTCTTCTTCCTCCTCCTCACCCTTCTCTCCTGCTACCAGCAGGAAACCTAGTCCTTGCAGTGTTTCTGCCAGGCTCACTACTTCTCCTGCTTCTCGATCTCCTGCCCCTAGCCTCATCCAAAACAAGCCTGTTTCCTCTGTTCCTGCTCTAACTAGGGTACTCTCTCTCTCTCTCTCTCTCTCTCAACTAGTACTAAAACTATATAACTATATTATGACAATGTGACTAGCTAACCCTAGCTAAGGTCTGCATTTGATCAGAGCTTTTTTTTGCTTTGTTTATCAAACTGACATTTTACAACAACTGTGATTTGATTTGATTTGATTTTGGTTAGAACAACTGTGATTTAATTGATTAACTGGTTTCGTGGCATTTTCCACTCTGGTCTTTGGTTCACGTGGATAAAGTAGTAGAATGAGAATTAATTGCTATATATACGTGTCAAATTATTTATAAATGGAAGTAATCTGTTTTGTTGTCACACAACTAATCCTCTGCTTACCGGGACGACGTGGACGCTGGTCATTGATTCCCCATCATCTCATCACACGGCTGTTTGATTTTCATCAACCAGAAGTGACATGTGTATGGTCAAAATCTAAAAACAAAGAAAAAGGAAAATGACACATGTATGGTACTAATTTTACCATCTCCAATTTTAAAATTGACTGGTGAATGAAAGGTATAAATATTCAAGGACCTACCTTCTTGCCACATGCACCAACTTAAGCTAAAACTAGTACTGAAAACGGTGCCGTTGAGTCAATAAGTAAGACAATATATCCCCAGCGGATATCCTTTGTAATCACTGGTTGTTATTGTTTACTGTATGTGATTATATATGGAAAGTGTAAATCTCTTGTTAACTGACAACATGTTGTATTTCTCTGCGGATATTTTGTAGAAGGAAGAAATGGGAAAGGAATATGAAGAGGCCATTGCATCTCTCCAGAAACTTCTCAGGTACTTTCTTTCTGTTCAACTACTAGTTTGTGTTTGTGTTCATATTTGGGATGCATGGGACATTGGGATGGGAGGATTGAAAAATCAGTAAAACGCTTGTTGGGTTAATTGTTCATGCAGTGAGAAGGCAGAGCTGAAAGCTGAAGCAGCATCCAAGGTGGAGCAGATAACAGCCCAATTGCAGACAGTCGATGGCAGCGGCACCAAGACTTATGATGCCGTCGAGAGACTCAAGAGCGGCTTCATTCACTTCAAGAAAGAGAAATATGAGTATGTACACTTGAATTGAGCTCGTATCATATATATTTAGTTGAGCCATGCATTTCGTTTCTTAATTAAATTCGTAAATTTGTGTTTTTCACTTCACAGCACCAACCCAGCTCTGTTCAATGAACTTGCCACAGGCCAATGGCCCAAGGTATAAATTTATATTCATATATCTGATATTGATTATTTTTTTTTTTTTTTTTTTTTTTTTTTTTTTTGCAGTTTTGCATTTTTTTGAATGAATGTCGTTTGTGTTTGCAGTTTATGTTGTTTGCATGCTCGGATTCCCGGGTTTGCCCATCACATGTTCTGAATATCCAGCCAGGGGAGGCTTTTGTGGTCCGCACAGTTGCTAATTTGGTCCCACCCTTTGATAAGGTTTCATTTCTTCCTTATTAGATTAATCACATTAACAATTCTAAATTTGTACAAATGAATCAATGACAGTTTCTAATTTTGGAAACCTGGAATTGTTTCAACAACAGACTAGATACTCTGGAACTGGGGCGGCCGTTGAGTATGCTGTTTTGCATCTTAAGGTAATCAATTTCATTCATCTCCAGTTTTTTCTTCCTTTCTGGGTTAACTTAAACTAACTAACTTGATTTGTGTACAAAAAAAGGTTCAATACATTGTGGTGATTGGGCACAGCGCTTGTGGTGGGATTAAGGGACTCTTGTCCATCCCAGAAGATGGAAAAACCTCCACGTACGTAAGATTAATTAAGAACAAGGCCGCCTGCCTTTGTTAATCTTAATTATTATTTTTTTATTTAACCTTGTTGCTTGATCATGATTCATGTCATGATGATGATGATGATGATGCAGTGACTTCATAGAAGACTGGGTGAGCATCGCCTCCCCTGCAGGGAAGAAAGTGAAGGGAGAGCATGGCGCTGCTCCCTTCGCTGAATTATGCGGCCATTGTGAAAAGGTCCCCTGCTCTGCTCTGCTCTGTTTTTGCATTGCATCATTGCAATTTGTATGCATGCATGCTTATTAATGAATTAATTTAACAAGAGGAAATGAATGAATGAATGAATGCAGGAGGCGGTGAATGTGTCGATTGGGAATCTGCTGAGCTATCCATTTGTGAGAGATGGTTTGCTGAAGAAAACTCTGGCAATCAAGGGAGGCTACTACGACTTTGTCAAGGGAGGTTTTGAGTTGTGGGATGTTGACTTTAGCTTCTCTCCCTCTCTCTCCGTATGATCCCATCTTCTTCATCTTCAAACCATCCATTTTCTCTTCATCTGCCCTAATAAGTATCCATCCCATTATGTTTCTTTCTTTCTTTCTTTCTTTCTGCAACTGCAACTGCAATGTAAAATCTAGTATATTTCCCTTCCCTTTCTTCGTCTGTTGTTTGTATCTACTACATGGTTCGCAAATAAATATATAACGGAGACCACGTTCGTTGTTGGCTTGGCTCCCTCCTTCACCTTGTTTGTTTGACAAAATAAAAAGCACTTCTTCTGGTTTATTTTCGTTAGAGAATACTGCAATTTTCTTCTGGTTTGTTTGTTTAGGTAAAAGAGGTGGCCACCGTACTGCAGTGGAAGCTCTAGGGGCATCACCACCAATTCCATTCCATGGGTTAGATAGAGAGAGAGAGAGAGCCTTAGAGATGATGATCATTGCAAACATGTGGCTCCATCTCCTCATCATATGAATCTAATTACGCATATATGATGAATGGGTTATGATAACGTGAATTGGGTTATGTAGACCAACAATTTAAGCCATCTTTCTTTTATCTAAAGTTTGGGTTGTTAATCCCAAGTTCCTCTTCATTTCTTTCTTCTAAGCTTCTGCGCCGGTCGATTATTGGAAATTTTTTCGCACGTCTTATAGAAGAGCTGAAAGCCAACCACGAAACCACAAAAACCAAATCTTATTGCTCCCTCCCTGTCAGACAATTTCCATCTGTTCAAGCCAAACTAATCAAAGACTTGAAATGAAGACAGCAAGGGCAATAAAACCAACATAAACTGCGATGGAAAACATTCACAGCTTTCATTCAAAGCCCTGTCTACTGACTAAATCAGAAAATCCACCCTCCACGAATCCGCAATAGAACAGTTCTTTATCAGATCAATACGTGTGTCCTTAACTCCAATCTCACAAATTTTGCACTTTCAATAATAGATGTATCGAATTCTTGGTTGAATCAGACGAACAATGCATTCTCCGTCAATATATCAAGGATGATGATTAATTACAATAGTTCACAGATATATGTACAAACGGACCCTTTTAAATAAAACCTTCAATGCCCAAAAACAAATGGTATTCTGTCCCATTTTTCTTGGTTAACCGAGAATTTCATTAGATCAGAGGCGATTTGTCCCATTTTACATACACAAATCAAAGCATTTGATTGGTCATGTCTCGTCGGCCTTTGGTTCAAGTACAACAGGGATCTTCTCCTTCTGATCACCACGCAACACCTCCACAGTCACCTGCGTTCAAATACTACATTATTATGTTGAACTACATATATAAGCCCGATAGTTATAAATAAATAAACTACCCTATTCTTTTTAAGTCTCAAACAAGCTCAGATCAACATTAGTTTGGCCAACTGGAAGCCCATCTGAGACCAGAAATACTAGAAAACCTAGCACCAGATAAGTGGAGAAAAGTTTGCTTGTACTAGGATGCGTCAAGACTTTTTACAGGCTACATATCATCTGGGAAATAATAAGGGACAAAGCGATAGGATGAAAGACCATACCTTATCACCCACTTTACATTGGTCGAGAATTCTATACAAGTCGCTGCCATTGCTGACCTTTTTACCATTCACAGATGTTATAATGTCACCCAAGATGAGTCTGCCATAGGCATCACGCTTGGTTGGTAGCAGTCCCTGCAAATTGGAGGTTTATCAGCTCCAGTTGAATGGAAGCACAACTAACATCTTTTCACAATTCGGTTCTAGTTTAATCATATTATCTACCAAAAGGAAATTAATTTCTGTAGTACCATACTTATATTGGAAAAACAGAAAGGGGAAAGAGTACCGCTTTGCCAGCTGGACCATTTGCTGGTGCGTCTAAGACAAGCACTCCACTGACCCCCAACTGTTCAACAGATTGATCAGGTGCAAACTTAATTCCTAAAACAGGTCTAGTGACCTTCCCAAATCTGACCAACTGGTCAACAATACCATTTACCTGAAAATGTAAAAATATTCAAAAGAAAATCAGAAGAATTATCTCAAAGCATGACAAGAAGGAATGTTAACAGAAGGACCTTCACATGATGTCTACTCACAGTGTCAACTGGAATTGAAAATCCAACACCTGATGATGCACCAGAAGGTGAATATATAGCTGTATTTATCCCGATAAGGCTTCCTGTGCTATCTAGAAGTGGGCCCCCACTATTACCAGGATTAATGGCAGCATCTGTCTGTATAACATCTTGAATTGGACGGCCAGTAGCAGCAGAACTAATTTCTCTGCGAAGCCCACTATAGATAACATGAAAAATGCATCAGTAAAATGCACAGTTTCTCATTGACAGGAATCCACCAGCAGAATGTAAACCCTAATGAATAGAAAAGCAACACCATTGCAGTCCATTCAATGGTAGAAGTCATGCATGACTCATCAGTTAAAGACCCAAACAAACATAGAATCAATAGACTATGTACCTGATAACACCAGTTGTAAGAGTATGGTCAAGCCCAAACTGCAAAGTTAAACACAAAATCAAATTGTCAGTTGAGATCGACCATACAGTTAGTCATACTGAAACCTTTCATAGACTTTTGTGAGAGAAGAACATCAACTCTGTTAATAGCTATAGAGCATCTCCTGTTTGATACTAGGTAACTATGTGCACAAGCATGCTGTGGGGCATGCTGTGGGAAAAGCCTTTCTTGAGTACTGATTTTCATTTCCATCTACTTGAACATATATTTTGGTAGAAAAGATGGATAAAATTACTGCATTTAACCTATTCTCTATGGACAATTGAATCAATACATTTTAAGTGAACTAAATGAGTACATCAAGTATCTTAGTAATTTGCAGGTTGTCTATCTGCTTGGTATTTTAAAACTTCATGATATCTCCAATGTATTTGAAATAAAGATATCTCCAATGTATTTGAAATAAAAAGATGAGAGTAATGCAGCAAAACATGTAGGAAATAAAACTATACTTACAGGATTGCCAATAGCAAACACTTTCTGACCAACAAGCAAGTCTGCAGAGACACCAATAGGTATAGGCCTTAGTTTGTCTTTGGGTGCATCAACATGTAAAACAGCAACATCCTTGTCTTGGTCAAATCCAACAACTTTTGCATCAAAAGTTGACTGGTCAGCAAGTGTGACCCTGTAAATAACTAGCAGTGATTTAGATGCAAACCATGAGGAGAGGTTCCATTGTCACTTTTTCAATTAACACCACAAAAGAAAAAGAAAAGAAGACAATAGAGAATCTCTGTCAAACAATCTAATGACGTCAAACCAAAAAATTATCTCAATTTGCAAGCAAAAGATGTCTCACACATGACCAGAGAAAAAATTATACTCAGGAACGGCCCTTAAGAAGAGTGATATGGGGAAGCCAATCAATTAATTGAACATACAGTTCCATAATATCCCCCCCACAAACTTGGACAGGATTCTATCGATCCCTCTTCATTCTTATAAACACATCCTGTACTCTCCAGACTCCATAATTCTAGTGACATGATGCTTAGGTTGAAGAATAAATGGGCCATCACAGAGCCACATTTTACAACCCATAATGGCATCTAGCCTGTAGGCTATAAACTACAACGAACTTATCAAAATTGAAGGAGGTCCAAACGTATATAGAACTCGTATATCTGTTGTCCACGACATTGATGTTGAGGCAAAGCAGAACTATATTAAATCATCAGATTGTTCTGATACTACTAGAATTGCCGAACCAAAATTTGATGTAACAAAACAGTAAATACATTTCAACGAAGAAAGAATCAGAAACCAACTAACCTGAGATCAGAAGCACCACGAATCACGTGGTAATTGGTGACAACATGCCCGTCTTTATCCCACACAAAGCCTGACCCAGACCCCTGCGGCACCTCAAACACGTCCAAAGTAAACGCATCCTGCCTAAAACCAACAAACACCCACCACCACCGCTTCAAAATCACAATCCCAACCCAAAAGTAGAAACTAAACATAAATTAAAAGTAAGCACAACTGAGAATGGTCAAAGTTAAAAAATACCTGGCTGCAAGATTGGTGATGTAAACAACAGAGGGAGTGTTCTCCTGAAAGAGCTGAACCGTAGCGAGCTCATCGGATTGCAACTTTCTCGGCGGAGTGACCACGAAAGCCGAGGCCGGATCCACATCGGCGATGAAGAGGGACAAAGCTAGAGCTACCGAAGTGCAGAGAATGAGCAGAGAATCCAAGGCGGTCGAGAAGGGGTTCTTGGTGGTGAGCAGAAGCTTGTGGAGGCATGGAGGACAGTAAGTCTTGTACGGGATCAAAGACCTTTTCTGGGTTTTGTGGTGAAGAAGGGAGAGGATAGGTGAGCTTGTTGAGCTGGGGGATTTGTGGAGGGAAATGGATTTGGAGAGAGGAAAAGTAATGAGCTTTCTGTTTGGAAAGCGAGAAAACGAGGGAAGGGAAGAGAAAGTTGGGGAAGAGCGGAAGTTTGTAGAAATGAGTGAAGAAGCAGCCATTTGGGTTTTGGGGACAGCTGCCCTGGAAGGATTGCCTAGTTTGATTCACTTCTTATTAATATCCAAGCTTTCATATAACGAACGAACATTGTAGATTAGTGTAGATTGTACTCTAGTGGGAGAGTTGAGACTGGTCATAGTTGAGTGTGAGAGAGTAACTGGATATATAACACAAATAATTGGCAAAATAATTATTTTTGTTCATGCTTTAGTTCTCCTATTTCAATTTTATTTTTGTAGTTTTAAATCTGAGCAATGCAATTTTATTTTTTATTTTCATATTTAACGGCTAAACTGCCGGCCCAGACAAGTAAAGGTTAAGCCCCTTTTGGTTTGCTAGCCTACGAGCATGAAAGAGACTGCGGCGAAAAGCCCAGAGGGGTTTCCGTTATGTCCAAGGGATCAAATTACAACTGTTTTTCAACCTATCCAGGCAGCTTCATGCTTACGAAGACCCCAAACACTTACGCTTGAGTGAGTCTTTGTCCACACGCAACGCTTTGTCAATATGGCAAAAGATTTATTTGTCTTCAGCCATTCTATTAATATTCGAACGTTCATATCCTTTTCCTAACAAACATTTTAAGTTTCACATCCTTTTCGTAACAAATTACAAGGATGTTTCAGACTCAATTCAATCCATCCCGATCAATCACTCTAATTCATTTCGATGACTTCAATGGATGGATTATTGTAAAATTATAAAATATGAAACCCAGTTATGGAGTTAAAAGTAAATCCTCCGAGTCCCTAAAAGAAGTCGGCATGCATACTTAAAAGACCCACGAATCAAAAGAAGGAAACCAACTGGCAATATGGGGAGTAGCCCAACTCCCCCCATTGCCAGTGCATCAGCAGCCAGGCAAGCTTCAACTCCGAACTCGTGGTTTTGGGCATGCTCATAAAAGTCACAAAGAAAAATGATACTTTACAAGATTTTCCCAAGGGGTCTTAATTCCTTTGGTATGCCGTCAAAATTTCCAGCATTTATATCTGATTGTAGCATCGGTCTTTTCCCAACTTTCCAAACAATGCCTTCTGCCAGGTGCTCCTTATTTGGCGTCAACATTACAAAGTTTGGATCGGCTCTTTGATAACTGCAAAATGGTTCAAACAATCAATTCATTTTACGTGAGACAAGTTCCATATACCTTCAGGAACATTGTCACAAAATGAAGAGTGTCGCATATCCTATTTTGAAACAAAACGCACTACATGCCCTTGAGGCACTCTGGACTAGGACCAAATGGATGGCCATTGACCATGTACATGCGCCAAAATAGGATAGTTTATCCAAATACGGAAAAACAAGAAACAAATGAACGAACCTGGCTTGTCTAAGATTCTCAACGCGAATGCCAAAACCATAACCTGTCTCCCCAACAGCGTGATCTCTGGTAGCTGCAATACACAAGGGGTCAGTTTGTACTCATTCAGTACTTGGACACGCACATTCACATGCAAAGCAGGACTTCTTCTATGTCATTCAGGCCCAAATCCAAGACCATTGGTGACTTTTTGTATAGCATAGTAATCTTGGCAATAAAATGTTTCCTGATTTATAATTTGGTCATAAAAATCTACCAATTAGAGATACCTGAAATGCTGAATGTGAAAGAAGGTTTCCACCATGATTTAAATGCCAACGCTATAGATGAGCTGAGAGGGCCCACCTTTCCCTGCATGGATGAATAATGAGTGTTTCATAAACTTGACATGATCCAAAAATTGCAAGCACAAGATTACATTGAATATGCTACCTTCAGCAAAAAGTTCTTATTGGCTTGCCAGGATGCAGCTACTTGAAAGGTGGAATCAGGGACTTGAGGTACATAGCTTGATTCTGGTACATCGTTTGACGATTTGGTATCATCAACCCTTTAAAACAGCATCACAATATAATCAATTATCACCAAATTTGTTGCATATCAAATATATTTGATTATTTACCTGGTCTGCAATTCAAAGCCAAAATCGATATAATTCGTAATTCCAACTACTTCATTTTCTTCGAGGGGGTTTTTCACCTGTTTAGTTAAAGCAGTTCAAAGTTAGTCAGTACAGTATACGCTGATTTAAATACACAAATTAAATTAAAAAGAACTTTTCTGTAGCATATAACAAACCAGGGATAGACAATACCCGTCTTTGGACCACCACATGTTGATAGAATGAGGCAATGAACTGCAGTATAAAAATCAATGCTTGAGATCCACAAAGAGGTATATAACATGCTCTCAATTATGATTTAGAACTCGAGAATCTAGCATTGGAACACAACCATGCATAGATAGAGCAATTAACTTCAAGTTTTTGAGGTGCTAGGAAAACTATTGAATGTTAGCTCCTAAAACACTTGAGACTTCGATGGAATCAATTAAACTTAACAAATGTATCAAAACTATACAAAAATAAACCTGAGAACTTTTTGATAGCTCGAGACCAAAGTTGAATGATGGACTCAAAGGGCTGCTTGATCCCACTCCATAACCGATTGCACAACTCCAATTCTTTAAATTTCTGTATTTTTTACCTTCTTTACTCCCATCTAAAAAGAATTAACCAACAAGATTTACATTTGAAATAAAATTGTATTAAGATCCTTTAACATATAAATAAGCAACATCAAAAGAAGACAAAAGTACTTCATTCAATCGTCCAGGGCCAAAGGCTCCAGTTATGAGAAGGCATATGAGTGGCTTACATTCAGGCTCATACTGCACCCCGGCTGTTAGTCTTCCCATCTTGCTCACCAACCATGCCCTTCTTGGACATTCATCTTTCACTGCAGAAAAAGACAGTTACATAGTACACAAGGTTTCCACCGCACCTAGTAAGTGCAGATAGAAATGATGACTCCAGAGTTCTCTCCCCTTCTAAAATTCAGATGATGCAAAATTGCAATCACGGGTTATAAAATAGCCATTCTCCGAAGTTTCCAGAGCAGCCAAACAAGAGTCTACCCAGCAACATTTCTTTTATTTTCCTGCTTTTTATTAGAGGAGTTGATAACATCTTACTTCACATCCTTACCATATAAACTTGATAGCTATGCCATAATTTAGATATTACCAAAAATTAACTAAATGTTCAGAACAACAATACAGGTAAGTATAACTCATATGGGAAAAAAAAACTCGTAAAATTGAAATTCGGGCTACATACTGGAGAAGGGCATGGCTGTGGCTCCAATTGACAAGTTTGTGGAGCCATATCTCAATCCCATAACACCAAAGTCTTCAGAAGTTATTCTGCATGAGTAGTGAGCTCTGTAAATATTATACATTCATGTGTATGTGCACCAACTATCCCAAAAGTCATTTGGATTTTTTATCAAAAGGTTTTTACCTTTTTTTCAGAAGCATTGGGAAAATTCCAAACGCTCCAAATCCATATTTAGGGTAGTAAGCACAGGCCCTCATTTGCAAAGTCCTAAAGTGACAGAAAGTATGGCAATATATAAGTAAATAACATGGCTCTGAATATGAAAAACCGAGAAATTAAAAGACAAAAATGACACTTCAGAGAGATGTTCCTTACGGATCAGTGCTCGATACGAAGAGGTCCATGAATGTATGAGGATCATCAACATCACTGCTCAATGAAATAAGCATTACGAAATTGTTTATGTCACTACATGTACGTCCAACGTATCGCCCAGAAAAAAGGCAATTCATGTACAATGGGAATCTGAATCTACTTCGAAGTACCTTTGCCAGCGGAAAAATGCATTTCCAACAATACTCTCCTCGGGTTTGTGATCAAGTGGTCCTGAAACCTAAACATGTTAAGGAAAACGGGAAGATATTTCCCGTGGATTCAAACCATCAACTTCGAAATTTCAGATTCAGCTAAATCACGAAGGATACAGTTGCAACCAAATCGACATGAGGATCATCTATGGGCTTTAGCATGATCATTGTGCTAAAATGCCTTGCTTGTTCAAAATAATCGTCAAACAGACATTTCAAAGCAAGCTTCCCAAACAACAAGTCATATGATGACTCCAACATCCTGCATCAAAATTACTCACAATATAAAACAATATTTTGAAAAAATATACATATACATAACAATTTAATTGCAGAAAATCAAATGCTAGCCAATTTCAACCAGGAGTGGTATTCATAAGCGAGCAGTGAAGACCAGTATTCAACATAGCTAAGGGCTTATGCACTGGCAAAAAGAGCCTTGTGCTAGAAAATTTGAAATGAAAAATAATGAGTCGAGAATGGGAGCATAGGAGGTGTAATTAGAGCAGAACCTGGTGCGCGCTGCGAGAGGAGGAAAGTCGAAGAGAGGTGGGACCAGCACCATAGGCGGTGGTGGCTCCTTGTTCATCAAGTTCCCCATATCTATCTGCTTTGCTTTGCTAACAATGTTAATGCTAGGGTTTCTGAGTATTGAATGGATACATAGACATGGAAGATGAGGAAGAAGAAGAAGAAAACAGTGAAGGGATTGTTGCTTGTTACTTGTGATTCCGTTTTTAGGAGCGAAAGTTGCGAGATTGGCTTTAATTTACCATAAAAAATTAGAAACTGAAATTACGAAGCCGCGCCCGCGCATATCTCCACTCTAGACTGCAGAGGAAAAGGCTCAAACCTCGATGACCGTTTCAACGCTCCCACCTACGTGGCAGGTCCAGGTGGTACTCCAAACTCTCAAGTGACACGTCACTCAAAAGCCCCAAAGTTTCCTTTTTCACTTCTATTGGGCCTCTAATGAGGGCCAGAGGGCCCAAGACTCATTAACATCTTGGAAGAAAACTCATTAAGGGCTGAGGTCCATTGGCCATAATTAACTTTTTTAAAAATTTCGTCAGTAGAATATTAGGAAAATAGGAAATCAAACGCAAATGCTCGTATTATTTTGGGATATGACTAACTGCTTGAGCTACAAACATCTTGCAACTATGATTAATTTTTAAAAAAAATATTGTACACACAATATCATTAAACTTTTATAAGAAGAAAAAGACATAAAAGTTATATCGCAATTTAAAGCCTAGAGTTTCATAAAATAAAATAAAAATCCAAGTATTTTCTTTATGTTCACTCATTTTAGTACTTATGTTACCCAGCTCACATGCTAATGAGTTTTAGGTTATGTAAAATCAAGCAACTCATGTCATTTCAATCATTTTCTAATGAAACAAAACTAGCCTAAACAATGTTCCACTTCCATTCAATTGTCTTTGTCCCCATTGAATTTTTTCGATGCAGCTTACTGCTTTTGTTTGGCCTCAAACTTCTCGAGTTGTCTTGCTAATTTAAAGACAAGTTTTGGATGGCGATTGACAATCACAATTAATTTTTGTCTCTATCTTTCCGAGTGACCTAAAGACACATAAAAAAAAGTCGGTCATACAAAAGACATGTCATTACTTAACGGATTTTTTGACAGTCAACTTAACAAAAAGCTTAAATTGATCATATTTGAAAACAATTGGTGTAAATTGATGAAATTGAAACTCAAGGGTCCATATTCAGAATAACCCCAAACCTTGAGCAGGTCTTTTGAGGGAGCTTCTACAATGAATAGTTTAGAGTTATGAGCTTATTTGAGGCGGGGTTCAATCTTACCATCAAACCATTTAAAATGTTTAAGTCCATTGATTTTCTCACATTTGTTGATGGTGGGATTGAAACCCTCAAATAAGTTCCTCACTCTAAGCTCCTCATTATAGCCTTTTCGGTCTTTTGATGTTAGCCCAATAAAATAAAAACCCAAGTGTTTTCTTTATGTTCACTCATTTCAGTATTTATGTTACCCAACTCACATGCTAATGAGTTTAGGTTATGTAAAATCAAGCAACTCATGTCATTTCAATCATTTTCTAATAAAACGAAACTAGCATAAACGCATGATGTTCCACTTCCATTAATTCGTTTTTGTCCCTATCGAATTTTTTCGGTGCATCCTACTACTTTGTTTGGCCTCAAACTTCAAAGAAAGTTCCTCTCGACTTTGGAGTTGTCTTGCTAATTTAAAACAAATTTTGAACAGTGGTCACAATTTATTTGTATCCCTATCTATCTTTTCGAGTGACTTACCACGTAAAAGAAGAGAAAAACACAAAAGGGCATTGAATCTGTCACATAAAAGTTATTCAGCATGTTAAGTTTGAACCGATGGTTAAATGTAAGGAAGTATACTAAAAAATGACCTAACATGTCGATAATGATGTATAGAATTCCAATTTGAATTTGATTCCTAACGAATGAAATTCTGTGGTATACATCGTTACGGTCCTACTTGAACAGTTGGACTAGGTTTCTATTTGCATGTAGATGTTAACAAAATGAGACCCCACCCACCCAGTCCACCACATCGGTGGTTTTTTTTTCCCCACTTTTTTCTCCACTTCGGGTGGCCAATCCATGGTCACTTTTTCAAGATTATGCTCTAGTGGCTCCAATTTCTCATGAATATACCACGAAGCTGTCTTATATTTTTCCCTAACCTTTTTTGACCAAGCTAAAGTTGATCAACTGCCTCCTCAGCTTTTGAATGGACAAAAACGCCATACTCATTACAATTAGCCACCGACTAATTCCAACCAATTTTTATTATTTTATTTAATGACCATTTAACAAGATTTTGGTTTTTCAAAGGAAAAAAAAAGGAAGAAAATAAATTATACTACCACTCTTGTCTTCTTGCTTACCATTTTCTATTGCATAGTGGAATGTCATGGTCCAACTCCAAAAGAATCATTTCATTGTCTTGTCTATTCTTAACTTTTATATTCAAATGGTTCAATGGAAATTAGAAAAAAAAGTTCTCCCATTTTAGTTAGGGTAAACCACGAGTACGAGTTTTTTCTAGTAGAACATTCTAAATAATATCAGGAAGTTCCTCATATTTTGAGCTCTCTGTATGTTTATATTTCACATTAGGAGCGAGATTTTAATTTAGTAAATTTCAAATAAAGTATAGATACATTTTCAAATCATGATTTTTATTTATTATTTATAGTTGAACACAATTTTTAATGTTTTATTTTTGGCTGAATAACAATATTTAATGGTTGATGGTATATGTTAATATTAATAATCAAGTAACCGTTATTAATGAGGACAAAATCTCAGCACAAAAAAAACAAAAAAGGTAAAAGCTAGGGGATGGCTGCACATAAGGAAAGTATGGCGCGAAGTTCGACGATGGTTCTCTAGCTACAAAAAGCTTCAAGCTTGGGCGTTGAATCTCGTGAATGTACGGAATCTTTCCTCCTCTTCATCTTTCTCTTTTCCAATCGGCAATCTCATAAATCTGTTCTTATGTTCAAAATCTATTTGTCTCTTTTGGGTTAAATTCATTCCAGCAAGGCCCAAATTCAGATACGTTTCGTCTGTCACCCGGCAGAGTGTCTGAAATACTTGGTTAGAACAATCTCTGTAAGTACTGAGGTTCAACTGTTTGGTTCTACGTTTTCAATGGGTTCTTGAATATGCCAATATGGTGTGGGCTTGTCTAAATTCAAAACTTTTTTGGTGGGTTATTGAATCTGGGTTTTGTTCATCAGTATGCTGATATGTTCAGTTTTCATTTTTGTTTCTTCTTTTTGTTTTTGGGTGAAATAACTTTCTCGGTTGCATGTTTTGAGTCATGAGCATGACACTCTGCTTGGATGATGGGTGTTTCTGGTTAATTCAGATAATAACTTCTGCTTAATCCAGCTGTTTTATTTCTTCTCTTTTGTTGCACTTCTTTTTACTAGTGTTGGGATGTTTTTTATTTTTGGCGAGATACAAAACGGGATCTAAAAAGTGTCAACCTTGGTTGGTGATATTCTTGTCCTTTTTATATACATCTTTGCTGATGATGAATCAGCTTATAATTTTAGTCCTTTGGTTAGTAGGTTCGTTTTACTCTGTTTTTTTTTCCAGTTCTATGATGATCAGATTGTGTGTAAATTTTATATTATTTTTCTAGATACAACTACATACAGATTCTTAGTTACAGTTGCTGATATGTTTTTCTTCCCTTAATCTTGTTAACCTTCAGAAAGATTGCAATGACAACTTGTATACCTGCTGGAAGTGGCAAACTGCATTATAGGGTGAGGGACTTTAAGGGACAAGGTTGTAGAAAGGCTTCCTGGGTTTCCAGTGTGACATTCAATGGAAGCACACATAAAGAGCTTTCGTGGTATGGTACCTGATTACTGCCCTGGTCCTGTAGTTAATTTATATAAGACTTTTGCTTTGTTTTTTCATGTACAAAACTCCACATTCTTCTGAAGTTGATGTCCCTGCTGGTCCACCATATAGATCTTTTTATGCCTCACTTATGCTTTATTTCACAATTATCCAGGTCAGCTGGGGCATCAAAGTTCTTGCAGATCCAGAGATGTAACTTTTCTCAATATCCAATTAATGAGAACTCAAAGTCCTTAAGAACAGTCACTATATCAAGCCTGAGAGATGATTCCACTAAGTTTTTTGATTTTGCCGTTATTGGTAGTGGAGTTGCTGGCCTTCGTTATGCTCTTGAAGTGGCAAAACATGGATCTGTTGCTGTGATTACCAAAGCTGAGCCTCACGAGAGCAATACAAACTATGCTCAAGGTGGTGTTAGTGCTGTGTTGTGCCCTTCGGATTCTGTGGAGAGTCATGTACAGGATACAATTGTAGCAGGGGCTTATCTATGTGACGAGGAGACTGTCAGAGTATGTTATTGGACTTATAAGTTGACACAAATAAGTTGCAGATGATAATTGATTATTGTGAATAAGTTGCAGATGATAAATGATTATTGTGATATTTTGTCCAGGTTGTCTGTACAGAAGGACCTGAAAGAATTAGAGAATTAATTGCAATGGGTGCATCATTCGACCATGGGGAGGATGGAAACTTGCACTTAGCAAGAGAGGGGGGTCATTCTCATCACAGAATTGTTCATGCTGCTGATATGACTGGAAGGGAGATTGAACGGGCTCTGTTGGAGGCAGTTCTTAAGGATCCTAATATCTTCATGTTTGAACACCACCTTGCAATAGATTTGCTAACTTGTCAGGTTTACTTTTTCCTCATGCTTTGTTTGTGAAAGTGTGTTTCACTTGCTTCTGCACAAATTGGCTTTAGAGGATTGACTTTCAGAAAGGCAACTAGGTTCTATCATAGTATTAACTCTAACACACACCTAGGAACTAAGTGAAAGCTTTGGTGGTCTAAATTAGCTCCATGCTGATTTGATATAGTTAAAATTGATTGTAGGAATTGTATGAATACTTTTCCGTTTTTACTAACAGAAAAATGTATTTCTGGCAATACAGGATGGTTCTGACACAGTTTGTCTTGGTGTTGACACTTTGAATACAGAAACACAAGAGGTGACTACAATTTGCCGCACATTCTCTTTAAGGTTTTGTAGGGGAATATTTTGCTAGAAGAAATCTATACCATCATCTTCTTTGCCTTTGTCCGTTAATGGAAACACATATCCATATTTGTTTACAAAATTCCCTTATTTTGCACTTTCAGGTGATACGATTTATTTCAAAGGTGACTTTACTTGCGTCTGGTGGGGCTGGGCAAATCTATCCGACAACTACAAATCCTCCGGTACTTATGTTTTTGAAGTACACCTCTAATTTTTTTTCCCTCTGTATATTCTAGAACAAAGATGCAATTCTTTTATTTAAGTAGTTAAGAGACAAAATTGAGTGATTGTAGAAAAATATAATCAGAGAATGATTACCTGTTTTATCATAAGTAAATGCTCTATCTGATTGCTTGTGATGTGTTCTTATAGGTGGCCACAGGGGATGGAATTGCTATGGCTCATAGAGCTCAAGCTGTGATTTCCAACATGGAGTAAGTAAACACATCAATAATCTGAATTTTTTTTTGAGAAAAAAAAACTGTGTTGCAAATATGGGATAATTGATTATGCGAGACAATCAAAGGGCCATTTCGAAAATTTGGTAAAAACATTACAACTTTGTTCCATAGCGCTTCCGCTCACAAGTTTTTCTTCTAGTATGGTTCAAACTTATAATACTCTGCTAGTGCCCAAATTGGCAAATTAGTTTTGAATGATCCTCCAGCGGCAAAACCCATGTTGTCATGATTTGTAAGGGTGGAACTTGATATTGGATAAGCTATGTAGCTTTAAGTGTAATATTGTAGGCTTTTGAAATTGTTAGCTATCCCCCTTTTATGTTTTTATGGTTTGTTTTTCTTTCACAGGTTTGTTCAGTTCCATCCTACAGCCTTAGCTGATGAAGGCCTTCCTGCCAAACCTACCAAGGCTCGAGAAAATGCATTTCTCATCACTGAAGCCGTCAGGGGTGATGGAGGCATCCTCTACAATTTAGACATGGAAAGGTTCATGCCACTCTATGATGAACGAGCAGAACTTGCTCCCAGGGATGTGGTGGCAAGAGGCATAGACGACCAGCTTAAAAAGCGTAATGAAAAGTATGTGCTACTTGATATAAGTCACAAGCCGAGGGAAAAAATTCTCTCACACTTCCCCAACATAGCAGCTGAGTGCCTTAAGTATGGCTTGGACATAACTCGTCAGCCAATTCCAGTGGTTCCTGCTGCTCATTATATGTGTGGGGGAGTCCGTGCTGGACTTCAGGGAGAGACAAATGTACGGGGCCTGTATGTGGCAGGTGAAGTTGCTTGCACAGGTTTGCATGGAGCAAACCGTCTTGCTAGTAACTCATTGCTTGAAGCTCTAGTTTTTGCACGAAGAGCAGTCCAGCCCTCAATTGATCACATGAAGAGCTCTAGCCTCGACTCCAGTGCTTCAAATTGGTGGTCCAGACCAGTTGTGCCTGTATCACTTGGGAGCAATGTCATCAACAAAATTTTGACAATGACCAGAGAGATAAGAAAAGAAGTGCAATCAATCATGTGGAAGTATGTCGGAATTGTTCGGTCTACGACAAGGCTTGAAGCAGCAGAGCAAAAGATTTGTGATCTAGAGGCTAAATGGGAGGAATACTTATTTCAGCTAGGATGGGAACGCACAATGGTGGGGCTTGAGGCTTGTGAAATGAGGAACTTTTTCTGTTGTGCAAAGCTAGTGGTGAGCAGTGCTCTTGCTAGGCATGAGAGCCGTGGACTTCACTACACAATTGATTTTCCTCATCTTGAGGAAAGTAAGAGGCTACCTACAGTAATATTCCCTTGTTCATCTGTACGGACTTCCTGGAGTTCACGACAACTACACAAACAGCCAATTTGTTAGGAAGTGCAATTGTCATGCTAATAATTTAAAATTATAGGGTTCTCATGATCATCAATGTCTCAAGTTTTGGCCTCCAGAACCGTTTTGGTTGGGGGTTGAAGCATCCGCAATTTAAGCAGCTTCTGGTGAAAGCCGCACCAGGTTGCACCTTTTTACTTTTGGTTTATAATTCCTTTTACCTACTATACTTGTTTACTGATTCTTTGTTTAAATAAAAGAAAGAAAATTTCAGCAGAATTGGTGACATATACTTTGGCATTATGCCATTGTCACATTATACATTATTGATATCAGAAGAGTGTCAACCCTAAGACAGATCGTTTGTTCACATATGCTGTATAACCTATAAATGGGTTCTTCATCTTCCCGACTGAAAAAGATGGCCTGCAGTTTCAGAGAGCTCCTGATGTTTCTTTCTTATAGGATTAGCTGTTATCGATATCCCGACTACGAGTAATGCTAGGGCCATCTGCTGCATTTTTCATTTCGCCTTGGATGATTGCATTGCTAATGCCTAATGCAAGCAATCCACAACTACAGGGAGTTCTTTCTCAACTTTGCTAGGAATCAGGTTAAAAACCCAAAGTTGTACTGGAAAAATCCCTTTAAGCTGATGATGATCAACTTATCAGGATGGTATGAAAAAGGGGATGAAATACAAGATGGAAGTTGAGTGTTGTTCATTTCAATGAATATGTTTTTGCTCTCTGTTTGAAGGCAACAAAAACAGAAAAACTGGTTGAAAACTATTTACATCCAGTTAATACTTTTTCTCGAGCAAAAGAAAAAAAAACCCGCTGGGATCAAATTAAAAGCATATTACTTAGTGACAATTACATTATAATCCTGCCCAAAATGTTATGTTTACAGCATAACCCACAAAATCTACAGAGGATTAATATGTGCTCATTATGTTTACCGAAGCAGAATCTACAGAGGATTTACAATTTTACATTACTGTTATTTTATTTTATTTTCTCCGAGGAAAATTGCATTATCCATTCACATGTGAATAGAGCGGTGGACCATGATATCATGTTCTCTCTCGTTTTTCCTGAAACCAATTTCAATATTCTGTACATACATACTTTTGTGCCAATTGAATTTAACCCCAAATTATATTCTGATGATAATTTGCTAAGCCTACCATGGATCTTGCCAGGCTACTTTGTGCACTTGGGCTTTTAGTTTTGGTTCTGCCTGAGCAACTGAAGGCAGTGAATGCTGGGGCTGTTGGCGGTTCTAGGAGTTGTGGGTTTCCAGCAGTATATAACTTTGGAGACTCAAACTCTGATACAGGGGCAATCTCAGCAGCCATATCTGAGGTTCCTCCTCCAAATGGTGAAAGCTTCTTTGGACATCCTTCTGGCCGCTTTTCTGATGGTCGTCTTATTATAGATTTCATAGGTAAGCAACTTCTCTATTTGTCATGTCAGGCTCTACAAGTTTCGACTCTTTCTACTCGGCTATATCAGCTATATCGGGTAAATAATAGGTGACCTATTATTTCTTATTTGGTTTTAAACTTTGTGCAGCTGAGAAATTGCAGTTACCATACCTCAGTCCATACCTGGACTCACTTGGGACCAATTTCAGGCATGGTGCAAATTTTGCAACTGGGGGTTCATCTATTAGGCCGGGCGGCTACAGCCCATTCCATCTTGGCATTCAACTTTCCCAGTTCATAAGATTCAAGTCTCACAGCATTGCTCTCTATAAACAACTTTGTTCAAACAGTTAGTCCTCTCTCCTTCCCACTACAGCAAATTTTGATCACTTCAAATCTCATTCCATTGAATATATATTGGCACCAGGAAGACTTCCTAGGCCGGAGGACTTCTCGAAAGCTCTGTACACATTTGATATTGGTCAGAATGATCTCGCCTACGGTCTTCAACACGGGACGGTAGAAGAAGTTAGAGCCTCCATTCCTGCAATCCTGAACCAATTGTCCCAAGCAATCTCTGTATGTATGCATCAGCATTATTAACTTACTTGGACCTTGGACGTGACCAAAACATAGACATGTACTGATTTATATGTGCCATATGTTTCAGCAACTATACAAGGAAGGGGCAAGGTTTTTTTGGGTGCATAACACAGGCCCAGATGGGTGCTTGCCCTATAGTGTCATCTATGATCAATCAAAGCCTGTCAATCTGGACCAGAGTGGCTGTGTGAAGCCTCTGAATGAGGTGGCTCAGGAGTTCAATCGGCAACTTAAGGACAGCGTATCACGGTTAAGATCAGAGCTCCCTCTTGCAGTATTTACATACGTCGATGTGTATTCAGCTAAATATGCACTGATTAGCAATGCAAAAAGTCAAGGTAACTTAAGTTACCATTATCAAACATGTGATGGTGATTCAAGAATCATTTATGTCCTAATATTTCTGCGTATGGTGATGACAGGTTTCGTTGATCCATTTGACTTCTGCTGTGGCAGTTACTATGGCTACCATATTGACTGTGGAAAGAAAGCCATAGTGAATGGAACCGTCTATGGTAATCCTTGTAAAAATCCATCAAGGCATATTAGTTGGGATGGCATACACTACTCTCAGGCAGCGAACCTGTTGATTGCCGAGCGCATTCTCAATGGCTCATTCTCCAACCCCCCAGTCACAGAGGCTTGTCGTCTCTCCAAGAATGTATGAACACCATGCCATGAGTCGATAACCACGGTTTGTTTGATTAAAATCGTTAGCTGTGATAATTGTTTACACTTTTCGCATTATTCTTTGGCATTAGTGAAGGTTTGTTTTAGCCTTTTAAGTGATTTGTCCACTAGGAAACTTTAGATCAGAAGTACTTTTGAAAAAAGGGGAAGAGCAAGTGAGCCACCCATAAATACCCTCTATTAATTTCAGATGTCATTCACCTCAAAGACAATTGCTGCCCAACTACTCGATAAGCTATGACTTTTGAGGCTTCGAAGACAAATAAGCCATTTTAGTTACTCTGAAAGCACACACATATATGTAGTAAGAAGCAATTGAAGTTGTCTAACAGGCATTTTCGTGCACCAACAAAAGAAAATGATGCTCCACCAATTCTTTATTGAGTATTGACATTGAGACATACAAAGAAGAATCTGACAAAGGAATTTTATCACGTCTAGAAACAATTGAAGCAATAACAAGCAAACCTTTTTCTTTTGACACTTACAAATATTGGAATTATTAAACTCATACCAGAATCTCTTTCCTGCTGTCATTTACTTATTCTTTTAAAATCTCCAAGACCACCTAACAATCGCAAACCAACTAAACCTCTACTAGGACATCCTTTACATATACGAGCCTATATACTTGATTGCATCATAATACCTCAATGATGTCATTTTCTATGATTCTGGAGTTGGCAGTGTCAAGAAGAGTCTCTAATGATCTGGGTTTCCTGCTCCGAACCCTGCCTGCTTCTTTCAACAACTCAGCCAACCTCCGCTTCTCATCGGCCACATCAGGATTTGCTGTTCCAAGTTTCTCTTCTCTCATGCCAACAACATATTCCAGAATTTCAATGGCATCATCCAATCTGTATTGGTTACAAAAGAGACATAAAGACTTGAAGCATTAGAAAAAAAGAAAGAAGGAGAAGCTTAAAGCATGCTAAATCCTTTAAACCTCATTGCTGGGTGAGAAACCTTATAGCATAAGAAACTAAAAAACACAGCAAATGATTGAAAAAGTGAAAGCCAGAACAAGGAAGAGCATAGTACCTTCCCATTGCATCATATGTGCCAGCCAAATTACTATACACCCCTAATGTATCAGGGTGATATGGCCCATACTCCTTTTCTAAGATATTCCTTGCTTCTTCAAATAGGTCTGCAGCCTCATTTATTGAATAACGCTGAACACAGACTAGACCCATTTGGTTGAGAGCAATACCAAACAAGGCAGATTTCTTCTCTCCAGTGGCCCTAAACTTTGATATGGAACTCTTGAATGTGTCATAAGAATCAGAATAATTTCCCATCATATAGTACATGACCCCCATCTGAGCCTCAATTCCTGCAGTTGTGCTTTGGTGGCCAGGGGCGTCACCAAAGATCTTCAAAGCCTTCTTGAGTAACTTCAGGGCTTGCTCCAAATCATTCATAGATTGATAGATAGCAGAAACATCAATAAGACCACTGGCAATCTCTTCTGAGGGGGTGCCAGGATTGGGCTTCCCATAAATTCGATGTGCATTTTCACAGTACGACTTTGATTCCTTAAACTTTCCTATCTTGTTGTACAGATCAGCTAAACGAACATAAACAGAAGCTACTGCTGGATGACTCTCTCCTCTGGTTGTCTTAAACACAGTGAGTGCTTTCTGGTAAGAAAACACTGCCTCATCATACCGAGCCAAGGATAGGTAAGCGTCTCCAATGCTGCAATCAATTGAAGCAGCATCTACTTCCTGGTCATTGGCAGACATGGACATGCCTGCTAAAACATAATGCTCAAGAGCAGCTTCATAGTCTCCTTTTGAGTCACAAATAAGTCCCATGAGTCTTCTATCTGCTGCTTCTTCAAGGGAAGCAGGGGAACCATTCTCCCTGTGAATTTCAAGAGCCATCTGGCAGAGCTTCTCGGCCTCATCGAATTGCAATGCTTGAACATGGGCCTCTGCTACATACCGACATGTCTCACCAAGACGAGGGTCTGTTTCTCCCAGGACTTGCCTTTGTATTTCCATACCTGCTGTATAGAACAGTATTGAATTCTCAATCTGACCAGTCATTGCATAAATATCACCTAATTGCATGCACCCTGCAAACTTGGCTAGTGCGTGGTCTTGGCCATCCTCTATAGCTGGAATATCAATGGCACGCTCAAGAACTGGAATTGCCTCATTATACTGGCCTAAGCTGCAATAGATTGCTGCCAAAACATGCAAGCACATGACCAACTCTAAACTGGGTTTCTCCTTTGTACACTTCTCAAACGATTTCACTGCCCGGAGAGCAAACTCAAGCGCTTTCTGGGGATTTTCACCAGAACCAATCAAATCCCTTGCTTGTTTAAGCAAGAACGGGCCAAGGTCAGGGTTATCCATTCCCGCCTCAAGAGGATCCTCGACTCCATTCTGAAACCTTACCCCATGTAAAGCAAAACTTCTCTGCTTGTGCTTTGAGAATACTGCATTGGATTGTTTCGGATTCTTCTCATACCTCTTATCAAGCGGAGGCTTATCATGTGGAGATTTGCTCTTAGGACTTGATTTTGCAGACGGTGTCTTTACCCTTGTTGTTGGAGACTTTTTAGCAGCAGACACAATTGCTTTCTTAGGTGTTGAGTCACTACCAGTACCCGCATCTTTAGTTTCTATCACAACCTCTTTTCGTATCTCCAAATGCTCATGAACATATCCAACAAGATGGTTCAATTCGGAATCGATCCTCGACTCCGCACCGAATGATCCAAAGCTAGCCCTGGATGGAGATTGATCAGAGCTCTGCATCTCACAGACATTGTGATACAACTGCTCAATAGAGGTGTCAATCCCACCATCCATAGCCAGACCAATGGAGCCACTATGAGGACTTTGAGGACTTTGAGGACTCAATGGACTTCTTGGAGAGCCTTGCTGACTGTAGCTTTCCTTTCGAGGTGCGTAGTCTCCATTGGGTTCATCTACTTCACTATACCCATTCGGTGCATCCATAGCCAATCCAGGCATTGCTTTGTGCTTGCTCTGTCTGGAGTATGAATAAATGAAATCAGAGCAAAACCAATAAATCAAACAAAAAAAGTACTTGTGACCAAGTCATTGACTTGGGAAATTCATCATAATCTTGGGTAAAAAAATATTTGTTGGCACATATATATAATCCAAAAAGTCAACGAAATAAACATTACAATCCCAAAAATGTTATCATATCAGAAAAAGATAACCCAGAAGAGAACGGAATTCAATAGCTATGGTTGTCTCCACTTAATACATAAACGACAAAAAAAATCAGAACCTGTCAAGCAGACACAGAAACCAAACACTAACAACAAAGACAAATAAAGAGGCAATGCCAATGAGTAAAAAGCTCGAAGCTTTAGCAGCAATAAATACATAAAATAGATAGAAACAATAAATGAGTGTTACTTGAATATTATTGTGAGAGAAGCGAAGCTGAGAGAATGGCAAAGCTTGAGGCGCCTCTGTGGGTGTTATGTAACAGATAGACACACACAGACGAGCTGATGATGTGTCTCTGTTTTCTTAAATATATATATATACAAGTTTGAGGGGTAGAAGAAGACGAATAGGCAGAGAGACAATGGAAGAACGGTCAGGGGCAAATTGGGTAATTGAGAAATAAATATATACAGATAATATATATATATATATAAGTGTATATTTAGTCTTAGGTGTGGGGTTGCAGAAGAGTTGGAATGTTGAAGCAATGAGGAAGGCGACCTCCCTCCCACTCTTCTCTTTCTCTCTCCCTGATTTTTATTATTAATGGATTTTTTAAAAAATTTAATTTTGATTTTTTCGCTGTGACGTCGCAAGTTGGCGGGATTAACGGCTTTTCAACGCCAAAAGGCGCTGGAAACGTTCGGATGACAGTGCTGTTTGTTACGGGAATATGAAACTTTAATCTCACTTTAACACGTGGCACGAGTTAAAAGGAAGAAGCCTCGGCTTTTATGGACTGGTGATTTAATGATTGGTCGGCTTTTTGTACGATTCCACGTGGATCACGCCCAGCTGGATTCGGCTGGTCGCGAGTTTCGGCCTTCTATGATAATTTGATAATGGGCTATCAGCCGACTGGCCTTTGTGGGCCCAAACATGTCCAAATTGGAAAGTTAACACACCCACTATATTTTTCAAGTCGGCTCATCTTTCTAATTCCTTCTTCCTCGGTTTTTAGTAAGAGATATTTGGTGATATAGCCATTTCTAGCATTAATATTATAAATAAACCATACATAATTGAATTTATATAAACAAACTAAAAAAAAACCCAAAAAATGGCAGCTGGCCTTATTGAATTTAATATTGATTATTAAATTACTTTGATGCCTTATTGAGTGTTTTGGGTATTTTTATGAGATTTTGGGGTTATACTTGTTTTAAGAAATTGATGGCAGTTTTGTTATTTATAAGAAGTTAAAAACTTTTTGTCATATTGTAAATGGGTTTTGGGTGTGTTTCTAAAGTCTATTTCATATGGAGTATTTTTATAATTTGGGCCCTCATATTGGATATAATAGTGAATCTCCCTTTTAGTAATGCATGAGTATTAGAAAGATTTCCATTCCTTATTTTCTTTGCATTTATTTATACAAAATGAAAAATAATGAGAGATCTATGTTAAAATTCGTAATCTAATACACTTAAAATTAGAAATTATATCAACTACGAGAGTAATTTCTATTCCTTATTCCCTTATTCTTAAGTTCCTCAATTCATGAGTTCCCCCCATTCCTTGTAAGTAAATATGCCATGAAAGTGAAAATTGTTGGCGAATGGGATAACAAGGCTTTTTAAAAATAAAATAAAATTTATAAACACTATGTTACAAAGGATATTGCTTGTATCCTTACTTGGAAGGAGATACCCATCATTCCTGTGAATCACATTTTGACACATGTGCAAAAATAATTCATAAAAAACACTAAAAAATAAAACTTTACACACATGTCAAATTGTTATTGACAGAAATGTAGAAGTTCTAACTTACAGGAAAGGCGACAAGTATCTTTCTATTACGAGAAACAAAATAACAAAATATTGTAGAAAATTTGAATAACATGTGACTCGTTAAACTACACCCTAAAATACGTGAATGTATTTTGCATAACTACTCTCAAAAGAAAAGAAGGGAAATTTGCATAAATACCATATGAACTTTTAGGCATGTGTGCCATGAAACTTCCTACAAGTTCAAGTGTTATTTATGCAAATTTCTCAAGAAAAGAATAATCAAAGTGATAAGGAGCCTCAAATCCCGATGAGAATGGGCAAAATAAGACACCCTTTTGGTTCACTTAAATTAAGGGAAATGATCCTCTTATGTAGGGTCATGGAACAAAACTGCAGACAAAATCAAATGATTTGATGTTGTTGGAGACATCTACTACTATAGTATTCCTTCACAATATCTGATTTGATGATAATAATAATATAATAATTCATCACCATATATATTCTGTCTTGTGATGGGCAAATGCCAACGGCACCTACTAATAACATGTTCACGAGTTGATCTAACTATAACAACATTAAAAAAAATAGGGTTCAAATGAAGTTGAGTAGGTGAGGCACCAATTCCATGATCGGGAATCTAAAGTTGATGCAGCAACAAACAAGTTTATTATATTTATGTAAGTGATAAATAAACTAATTAAGTTGGAGCCGTCTCATCTTCTTCAACAGCAACAAGAAGGACAAACGCCGACATCAGACCAGTCGTTTGGACCTTAAGACTTATGGGCCTTCTTTCTATCCCCGTTCGGTTTTTTTAATGACAGTTTTTGTCATATATATTTTTTTCTGTCTAAAGGTTGCTTTCAGAAAAATATGTGAAGAGAAAAGTTATTTATTTTGCAAATCATTTAAAGAGTATGAAGCTGGGTTTTGTTCTTCTCCCCCAGATAGCCTTGGCTGGCTGGCCCTGCAAATTTTTTTTTAAAGGTGGACGTGTGAAAGAGCATTCATTCTTTGGTCGTCAATGTCATCAGGATGATGAAGGAGAAAAAAAAAGCATCATATTTTAGCTTTAGCTCTCCTTTTTGCTTGGAGTTTGACTTTGTTCTGAAATCAAGTGGACACATTATTATGGATCACATAATTGTCCAATAAAGGTAGCTTGGTCCATGTCTACATCTTCTATGACCACATTGACGAGAAATTATAGAATAGATTTGTATCACCACATCAGCTTGTGATATTTTCATTCAAAATTTGGCACTTATCATTTTTCAAAACAAGTAAAGTTTTTTTTTATTTTTTTATTTTACAGCTGGACAACAAACCCAATTATTATCCTTTGAAATAAATTTAAGAAAATAAAAAATCAGGAAAAACAGAGAACCACCCACCTCGACTATTCTTTTGCCCGCAACTATTCTGCTCCATGAATATGAAAAAAAAAGTTATTCTTCCATCCGAATGGTCGTACGAATGTCATTGTAAATAAAAAGGAAAGTATTAAAGAATAGTAGAAAATACATGGCGTCTACACGATAATAACGTCCGAACACTCACATAGAAGAATTTATGAGAGAGATATATATATATATATATATATATATATATATATAGCATCAGTATGTTAAATTTATGAAGAGAAAGTTTTATGTACTAGAAAATGAAAAAGTAAACGTACACATAAGTAACTGTTGATGAAAAACCTTCACATATATAATTTCTGACCACATGAAAATTAAGTATGCCCCTAAATTTGTGTAAAAACATATATATGATGCTCATATTTTGTTCTTGTCTAGATTAATGCCAAAGCATTTGCTTGTCAATACCGTCACAGAACATGACATGAACTCTTCACCCTCCAATTACAGGCCATTTGAAGATAGCAGTGACAGGCAGCTGGAAAGAATCAGTGAATTCGGGTAATTTCATTTGGCCGCAAAAAGCAGAGGCCAGGCCTGGCCGGTAGATTTATATACATCTCCATTAATACTTTCTTTTGCCTGAGTTTTTGGGTTTGACATTCGAAACAGAAGAGAGAGAGACGTAAATAAAATACATGTGAGTGAGTGATGATAACATTGGTCAAGGAAGCATGCAGTGGTGCCATATTGCATGGCAGTGGTGGACCAGACCGAATCAAGAAATCAGCTTTCTCCGTAAAACTTTGCTTTTGGTTTTGGAATATCTTCAAAGCTCGAATGAATTAAGAATCTACAAGGGGCCCTTTCTGGTCAAAAGAAAGTCCTGCTGACATTCCCCCATCCTATGCCCTGTTTTTTTCTAAAGTCAAAATCCTCTGTCTCTGTCCTCATGCACTGGTTCTATACTACGCATATAAAATAAGCTTATAACATAACCAAGAACATAAGCACAAAAATCAGTTTATTTGTTTTGTTTTGGTTACAATAAAGATGAGATCAGATTGCGCATATAAGAAGATTACCTTACCTTAACCAGGTTGAAATCCTTTTTATCTGCAACTAGCTCCACCTCCATGAACATTGAAACCTTTGCCGAAAGTTAAAAAGATTTAACCTTTACTTTCGTAACTTTTATCTGCTACCTTAGCTTTCGGGCGTTTGCCTTATCAGCCATCATGCTTTATGTCCCAGGACAGGAAAAAGTTTCATTCACATCCATCATTAACGACCAAGTTTGCGTACGGTTTCTCATTTCTGATATGCATGTATCAAATCAATACACTTACAAATCTTTGACTCGAATATAAATCAAAGATGATATGAGATTGAAAAAAAATAGGAAAGGTTCATCTCATCTGGTTGATATTTGATGCTGCATGGGATTTATAATATATCCTTGTGATCATTATTAATGGAATTCATGAAATATATAGCAGCCTTTTCCACTGTTTATTAGTTCAATGATGTGATGGTTGAAGGCATAAACAAACCACATTTGTATGCTAATGTACTAGTGTTCATCCTATTACAAAGAGAGGAAACAAATGGGCTATGCTCCATAAATTATATGCTTTTGGTGCAGATGGAAGTCATTCTGAAAGAGAGATGAGGGGAGACCAGGTAGGTACCCATTTAGGAGAGAAATATTCTGGTTGAATGAATGGTGGGCCCCAAGCTTTTGGATCACAACGAATGTTCTTAGTTATAGGATGGTAAAACCAGAATTTAATAGTATTATAGGGTGGGAACAACCAGAGTTCTCCAAAATCCAAAACAAAGGGATAACAATATTAATTGCTTTATTTTTCTTCAAGGAATCACGTATCATCAATCTCTCTCTAGATGCTTACACTCCCACTCAGAAGCTATTCTCTTCCTCCTATCGTGGACTGCTATAAATACCTTCCATTCCCTCTGCCTTTCCCTTCAAGTCTTGTTCAGCTTCCTTAACTAATTTCCTTTTTGTTTGAGTATACTAGTCTTTCAACCACCATGGACTACAGAGTTGAGTCTTCAGAAACTCTGAGGTACTTGACTCTCTCTCTCTCTCTCTCTCTCTCTCTCTCCTCTCTCAGAATATCAATCTTCTATGCATCATGCATGATACTAGTTGTTTAACTAATCACAATATATACATGTTTATGTGACTTTTAATGATCAGGAACAAGTGTGCAGCATGCTACAGACAATTCAACAAAATCGAGCACTTAGTGGAGCACATGAGAACCTCATATCACTCAGCTCATGAACCCACATGTGGAATCTGTAAGAAACATTGCAGATCCTTTGAATCTCTCAGGGAACATCTTATAGGTAATCAAACCAATGAATCAATTAATTCTACTCTTGAACGTACACACACACACACGCACACATAAAATATATATATATATATATATTATATTCTTTAATACTCCCAGAATTCTTTTAATTTCCAGTTAATAGTATGTATGTATTGGTTTTTGTTCAGGGCCATTGCCAAAACAAGAATGCAGGAATATATTCAGCACCAGAGGATGCAAATTCTGCTTAGCTATCCTTGACAGCCCTTATGCTCTCAGGGCTCACCAGGACAGATGCCAACTCTCTGGTGCAAATGCTGTAATAATCCTAAATTAACACACCAACTTAATTATGAATTTTATTTCTTTCTTTCTTTCAATGCAAATTAGCTCAGTTCTTAATATTATTCATACATGCAGGGCCTACTTGGTCGCTTTGCTAATTTGGGCATTCGTGACAATACTGAAAATGGTAGCACAAGAGGCACCCAAGTTGTTGCACTTGCTTGCAAAATGGTTGGTGGGGGCAGTGACGGCTCCCTGGATCTCTGTGCAAAGGTCTGCCTCATCGACGAATACGAAAACATCATCTTCCAGTCTTATGTCAAGCCACTACTTCCAGTCACAAACTACAGGTAGCTATATTATATGGAAAAGATAATATGTGTAGGTAGAGAGCTTCTTCTAGTATATACTAACTATAGTACATACATATATACTTGTGTATATGCATATAGGTATGAAACAACTGGCATTCGTCCTGAATACTTAAGGGATGCAATGCCTCTGAGGCAAGTGCAAAAGAAGATTCAAGACTTCCTCTGCAATGGGGAACCAATGTGGAAGATTCGACCTAGAGGCGGAAAAGCTAGGATTCTTGTGGGCCATGGTTTGGATCATGATCTTGACTCTTTGCAGGTGGAATATCCACAAGTAATGATCAGGTAATTTTCATTTTCTTCTACCCTACCAAAATTAATTGCAAGATAAGCACAAAATTACTTGTGCTACTAATCATCCCATACGTTGTCTTAGTATCACAAGAGATGATTGGATCATATATAATTTTAGATCGAGCCCAAAATTTGGGAAACATCATATATATATATGTAGAACTTTCCATTAGTAATTTCAAATGTATGTGACTATATGTAGGGATACTGCAAAATACCCTCCATTGATGAAAACAAGCAAGCTCAGCAACTCACTCAAGTATCTAACTCAAGCATATCTTGGGCAAGTACCCTACTATATCAATTTCCTTAGCTTTCGTCTATCTCAAATTCCAAATATAAACCTAGCTAGCTATGTGAGTACTAATGGAACTCCTACATATTTACAGGTATGACATTCAAACTGGCATTCAAGACCCTTATGAGGATTGTGTTGCAACAATGAAGCTCTACATGAGAATGCGATCCCAAGTTCATAAGACAGAGGCTTATCCACTAGCTTCTGACCCACAGAACAGGAACAACTTTGCATCGTGGCGCCAAAATGAGCTCGAGAGGATGAGCCCAGAACAAATGCTGGAAGCCTCAAGGTCTGATTACTATTGTTGGTGTCTGGACTCCCGGGATATGTAGTGCCTGAAAGTGAAAGGAGGCTATATGAAAATAATAAGGAGATTGGTAGATGATCTTACAAGCTAGTTGTTTTTACCTACGTATAAATAATTCATGTTCAGAAATAAATTCAAGATCGATGGAAATATATACATGTTATATTATTTCCATTTGATCCTATTTAGTCACATCTTGTTCAACAAATTCTTGGACTACGCGTGTATTTATATATATAAGAGTGCTGCTAAACGAATCCTAAAATTAACTGAGTACACCATACTATCAAACTATTTATTGAATTACTAATTTATTCTATTATAAATGGCCAAAAAGGATATATTGAATTGTGAATGAAATGTAATGTTTATAAGTACATCCTACCCTACTCACCATATTCAACCTTAATTCAGAAATCTATCTTAGATGAAAGTTATTTCAGGTTCATTCATCATAATCATAATTTAAAAAAAAAAAAAAAAAAAAAAAAAAAAAAAAAAAAAAAGAAAAAAAAAAAACACACATCATTGGCATTCTTCTATTCGTCATATATGGCCAGCATATACGTAGTTCATCAACAAATATAGGCAATTCCCACAGAGTAGTACAAGAAAATCATGCAAGCAGATAAGCTCTCAAAAATTTCAAATCTTACAATTAGAAGGAGAAAATCGCACACTAGTATTCGCCCCTACTGCTCAGAGAACCTTTTAAGCTATCAGGCAACTTGTATTTTTCACTTTCCTATTAGCTATTAGCTATATATATATATATATATATATAATCCCTTTATAGTTTATTCATAAGTTCACAGCATAAAATTCCGAAAAATTATAGATTGTTCACCAACCACTGCCGAGTGTTTCACCGGTATTCGTTGGTGTCATAAACAACATAATATTTAAATTAATGAATAGGTTTAGTGTTGTGTGATATTAGGGTATCATGAGTATTTTTGGTAGTTAAATAGGGCGTGCTTAGTTAATTTTATATTTTGATTTAAATATTAGAGTGCACTTAGATCATAGGATACACTTAGTTAATTTTAGGGTTTGTTTAGCAACACTTTATATTTAATGCTTAGAATTTTTATCCAAGTACATGTTAAGTATAGTTCATTAGGTCAAGTGGCGCATATATTTATACCTACCTTTAACTTTGAGGTTATTTTAGAGCTATATCATTTTTTCCAATTTATGTATTTTCATTATTAAAAAAATAAACTAACTCCTTAAATTCTGAGTGACCCCAAAAGGAAATTTTTAAACATTATAATTTTCCCTTCTCATTATAATTAGATAATTTTTTTTTCAATAAATGAAAAGGGAAAGGAGCAAGGAGCAACAGCAGCAACAATAACCATAATCTCACGGATTAATGTTTTGTTATTTATTTTTGGTTTGATCACAGATCAATGTCTAGCAAAAGAAATATATAATAGAGAATTTTATACAGGTCATGATCCCAAAATAAACAAACCAACCCACTAAATAAAGTGGAGAGAGAGAGAGAGAGAGAGAGAGAGAGAGAGGGCTAGCTCACAGGTGGAGGAAAATCAGTGGCTATGAGAAGCCCAAGTTGCACCCTCAACAGCCTAATTAAGGTCTGCACCTGCAGGCTGGCTGCAGCAAGTAATGATGATGATCACCGACAACCTTGTTCAGCAAACCATGTTTCAAATTTGTCCTACTCTTAGTATACCCAGAAAAACCCTTATTTACAGCTAGAGAGTACGTAAGGAAACAGTGGAAGCCGTGGCCTGCAGCCATGGATGGATATGTCCAAGAACCTAGCTGAAGCCGAGGGTTTTATATGGTGTTCATGTTTCTTGTTAGTTGTCTTTACTCGTTGTGTGATGGAGAGAGGCTGAGAGGGCAGTCAAAAGAGAGAGATGAAGTTTGGATTGACCGGAAGAGAAAAATCTGTGCCACGTCATTTCCACGTATGTCGGCATCCATATTCTTATTATAGTGTGCAACAATAGGAAAAATACTTCATGCCCCGGTGCCAACCCTGGTTCTATCTCTATATTCATATCACTTATCACATGTCACATAAAGAGAGATATATGAAGATAGACTGTGGCACCGAGACAAAGAAATTTCTTCCAAAATAAAAAGGCATACAAATTACAAATTCCAACTTATATTATTACAACATGAAATCTTGTATTCCCTTGCTACATACAAGAAGCTAGTTATTAAACCAAGATTAAGCATACATATACTAATTATATGAGACAGAAACTCTAATTGATCTCAGCTCAGGGGATGGGATACACAACCACCTTTCCAGTAGCCCTGGATGTTTGAAGGTAGGTAAATGCCTCTATGGTCTTAGAAAATGGATACGGGCCTGTGGGATCAATCACTGGCTTCACCTTCCCACTCTCCAAGTAAGGCTTGAGTTTCTCCAAAATGGACCCAGTTGAGGTGAGCACAAACATGGAGGCTGGTGGTGTTATTGGACCTATTAATGTCACCACCCTTCCCCCTTCTTTCACCGCCTTCACTGCCTTATCCGACTGACCTGTATTTTTGTTCATTTCAAAATTATTTCCCTTTTATTTCACATAATTAGTAAACAAATAGAAATGAAGAATAATTAATTACCAACTGCATCATACACCACATCAAATTTCTCAGGCAGGTCTTCAACGTTTTCCTTAGTGTAGTCAATAGCCAAATCAGCACCCAAGCTTCTCAGCAAATCAAGTTTTTTAGTGCTCGCAGTGGCTGCTACTCTGGAGGCACCAAAAACATGCTTTGCTAGCTGCCACAAAATTAACACAAACATTAACCTTAAAACAACCAAAACATATGGGAGGATTGTCTGAGGTAAGCTAGAAGAATAAGAACAAAAACGAACATATATGTACCTGAATAACATGAGTTCCACAACCCCCAGCGCCTCCCAAAACAAGAATGGACTGGCCAGCAGAAAGCCCAACTCGTTTCAGCCCTTCATAGGCTGTCTCAATAGCCCCCGGAAGGCTAGCAGCTTCCACAAAGCTCAGGTTTTTGGGTTTCAGAGCCAACAATCTTTCTTCTGCAGCAGTGTACTCTGCCAAAGTCCCAAACTTCTTCAGGTTTATGCTACCCTCCTCATTGATATCTCCATACACTTCATCCCCAATGTTAAATTTGCTGGCTTTGCTCCCCAACTTCACCACCACACCAGCCACATCAAGCCCTGGAACTGTCTGCGAACAAATCAGATTCATAAATTCATAATGATCAGTTTTTAGTTAGTTAATGATTTAATTATGGAAAAATGAAGAGGGGCCAGCTGAGTTGAGTGAGCTCACAGGCAGAGCAGTGTCAGTGGCTCTGAAAACGCCAAGGATCCTCTTGGCATCAATTGGGTTAAGAGCTGTAGCAACAACCTTGATCAGCACCTGGTCTTCCTTTATTTGAGGAACAGCCACATTTGTTTCAAACTTCAAAACGTGTGCAGTTTCTCCATGTTCTCTGTAAATCCAAGCCTTGTTTACAGAGGGTGGTGTGGATACACACGAAGCCTCAGCCATGTTGGATGTACAAGAAAGAAACTTTGGTTGTGGTAGAACAAGAAAGGAACTTTATAGAAACCCCTTAAAAAAAACAGAACCTGCTTTTTAGAAAGCCAGAGAATGAGATGGGATTGTCTGTTCTGTTTGTGTAATCTGTTGTGATGGAAAATGGGTATTTATATCTGTTTCAAGTTTGAACTTTCATTCAATCCTGTCTGCATAGTTTGACTCGTCGCCGCTGTAAAGACGAACACAAATTGTTAATTGGTTCGTTCATCCAGTAACATACAGATAATAACGTAAGTTACTGGTTTTGTTTTGATAGTGTATGGGGTCCCAATTTTCGACACGATTCGAAATCCGCACGGAAAATTAGCAGATCAATCCACACGAATAAATTTTCAAGTCAACCCGCTATGATCCGTTTAATAAACAAGTGGGTTTCGAGTTAACCCACAAACCCACTAAAATACCTATATAATAGGTTTATTAAAGGATTCAACCCACAAACTCGCTAAAATATGTAACCTGCCAACCAATTTCTTTGTTTCTTCTTCATTTTTATAATTTTTATAATTTTTTAATCCCTTTTTCTTAATCTTCATACATAGAGAGAGGCAAAATATAATCAGTATTTTATATAAATAATAATAATAATAAAATAAATGCAATTACTTGTTAAATTATCAAAATTCTTTGAATAGTCATTTATTTTCCTACCTTTTTTTTGTCTACATTTTTATCTCACTAGTTACTAGTTTACCACATAGAGCATCTCCAAGGGAGATGTCAAATGCAAAATGTTAAATTTGAATTTTTGCTATTTCATGTCCATGTGACAATTTGATATATCAGTTGAAGATGCTCTTAGTGGATCAACCCGATACACGACTCGAAACCCGCATAATGAATTAGCAGGTTAACCCAACATGACACTTTTATTAAATTGATCAAATTTAAATTAAACATTCTTAACATATATATGATCTTGACACGACACAAATAGAGTAAAGTTTGACATTGTAAAAATTAATAACGTAAGTACGGATCAAATTTAAGAACAGAGTAAAACAAAGCTGCAACGGCACTCAAATTTTGACATTTGCTCTTGTTGCCTTGAAAATCAAAACCCATGCGTGATATGTTGTTTCTTTTGGAGCTCTAAAACGCGTCATTGCTTTGGTACTATATATTTTTATTTCCACTGGATGGGTGACGCTTCAACCACAGATGCTGTCATTAATATAGTTACTTTACTATCTAATTTGGAACTTTCAATATGGTCGACCGTCAAAGGTTGGCTACCACGGTTATTGAAAATGGTGATTTTATAACAAATTAAAAATTAAGAGAGAAAGAGGAACAAGAAGCTGGGGTGGGTCCCACCGGCGGCGGGGTGGAAGCATTTGGTCTATCATGTAAATATTATATAGTATATTATTAGTTAAATGCTTAACTCTTGATTTGTCTCTTATTTGGTCTATCATGTAAATATTATATAGTATTATTATTA